TGAAGTCCGGGAAGCCGATTCGATCGTCGTTAGCGGAAACATTCGCCTTGCCGAAGCTACCGAGAAGAATCAGCTGGACCTGCCGCTGCTTCCGATGCCACCCGATGGATTTGTATTGAACACCGAGGACGTTTATAAGGAATTTAGATTGCGTGGATACGAATACAACGGTGTTTTCGAGGGGATCAAATCCTGTGACAATTCCATCACTGTCGGCGAATTACATTGGTTCAATGAATGGTCCTCGTACATGGATAGCATGTTTCAGTTTAAATTATTGTCCATCGATCGGAGATTGGTGTATGGCTCGAAGGTCCGCTACGCCGTGATTGATCCTGTGCTTCACAAACGATTGACCGATGAATTACCGAAAGGTGCTGGATTATCGATATATCACTATAAAAACATCGAAGTCGTCAAATCGGGGGGTATCGAGATTAGAGGGATAAAACCTACCACATCTCAGCGACAGCAGATTCAAATCAAGCCCAAGTACGAACGTTACGTTTTCGTGCCATACGAAAATCCGCACAGCCTGGTCTTGGAAGATTCAGCGAGAGGAAAGCTGCACGCACTCACTGTGCTATTGCAAATTGCCTGTGAGAACATAACGACGTCGAGGATCAAGGCCATGGAAGTTGCGAACGATCGAGACGCAAGAAGCCTCTTGGCGCCACTTATACTCGATATTTTTGATGGAGAACCATTAGTTAACGTAAGTATACTTGTTATAGAATTTTAATGTCATTAATTTTTATAAGACAAAATTTTATTACATATATCATAAACCTTTTTCTTTGAACATGTTCTAAGTGCGTGTAAACATGTCACTTCCTTTGTTTTAGATTGACCTACAAGTGGCCGTCAATTCCGCAATTGACGATTACGCGACAATTTTCAATGAGATGAACGTTAACTTAGTGAAATGGGATGCAAACGATGCATTTTTAGGTCCAAATATGCATCTCGTCGTAGCGGCGGAAGTTCTTTCTAGCCAATCCTACACCGTTCTTAAAAACCTAGCAAGTGCCTTAAATTCCAGTTGCTTTATTCTTCTGAAAGAGACTGCCACACAACTCGACTTGAACACTGCGCTGAAGAAAGCGAATCTGATATTGGTCAGTAAACAAATCGACACCTCGGGAAAGAGTTACATTTTGTTGAAAAAACGAAAGGAGAAACAAGAACCAATCGTAATACAGATCACAGGAAAGAATTTCTCATGGTTGGAAAATGCAAAAGCTGTGTTGAAGAAATACGACAGCAATAATCAAGAAGTGCTTTTTGTATCCCAAGGCGAAGAATTATTTGGTAAAATTATAAACAAACATGTTTATATATATTTCTTTAAATGATTTTAAAAAACTAATTTTTAAAAATATTTATTTAACGATTATCTTTTTTTTCAAACTTTATTCTCAATCATCTAATCAGCGAATTAACATCTTATCACTTTTTATTTGCAGGTCTAGTTGGATTTATGACTTGTATCCGGCGCGAGATCGCAAACGTGCGTTATGTCTTTATCCAAGACAGCAACGCTCCCAAATTTGACTTATCCTCCCAGTTTTACGCGCAGCAACTAGAAAAGGGATTAATGGCTAATGTTTTGAAGGCAGGTCAATGGGGCAGTTATCGGCACTTACCATTACATCAGCCTAACAACGTGCGAGTGGAGCACGCCTATGTGAGTGCACGGACTCACGGAGATTTGAGTAGTCTAGAATGGATTCAAAGTCCATTAACTTTTAGTCAGACTAAACATTTAGATAAACTCTGCAGTGTATACTATGCGTCGTTAAACTTCAAGTAAGTTTCGGTGAACGTTACTCTTTGCTTGTTTGATTGATAATAAACGGAGATCATACGTTGTCACGATGATATAATAAATACTTGTTGAATTTCAAACTAAATGAATTTTGTACTATTGTATTAACAGGGATGTTAAGCTGGCGATCAGTAAACAACCAACGGACGCCCTTTCATCGGCAGAGATTAATATAGAAGACTCTGCCTTAGGACTAGAATTCTCCGGAAGAGACGCAAACGGCTGTAGAGTGATGGGTATAGTCAAATCTAGAAGATTGGCGACCACCGTGTTGCCAGATTCCGGTTTTCTTTGGAAGCTGCCTGACAGATGGACGTTGGAGCAGGCGGCGACAATACCGGTCGCTTACGTCACTAGTTACTACGCTCTGTTTGTACGGGGTCAATTGAAGGCGAGCGAAAGCGTGTTAATTCATAGCGGCGCGGGCGGCATCGGTCAAGCAGCGATCACCATCGCTCTGCACGCCGGCTGCACGGTCTTCACCACCGTCGACACTCCGGAGCAACGACTTTTCCTCAAAAAAGCCTTTCCGCAATTGACCGAGAAGAATATCGGTAATTCTCGAGATACGAGTTTCGAGCATCTGATCTCCGACCAGACCCAAGGACGTGGAGTTAATGTGGTACTGAACTCGCTAATTGGAGAGAAACTGCACGCCAGTATGCGGTGCCTCGCGAAGAACGGTCGTTTCCTCGAGATCGGGAAACACGACATGTTGAATGGCAATCGTGTAGATATGTCGGTATTTTTAAAAAACATCTCCTTCCACGGTATATTTCTGGAGACGCTGTTTGACGAAGGCGAAGACAAACGAAAAACGATTAAACTGATGACAGAGGGAATCGCGAACAGCGTAGTGCGTCCATTACCGACGACCGTATTTTCGAAACGAAATCTCGAGGAGGGATTTAAATTTATGATGACGAGCCAGCATATCGGTAAGGTACTGTTGAATATTCGACATGAAGAACCGCAAAAACATATGATGCCGATGTCGAAGATGATGACGACCGTATCACGCTCCTACATGTATCCGGAGAAGTCGTATGTGCTAATCGGAGGTCTCGGTGGCTTCGGTCTAGAACTAGCCAACTGGATGGTCGCTCGCGGCGCTAAAATCATCATTCTTGTATCTCATACCGGCATACGCACCGGATACCAGACGTTGCGGATACAACGTTGGCGCGAGAGTGGCATCAAAGTCGTTATTTCCACGGCGGACGTGACGACGCCTTCTGGCGCCCTAAATTTGATCGAGGAGAGTAACCGGTTGGCTCCGGTAGGCGGTATATTTAATCTGGCCGTTGTGTTGCACGACGCCTTGTTCGAGAACTTGCAGGTGGCCGATTTCGAGGCCGTAAATTTGCCAAAAGTCGAGGGTACGAAGAATCTGGACATGGCATCGAGAAAGTTCTGTCCGTCGTTGGATTTTTTCGTCGTCTTCTCGTCCATATCCTGCGGCCGTGGCAATTTGGGTCAATCCAATTATGGTCTCGCAAACTCGGCCATGGAGAGGATGATGGAGCAGAGACATGCCGCTGGTTTGCCCGGTCTCGCTATTCAATGGGGTATTATAGGAGACGTCGGATTGTATATAGGTGAGATTTAGTTTTCTATTTCTTTCGATCACTTTTTGGATTGCTTCTTATGATTCTATATAAACTCTTACCTATATAAAAATACCTTCAATAAAAATATACACAATAGTTTGCACGAGACTCTTTGAAGAAAATAATTATATATTATATTATGTTTTTATTAATGATGAGATGATGTTTTTTATTAATACAAACATAAATAGAAACAACTTTTTATTGCAAGAAAGATATAAATATATTAAAGTATAAGAATTGGAGAATATGAATTATTTATATAAGATAATTACAAACTAAATAATGTTATATTTAAAAAAAAGATAACAAAGTAAATGTTTGAATAAATAAAATGTCTTGGCTAGATAAAGTAATAATCATTTATCATATTCGATATCATTCTACGATACTCTTATTTTTTACAGATACGATAGGAAATAAAAACATCAATGAAGGTATTTTACCACAACGTATGAGCAGCTGTCTTGCAACCATGGACATTTTTCTTCGGGAATCGTATCCTGTATTGGCATCCACAGTGATAGCCGAGAAGCACAAATCCGTGAACGATGGCAAAGTTAATTTTGTTGAAGTCATTGCCAGTATCCTTGGTTTTGAAAATGTCTATTCGATGAATTTCAATGACACCTTCGATAAGCTCGGCATTGATTCGCTAGGCTACACAGAGATCAAGCAGATTCTTGAAAGAGAATATGATATCATATTATCGTTCCGAGAAATACAAGCCTTGACGATAAGCAAATTACGAGATTTATTAACTGCGACCGATGTATCTGGCAATTCTCCAACGAGTTAAAAAAAGTGTAGATAAGAAGATCGCAAGTCTCCTGCAGCATACATATATGTTAAATACAAATTAATATATGATCTTTTAATTTTTTAAATATTCTCTTTTTAAAACTCTTTTCTAATATCTGAATGATGGTGATTGTATTATACTGTATTTTATAAAAACTAATACAGTTTCTCTAAAATTATACGATTAATTATACGATTGTATTTTTAAATTAATCTATTAAATTTAACGTATTATAATTAATCTTGTGTTTTTACTTGTTTAATACAATTATGTGTATTTAAATAAGTATAATGAATTTTAAACATTCGAATTTTTGAAAAATGCTAATTCAAAATGAAGCTCTTTCATCGTTACTAGTTACTTTAGGCGTCAATCAATGTGAGTGGCTGTGGTCATTTATAACGTTGGACACTTCGCAAACAAAGAAAAAATATATAAGGGCGATAATACATGTATTATACGTAAAAAAAGTATTATACATAAGGTACGTTCAAGAGTCATCCTTTTAGCGCTTTGACCTTATTTATCAACGTTTTTCCGAACGAACTCATCTTATCATTTAAGCCCCATACACAATGCCAAGCAACAAGAAATAAGAAATAAAAAATATCCATCAATAAGAACAGAGAATAATATCTTCTCCTTTTTCCTGGCTACGCCACTGGTCAAAGTCAACTATAATTTATAAATTACTACACATAAAATAACTAATAATTAAAAGGTTTGTTCGCGTCGCATGCTCCAACTTACTCCTTCTTACTCCAATGCGCTTGTATTGGTGCGCTCCTCGAATTGGACCAATACGAGCGCATTGAAGTAAAAAGGAGCAAGTTGGGGCATGCGACGCGAACAAACCTAAAGATGCACCTGCATCGGCTGCAATAGTTATTGGCTCATGTATATAGCGTTATCTGTACGAACGGAAATCCCCTCTTTCATTGAAACGTTATAATATATTCACGAGACTATAAACATGTGCACGCTTTTACAACTTTTAATACTTGACATTTTCGTTACTTTGCAAAACTCATATAAACGTAAGTATTTTATATATTATTTTTTTAGAATAATTGTGTCTACATGTAGTACGAATAGTGTAAAAAAATATCAATTTTATTTTTATTTCTTTATCCAAGATTTTTATATAACTCATATATGAAGATATTTTTTAAATGTAAAATATTGATATAAAATTTTTAATTAGGTTTTTATATAAAGATTTATAATTATAATAGAAATTATGTTATAAATATCTTCATTTTTTTTCCTGCAAAATGGCTTTTAGGTTTAGACTAACTAGACGTTTTACATCTTGACGTTTCATCTAACAATTTTCTATTATGGCAATGAATAGAAATACCACAGTGGATCCTGACGATGAGTACGAGAACTTTGTATTACAATAATATAATATTTTATTAAATTTATTAGCAACTGTTATATATAGTTTTCACATGTATAACATATAAAGCTGCAAATAACTTGAATTCTATATATCATACAATATTTAGCATATTGAAAAAATTATTTACTTAATTAATAATTCCATTTTATTCTAATCTAAGTAATTTATGTAACTGTTAACTGTATTATACAATTTATCATTCTTTTAGGGATTGCACAGCATTTTCAGTAGCACCAATATTTAAGCTACCATTAATTCGAACTCCACCTGATTTAAAAATTGCATTGCAAAGACATTTGCAGGAAGATAATAACCTTTCACAAAAATGTCTTGATTATATAAAATGCATTAAGAGTTTGCATACTGTACAAAGGCTAAATTATGATTCTTATTTAATTATACTAAAAATATGCTTATATTTAGAGCAGTTTGAATTAGATTGTGAACTGAGCCGGTACAAGTTGTTAAATCATAAAATTAAGAACTCCAATTTAAATGGATGTTTCTTAATTGATTTACCATATATAAATAAGGAAACTCCTATAGTTGTACCAGATGATAAAGTGTATCTTACTGAAACTATTACAAAAAAAACAATTTGCGCTAGAGTTTTGAAGATAACAGAAAATCAAATAACAATACAACCAGAGTTTTTGAAGTAAGTTTACAATTCTTTTATTATGTATTAATAGGAATATAGCATACATTTATAATTTATAATATGATTATTATTAAATAACAGAATATAGAAAACAAATGTATTGAAATTATTAATTTTGTATAATTGGTATAGAAAAGCAAGAATATTCAAAGACGAAAACAAGAGGTTTAATATAAATTTTAGGAGTAAAGATTATTCATTAAAATGTTGCCATTATGCATTGATGATAATGAGTGAAAAACACAATTTAGAAGAAATTATATATCCTAAACTCAAAATAAATAATACAGATTTAAAAGAGTAAGTTTTTAAACCATTATTAATATTTACATTTACATTGCTTTTTAGCACTTTAATTTTAAATATATGTTTTATATAGCGACATTAAATGGATAAACACTAAGATAGAACAGAATGAAGAACAAAAACAAGCGATAAGGAAAATCTTGTATAATACTGCATACCCAGCACCTTATATAATTTTCGGTCCTCCAGGCACTGGGAAAACAGCAACATTAGTCGAACTTATATGTCAAGTAATTTGTTTTCTTTTTATATCTAACACATTTTATTTTTTTTTCCTTTTGTCTTTAACTCTTTGGTTGATAGATTGTAAAACATTATCCCATGAAAAACATATTGGTATGTGCAACATCTAATGCAGCAGTTGATGAAATTACCAAAAGATTAATTGACAATGTGCCAGCAAACAAAGTGTATCGAATGTATGCAGCATCTAGATCATGGTAACAAATTGCTTTTATATTGATTTTTTTATTTCTATCAATAATGTAAGCCTAATGTGATCAATTTTTTGTATTAGCAAAAGATTTATTTCTATTTTAAATTTGATTATTAATAATAATCAATTTTAACTAAATGCAGCATATATTATTTTAAAAAACTAATAAAATATATATATGCATATGTTATAAAGTGAATTTTGTATGTTTAAAAACAGGGAAAATATAGATCAAACTATACGACCATGTGCAAATTTTGTTGACAGAAAGTCTCTCTTTTTGCCAAAAGAGTTATTGTTATTTAAAAAAATTATTGTTACAACATTAATAACGTCCATAAGGTATAATTATTCCAAATATATTTCGTTTCTTTATATATGTAATATAGTATTCAAGCATGTATATGCACATATAGATAAGCTTCTCTATAATAATAATTTCTGCACGAGTACAAAAAATAATTTTATTTGAATTTTAGCACTATTTATATAAATATACATTATGAAGAAATTTTACAATTTTCTCGTTTTCTATATATTATTATAGATTGAATGCTATAAATTTTAAAGAGAATCATTTTTCTTATATAATCATTGACGAGGCGAGTCAAGCGATTGAACCAGAGATGTTAATTCCCTTAACAATAACACATCAAAAAAATGAAAATGAAAGGCCTGAGCACTTTGGAGCACAAATCGTTATTGCAGGTGATCCTTACCAGTTAGGACCTCGCGTTCGCTCCAAATGGAGTAAACATTTTTTTGGCAAGTTTTTCCTAAATAATATCTCAAATGTCGCGCAATGTATCACAAAAGTAATATCTTAATAATCTAATATCTCAACAGGAATATCTATGTTGGAAAGATTAATGAACGATTGTCATCCATATAAAAAGCAAAATGGAAAGTATAATCCGAATTATATAACAAAATTAATTAAAAATTACCGTAGTCATGAAAAATTGTTATATGTACCAAATAAACAATTTTATGAGAATGAATTGAAAGCCTGTGGAATAGATAAACATATAAATTTGAACTGGTCAAAGGTACCTAATAAATTATTTCCCATGATATTTCAAGAGGTTCTAGGCAAAGAAGAGAGAAATCCAAATGGAAGGTTAATAAATTTAAACAAACATAGATTTCACTTTAATTGTCTTAAATTATAAGTAAATTATTTTTATAATTAATTGTAAAATTGTACAAATATGTTTAATTTGTAGTGTCTTAAACACTGCTGAAATACTAGTAGTGATAGAATATGTGAAAATACTGCTTAAATCGAAATTTGGAAAGCATATGATAACGCCGAAGGATATTGGAATAGTAACACCTTTTAAACAGCAACAGATACAAATCGTTGAATATTTAGCACAAAACCAATTGGAAAACATAACTGTGGGAACAGTTGAAACATTTCAAGGGCAAGAACGAACTGTGATAATAGTGTCAACAGTACGATCCAAAATTTTTGAACATGATGGTGAAGAACACATTGGTTTCTTATCCAATCCAAAAGTATGTAAAATTATTTTACGATATATGCACGCACCAAATACTATTTTATGTACATTATATACATTTCTATATATAATGTTTCTAATTTCTTTTAGAGATTTAATGTTGCCGTGACACGTGCAAAAGCACTTATGATAATAATAGGCAATTCAAATATTCTTTGCACAAATAAGCATTGGAAGGCACTTTGGGAATATTGTAAAGAGCATAATGGGTGTATCCCATTCAACAAGTCCCCATTAAAATCAGATGTGATAGCCAAATTAAAGAGTGATTATGAAACTAATGAAAATAATAATCGTAACACAAATGAGACGAAAATATCTGTTACTGTAAAACTTGGTAAAAACAAAAAGAGGAATTATCCAATATATTAGTGCCTGCAATGGAGAAAAAATTAACACTAACGTAAAAATAAGAACTGATTGACAGTTGTGTCTTTAAAAACATTATTACACCGAACAATTGAATTTAGTATTTATATCTTTTTACTAATATCTTATTTCGTTTTTTAAGTGCGTTTCTCGAAACGTACAACCAACTATGTTCAGTATTAAATTACATTTTTGTGATAATTTAATATCCCTCTAATAATATTAATGATTTTATAATGATTACGTTTATTATAGAAAATTTCTCCTTAGAATTAATATTTCTGAGATGATATTACATATGTATGTCATATTTATAATTGAAATATTGTAGTGTAATTTAACGTTATAATTAAATATTACAATTAAAAACTATATCGTTATAATGATGCAAACAGAAAATTTTATAAGATATTTTTAAATCGCTTTTTTCTGCTGTGATTTTACAGTTGCAGAATCTTTTTAAAATAGTTCTTTTGCTATATTTTACAATTATGTAGATTCTAACATATTTACATTTTTATTTATGATAACAGGCTTGTAACTGATTATCTAATAATAAGTTTTAAACATCGTGACATGTATATTTTTTTAAAAACAAGATATTTATGATAATAAATACTTTAAAATAAATTACCACATATTGATTCATTTGAGTAATAAACTTTTTTTTTAAATGACATTCTAAAGGTTCTAAATGTAAAAATTCATACTGAAATCTCTGATCCAAAGTAGCAAGTTTAAAAATATAATTTCCAATATATTCCAAGCATTTTTGAGATGTTTTGCTCTCCAGTTGACAATGAGAAGCAAAGAGAAGAGAAGAGGTAGCTCCAATACTTATATATTACCAGAAACATTCAAGATTGAAAGAATACATGTTAAAGATTAACAAAAGACAGATATAAAAATTAACAAAAATGCAACTTACGAAAATTTGAAAATATATATATGCGATACTTTGATGCGATATATAGTTTTGAAAGTTTTATCAATTATGAAAATTATGTGGTTATTATTTATGACATCCAAAATATGTAATAGTTTTTAATCTCCTTGTGAAATATTATACAAGGAATGAGCGGAAATTGTAGAAAAAATATCGACAGAAGATATTTTTTTGTAAAAAACTATTTATGTCCTTGAAATAAATACTCCAGAAGTATTGTATCACTTGGTATCATTGTTCATCGACAAGATATTACATTTCGCAATCTAGGAAAGCATTCTTATTCGAGCAGTAATTTAGCCTCATTTCCATTAACCTTCTTATTAATACCATGTTGAATTGCGAACTCGTGTTTCACGCTGGCGAACAGAATATCCGTAAGAAGAAAAATCTGCGCTATGGCAAACGCCAATGTTACTCCGAAATAGAAATTTGCATTAGCCGATCTGGAATATATCCACTGATGCCACACGGTCGGTGCGAATACCGTACAAAATAGTATAAAACAACCTACGATAAATCCCTGTTGCATATCTGGAAAAAAACAAAATTAGATGGAATTAGAAATTAGAAATAATTTGTATCATTAACTCAAAATTGATTTTAAAATTCCTTTGACTCACGTTGAAACAAGTGTTTCCACAAAGGTAACAGAGATATATAAAAACCGACGTCTCCAATGCATGGATATGATTTAAATATGGCAGCTATTGCTAAATAGGAGAACGCCATTAACATTGGATCACGTCGTAATCGCAGTGCTAGCGGGACTATGTACAGTAAACTGACATTTATTTGGAAAGATGCGATGAAGAGCCATCTAAAATGCTCAAACATCTCTGTAAAGAAGTACCAGTACAATCCGATATTCGGACGTAAATCGGGAACGGTCAGTACGAAACCAATTGTATTCCGTAAAAAGGACCAACTTCCCATAATGCTGTAGGAAATGGCGAATAGGGCAGTTAAGATACTCGTAAATACGATTAACATTGTAACAATACTGATTCTTCTATTCTTCACTGTGCTGGCGACGTAGATGGTTGCAGGTACCATGAGCGACACAGGATAGAGCCCTTGCAATGTCAGCAACGCTATTGACATGCAACTCCAGAACATGGAACGTCTTGTCATGGACAACAGTGCAATCGAATAGAGTAGATTTGTAAAAACTGTCGTTGTTAGGCCGACACAGTTTAGTATTATGTAAGGATTGAACAGATACCCTGCAGAAACATACAGAGCAGACGTGCTAGGAATATCTTGACTAGACTTCCTATCATCTTCCTTTCCCTCTTTCCTTTTTGTTGCCTGTAATATATATGAATTGTAAAAAAATATATATTCTTTCAATTGATCATCACAAGTTTAAAAATACTTTAACTAGAGTCCAAACTCAACTATCATCTCAATAACCAAACTGACCAGTTCAATGGCATAGCGCTTCGCAGTCAGAGCGAGGCACAGAGCAGTTGTCAAATCAGTGACAACAAACAGCAGAAATAACGTCCACTGAGGTAAGTATTTCTGCATAAGCTTGAAAATGTATAAGCCTATTGGGGTTTCGTGAAACAGGTCTCCTTCATAAGGATCTATACCGAATTCGTGCAAGTAAACTCCCTCAGTCACTGAAAATTCATCAAAATTAACATTAGAAAAATCTGTCCCTCAATCGATCAAAATAAATATGAGTTTTCTTACGTACTTCTTGATCAACTAAATCGAAACTATAACTTATGTTCTTTCCACTATCTTTGTAAATTCTAATGCAGAAAAATCAACTAACCTCTTTTCCAGGAGTTCAGAGCGGTTGACACTTCGACGCGATTGCCAATTATTTTTGATATTCAGAGTTCATCAGCAGCAATCTGATAGTACCGGCCAACGCGAAATTCGACAACCACTTCCTCGGCATGTTTTCCTCTTTTTTTTCCCCTCGCGATGCTACACTTGCGATCGATTCACATTTATTCTTCCGCGAGCATAACCTGTCAATAGAGCGTCACCGAGGTCCGCATACCGTCTCAACAGGATTTCGTTATCGCTAAACTTCGGCACGAGGGAATTTTCCGCCTTAATCGTTATTTATAATATATTGCGTCCGCGTGTTATAATTATATTTATTTTAAATGATGTTTGGTAAAGAAACCACACACGCGCGGCGACGAGACCGGGACATTCAGCTGTCAACATTTCTCACTTGACACTTCCAAACTCGTTAGTGTACTTAGGCGTGTATGTACGATAACGGTAAGAAATATACACGCGTTTCTAAATAATAATACGAAATTTTCACAATCTTTTCTCTTTAGATTCATTCAAATGTACTCTTTCTCGGATAAATATTGTAAATGTCTTCGCGGATATTTGAATTGACTCGAGCGTATAACGTATTTCTCTTTCCTTTGGATCCTCGTCTGGAATCTACTCGAATGTTCACTTCCTTTCATATATGTCAAGTAGCCGATGATAAAAGACTGATTTTAACGAAAAGAGAGGCTTGGATACCACAGAAGTCCGAATGCACTGAAAATGGTTCTCGCTAGGATTGGAGCGGTTTTAGGTGAAACTGAACTGACTCTATTATTAGTATAATAAAGATTTAATAAAGAACGAAATGCTTCTACAATTTGCACCGTCTACTCGTTTGCACTGCTCGAAGGAGAGTCGTTCTCCTCATCTTTCGAACTTAACGGCCAACGGCCCGCGGTCGCGCTCGCATGCGCGCGCATACCTTTTAGACACCCTATGTGCTACGGTGACAGCACCGCACGGGTGTCGGAAACGACGCTAACGCCGGATATCGCATTAAGTGCAGTAATCATCTGCGCGCTGCTTACAATATGAAAAAGTCAATCGTATATCGAAATCGCAAGGCAATCGATATTATCGAGATCAACATCTCGATAAATTATTGCAGATCGATAAAATTTAATCATTTGAATCGTTCACTTGCATAAGAAAATTATGCTCAATTCGTGCGTTTATTTTTCAAAACTAATCCCTTTGTAAAAAATGTGTAATTAATTCTCTAATGTAGCAAAATTCTTTCGAAAATCTCGATGAGATAATAAAATAATTTATAAAATTGCAATTTAAATAATTAATAGATTTGTTCTTTATAACTTTTGTTCTTTCAATGTCTAAATATTTGTCAGTTTTAGTGCAGGAAGTTCAGTTACAAAAAAATGTAAGGTCCGATTTTTTTAACTTCTTGGTAAGTTTTACTTGACAGGTAGCATATTTTCATCTCTTTTCTTAAGATGAGTTCTAAAAAAAGAGACGAAGATATGCTGCCTGTCGAGTAAAATTTACCAAGAGATAAAACGACCGGCCCTAAAACACTCGAGTAGCGTGTGAATATAATTTTCTGGTTGACAATAGGTGAGAGCAAAAAATGTGGAACGCTTCACGATTTTGCGTGTCATCCTTGCGCAGGGGCCATGCTAATCTTCTCTGTATCGTTCCAATTTTAGTATATGTACTGCCGAAGCAAGTACATATATCGCCTCTGATGACGTTTCTTATAAACTGAGCGTGAGTGCAAAGTACACTTGCGAGAAATGAAAAATTATATTCGCCATCTAGTGGCATTGAATCGTAACATCGAAAAAGCAAAATGATTGCTCTCTGTCTCTTCTTTGATCATTGATCCTTGTTATTTAACCTTAAAAATAGATGCGAAATAATCAATAATATGAGATGTATGTACAAATTGAAACTCTGAATTATTTAATGTTTATAGTACAATATAATTTCCGCAATAAGAATTAAGTGCGACATCTTTTTATGGCGATGTTATTATAGTTTAATTCTAAATTTTATTTTACATCTTATTATGTGTTCTTACAGATTGGAGATCTAATCAAATGAAATAAGTGGAATATGATTCAATTTTGCATGATAGAAATTTCTCTATTCATGCTTTAAATAAATTAATATTGTATATATATACTATTTTGCAAATCAACTGGAAGCTATGCGATTGAGAGGGTGGAGATATGGAGTATTTGTTGGAAGTTTTGTTGGACTAATAGGTGTATTCAGTTATGCTTCCATGATTCGACCCATGATAAATCCTGAGCCATACAGTACGTCTTTTAAATAAAAATATTATTAGACAGTTGTTTTACATAGTTATTTTATATTATTGAGATTTATTTCTTTCAGAAAGAGTTAGGGAACGAGCCTTCTCTTCCAGCAAATGGACATAAGTTATTCTATGAAATTTATTTCAAGGTTCCTATAGAATCAGTGCGTTATAGTAAATTGTATAAAATCTGTTTTCTGCATCTTCAGATAAAAGCTAGGTGACAAAAAATAATTACATAGTCTGTTTGTTATACAAAATAAATGTTAATATTTTATTATACAATATATAGTATTTACTATATAATTATGCAAAGCATATGTACACCATGAAAAAGTTGAAAACACGGAATATCAATTTTTTCACGACTTATGTGCTTTTTACAGTTTACTCAATTATACCTGACCTGTACAATTATCACATACATGAAATCTCATTTGCAAACCGACTAGAGAAATTTCGTTGCAAGTACTGTTTCATAACAATAATAATCTTGTATTTATCCGCGTAATAGGCCTTATGTTAAAAATCATCGTCATCACACACATCGAGAAAGACGTCAAATGCTTGCCGATTGCAATTGCCTTCCGCAGTGAAAATATACTTGTGAAAAGTTCCGTCCATACATACAGCTGAAATGAAGAAGAAAATGGAAGCGAGACATATATCGTGATGATAAATTTCATTTTATATAAAATACCTATCACAGAATTATGCATGCCAAACGCGCAAACGCACGCGCACTCCGGAGGTACCGTGAAAGTAGCCAATGCCCATTGACTCTCAACGTAATTACCAAGAAAACCCATGTTGGAAAAACTGCAAACAATGATGATATAAAATTATAATTCGTGCGGTAAAAAAATTTGCTTGCTCAAAAAACTTCACGTACGTGGATCGTCGATTCAAGCTCGTATTCTTCAGAGCGAATATATGTACTGTCCCCTTATCGCTCGAGACACACAAAAATTCTGAATCTCTGCTAAAGTTATACTGGACAAAAATATCAGATAATTAATAAAATAAAAAAATAGTTTATTATTAAGGTAATGCTTATAGAGAAGAAAAAAGTGCTAATATACATGTATCTGAATAATACCAATCTTATTTACTGACCAATAAAGCGTAGCAGGATCGGCACCACGCCTCAATTCGACTAATAAACTCCTGCGTACAGAGTCCCACACTCTGATCAAAGTTCCTTGAACCGACGCAGTAGCAATCATGGTTCCATTTCCATTAACTGCCAGACACGCCAATGCACCCTATTACAATAAAATATATGTATATATGTGCAATAATAAAATTAAATAAAAGATTGCTCGCATTATTAATTATTAAAATACCTGATGTGCAGAGAGAGTGACAGGAGCGCTAGAACTTCCAGCCTCAGTGGCTGCGAGATCCACCAATTGTACACTACCAAGTTTGTGGCCAGGAAAAGCCAAGAGCTGCCTCTGTGCTGTCGCAAATGTCGCAATTTCCATCAAACCCATCGGATTATCTCTAGTTTCGAGCGTCAGCAGCCTTCGAATAGGCGTAGGAAACGAAAAGACATGAATTTCTCGCTGTAGTGCAACCACCATTCTATAACAAAAGATCACTCCTATTACAGACGTTTCTCTCTCTCTCTCTCTCTCTCTATAAATAACTTACTTATCTCTTCGCAATCTGACTGCTTTGATTAGACTGGTAAAAGTGACTTCCATGACAAACTTCTTTGATAGATCATCGTAGATCAAAACAGTATTGTCAGCGAATTTAGCACGGTTTCCACCGCCTACAACGGCGATCACGTTCGTCCTCCAGAGCATCTCCGCCATGGAGATGCTTCCCATCAAATCATTATCGAAGTGTGCTTTCTCGACCAGTGGTTCAACGTTGTAAATTCTCAGCCCAGATTCCATGCAACAAGTAAAGCATCCTATCAAAGAGAAGACAATGAAACATTAAGTATATGTCATAGCTTAAACTAATAAAAATTGAGAGGCTCACCTTGATCCTGATTAAATCTCAAGCTGTGAATGCCTCTAGCTGCCATAACTCTCCGTCGTTTCCGTAGTTTCCGTTAAGGAAGCAGCGATTCTATTAATAATCTTGATCTTTTCTTTTTTTCTTTTCAAAAAAGAAAGTCGATTTTTACCAATAATTTAAACATTAAATCCATGACGTATTAAGATTAAATCGTGCCATAATTGAACCTGGATCAAATTGGGTCGACGCTGCTATTTATCAACAAGTGTGGTGCGTCATAACAATAGCAGACACAATGCATACAGACGAACACGTTGAAAATTCTCGCTTGAAAGGAACTGTCATGCTTACATCAGGTTATCGCGTCAAAAATCAAGATTTCATAGAATTTGACCAATAGGGACAAAGAAATTTCTGTCCATCTTGTTCTGAGTGGTCAAATTCTAAATCTGCAATATGCATAGTCCAATGATGCATTTTGTTGCACTCTTCGCATATTAATGAAATAAAGGATGGAAACGTTTTGAAAAGAGAAGGAAAGAGACGAAAATTACGTAAAATTACAAGGAACATATTTTATGTTGTAAAAAAAGATTGAAAAAAGATTCAATCCAAGATTTGTCCAAATCGAGCATGACGTATCAGGTTTCAACGTTTAGTGCACCCATCTAGCGAATGTCATGAAACGCGGTTGTGACAAGTGAGACAACTCGAGTGCATCGTATCCGCATCTTACGAGGTTATTTATATTTACATTCCTGTCTGAGTGTTTTCGCATTTTACGAGAAGAACGAGTGTCCTCATCTCTCTCATTAAGTGATCGAGGATGGATTTCCAAAATCGTCCGGGTGGCAAAACCGGCGGCGGCGGGGTCGCCTCCTGGTCGGAGAGCAACCGCGACCGCCGGGAACGACTGCGTCAGCTCGCCCTGGAGACTATAGACTTGAACAAGGACCCGTATTTTATGAAGAATCATTTGGGCTCGTACGAATGCAAATTGTGTCTCACCTTACACAATAACGAGGGCAGTTACCTGGCGCACACGCAGGGTAAGAAGCATCAGGCTAATCTGGCCAGAAGAGCCGCTAAGGAGGCTAAGGAAGCACCACAGACCCTAGCACCGGAGAAACCCCGGGTCGAGCCCAAGAAATTCGTCAAGATCGGTCGACCCGGTTATCGAGTTACGAAACAACGCGATCCAGAATCTGGACAGCAAAGTCTGCTGTTTCAGGTAGACTATCCAGAGGTGGCGGACAATGTGATACCACGACATAGGTTTATGTCCGCTTATGAGCAAAGGGTTGAGCCACCGGATCGCAAATGGCAGTATTTACTGTTTGCAGCTGAACCATATGAGACTATTGCCTTCAAAGTAAATATTTTTAAAAGCTGCTTTGAAATATTCTCAACAATGGCTGCATTCAGCAGAAAAAGTTGAATCTGATTAGTACATGCTCTTAGATTCAGCTAAGATCAAAAGCATATATCAATCAGATTCAAAAATTTTACAACAGTCGCAAAGCTGCTTTTTCTGCTCTATACAATCATTGTTTCCCATGAATAAAATTGTTATTTAGAATCTATGATTTATAGGTTCCCAGCAGAGAAGTGGAGAAGGCAGAAGGAAAGTTCTGGACTCACTGGAACAAGGATACGAAACAATTTTTTCTGCAATTTGCATTCAAGAATGAAAAACCGTCCGTGGGCAAAGTACCACCACCACCAGTTCCTCTGATAAGGCCAGGATTGAGTACGATGGTACCTGTTCCACCACCTCCTCCTAGACCACCCATGTTTAATCCGGTACCTCCACCACCGGCTCTCCTGGCGAGTGGAATGCAAATACCTCCTCCACCGCCTCATATAGCATAATACATTCGAATGCTTATGTAATTTTTTTATTACTGAAAGTTCGTGCACATTATCTTTTTGAAAGAAATGTAACTGTTTGTACATTTCTATATTCATCATACGAGAGACCAACTTGATCATTTTACTCGATATTTATATAAAGTCGCAAAATATGTAATATACTTAAATAAAATAGAATTTATAAAAATAAGACATGTGAGACATTAAAAGAAACATGAATGTTTAAAAAAATGTTTATTTAATGATTACGCACACAAGACGCACGCGCCACCAACTGCCTTGATCTTATCTTCAGCCTGTTTACTAAAGAATTTAGCTTTTACGATGACAGGTTGCTTAGGAAGACGTCCTTTTCCCAAGAGTTTGTAATATCCCTGAAAAGATAAATATTGATTATTTAATATTTTGTAATATTTTAGATTCTCACACTTAAATATAAAAGAAATTTTACAAAAAATAATCAGAATGCAACAATCTACACGATTGTAAGTGATGTACAGCACTTTTAAGACCGCCCGTTGCAATATCATCATGTATAATAGTAAAAAGAAATTATCAAATGTTTTGAGAAAAAAAAATATATAAAATTAAAAGAAAGTTTGACTTACCGCTTTTACAAGATCAATGACAGGTGCTTTGCCTTCGACGTCTTTGTATTTCAATCTCGTTTGTTCAGAGACAAGGGTCCATAATTTATCCAAATTTATTGCAGGACACCATTTGGTATTACGTCGCAAATGATAGTTCCTCATACCGAGCTATAAACAGAACAAATATCAATTAGAGAAATCCTGATAATAGATTTTGAATGCAAAAAATAATTTAGCAGAAAATAAATATTGATTATTTGATATTTTTTTAATATTTTAGATTCTCATACTTGAATATAAGAGAAATTTTGCAAAGAATAATCAGATTGCAACAATCTACACGATTGTTAGTGTTGTACAGCACTTTTAAGACCGCCCGTTGCAATATCATCATGTATAATAGTAAAAAAAGAAATTGTCAAATGTTTAGAGAAAAAAAAATCTAATCAATGTAGTGATTTATATTAGTAAAAATTAAATTTTGAAGGGATCAATCATTCATTACATACATACGTAGCATTCCGTTATAAAAACACAATATCTTGTAGAAACATCCTCACCTTTCCAAAATATCCAGGATGGTATTTATCAAAATTTATTCGATGATGATGCATACCACCCGCATTACCACGACCACCAGGATGCTTCCTGTGCTTGCCTAAAAAAATGCAAACAGTATTATAAAATAAAATTCTCATTTTACTTATATTTACTATTTAATGTCGGATCATTTTTATCATATATTCTTATTTACTTTACACATAAATGCTTATAACAAATCATACGGGAATAAACTCACCAACGCGGCCGTGGCCATGGCTCACGTGTCCACGTAGCTTCCTGGTCTTCTTCTTGTGTGTCGACTGAGAAAAGACAATGAAAGCGTAATATAAGTAGCGAGATACATACTACGAATATTATTTAAATTATTGCTTGAATTAAGAATAGCGTTAACACAATATTGAGAGATCATCTTCCTCCAACACGACGCAAATAAATGTTGCGGCATTTTTCTCGAGAGCGTAATAATTAAAAAAAGTTATTCCCGATATTGTCGATTATGCGTTTATCGTAAATAAATCGCGAATACAACGATGATGTCTCCGATATCGTTGGATTATTACAGAGGTAACCTAATTCGAGTACACTCACCATCTTGATGAAAGCGAAAGAAAAGGTTGATGGTAGAAGCAGACGGTGACGAACTCTCTTTTTTGCGCATGCGCAACGATGACGATGACAGTCACGTATATGTGATAGGCGCTTCACATGTTGCTAAAACTTCGCACATGACAGCTCAAGTAGCCACAAATAGCTGCGTAAATAAATTATTAGGTATAATTTGTATGTACAATTTTATATGTTCTTATAATTTTTTCCAAAAATTTCTAAAAACTTTTGAAAAAAATTGAACAGGGCCCATAGAACCCCATATTTTATAAAATTTAACTACTTTAGTCAACGCGTATGCACGAAGAAGAGTCCCTCTAACGACAGTAGAATGTACTACTTTTATGTTTCAAAATTTATAATTCTATTATTTCCTTTCTATTATTTAATCCTTCTAATTTTAATACCCTTACATATGTACTTTTACAAAGATTAATGTATCTCTTCTATATCATAATAAAATCATATGATTGCACTCACATTTTTCAATAAATTTTCCTTTTCTCCTATTATTTAAAGAAACAAAATTAAAAAGATTTTATTATAATTATTCAAAATTATGCAAAACATTGTAACTAATCCTAGAGAGAACAATTAATTACATAATTATCACGTTTTATATATTCTTAGAACGATATGTTAAGAATAAATAGAGACAGATGTAGAGAGTAAATACAAATTCAGCGTTTTATTCCCAATTTGCGTTATATCTATAATTTAATGATTGGTAATAAAAATACTTATTATCTAAAACGCGCGGTTAATTTTCATTGAATCTTTTAATTCACATCAATGAGACTGGCGGTGTTGGAGTTAGCTCTCTCGTTTATGTAACTTTTTATCAAAGTATACGTTTAAATACAGCTACGGTAATTCACGATATGGATAACTGGTCCCGGATAATTCCGACGTTTCATTATGTTTTATCAATTGTCTGGATATATAAATAGATAAATATCCACTTATTTTATTTCTTTTCACGCCGAAATATATCGCTTTACAATTCCATCCGCCATTCATATGCAACCTATAATTTTTCTTTGCCCAGTATCCTCCAGATCTGAAAAGTTATACCTTTTTTTAGTCGAACAAAACAATTGTAGATATGCAAAAATATATCCGAAATGGTTAATACAATAGTGCCCTATATATGATTCGATGGTTTTGTAATTTCAAAGAAAGTATTATTCATAATGAAGAGATGAATGATTGCGAATAAAAAAGCAATCGCTATTATTATACACTACTGCAAAAGTTGTGATATAAGCCGATAAAATTTTAAAGCCGGATAAAGATACACTTGTTATCTTTATATTCTCGTTTGTTTAAAGTGAATCTAATATTACAAAAGCAGAAATACAGATTTTTGCAAAGAAGAGCGAGAGTATAATTTATATAATTCGTAAAAGTGTAACCTTATGTCTCAGTAACTCGATTTCTAATATAATTAGTCAAGTTAGACTTACAAGTTAGTTTAGATGATTACTCGAATGAAGCTTTAATTGTGGTTAGAATGTGGGTGAGTTCAAGTTAGGGCTGCTCGGTGTTGACGAGGGTGTTGATGGGGTACCTGGTGGCGATGCTTCCAATGGGCAAACTAAATTGCCGAAATCCATCTCGTTTTTACTCTTTTTACGTTTCAGCGTGAATTGAGATTTCTTTGGTACCTGATTAAAAATTTAACCACATAACTTCATATTTTTAAGAAGCCACATTAATATTATTGCGATAAAATAGATGTATACAAGACGATGACAAGAAATATCATAACATTATTTGACATGAAATATAATGTATAAATAAATTGTGGAAACGCGCACCTTAATCTAGCGGTAAGCGTCAGCGGAACAAATCCGAGTGTACTTTCTATTTCTCTCTTATGCTGGACCACCTCTCTGCCCAGGATCTGATTAAAGTGCGTTGTCAAGTGTCTACGAAGTAAAGTTTTCGCTGGCGGAATGCTGAGCAGTGTCGCGAGCAGCTCGGAGGTGAATCGACCTCGTGATTATCAGACCGCCGTGTGTACGCCGGAGCCGCGCATGTTTGGTGCATACTCTGCAAGATCCACGACGCGCAAACCATTCCATCACGCGATGATTCGTCAGAGAGTCACGTTGCTACCGTCGGCCGCCATTCCATTTGCGGATCTTCTCTCCAAGTTGTCAAATTCAAAATTCAAGTCTCGCAAGACCTGCAAGTATACATATATCAAAGCTTCTGAATAAATATAGTGCGATATAAATAACATGCGCGCGCAAGATACCTGAATTCGCGTCTCAAACTGGCGGCATGCAAACTGTGCAGTCACTCCGAGATTCAGTAAATCCTCCGTAGTCAATCTGTGTAGAACTCTGACCGTCAACTTTGCGTGATGAAAGGCATCCTTGTGTTGCGGCAGGCCAATGTCGTCCAGCCATCGTAACACGGCCGCGTTGTCCATCTGCAAGATACCAGAAAGATCATTTCAGCTTGGAATCTTTTCAATGAAAAAAACGCGTTTGATTGTAAGTAAAGCGCTTTAAGACGCAACCTTGTAAGAACCGAGAAATTCGGCACCGTTACTTCGCTCCGTTTCGATGCGTAAAGAAGCTTCTTCTAGGCAAGGTTTTTATTACCAAACTCTTTTTCCAATTGAACTTGCGTGGCATCGAGCAACTTTGGTCCAGTGGCACCCCATCGTCTCAGTTCAGCGGCGTAGCACTCCAACCGAGCGAGACAACCAATCACCGATTTCCTCCATAGTAAGTTCCACGAGTGGTTTCGGCGGTCCGGTGGTCCACCATGTTCGTATTCCTCCGCATCACGATGTTTTTTGCCTTCTTTCAATACAAATCGGTTTTAGTCCTTCTCTGTAACTCGCTGACCTTGACTTACTTGTAACAATCCACGTTTGATATTATCTTCATGGATCCGTTAATTACTTTTGTAACAATGTTACACATGTATATATCTCATTTAATATTTTTATATAATCCTTTTTAATTTTTTACTAATTCTTCGCGGTCCTGGTCTCTGAACTGTATATAGTTTTCTAAATGTATGTAGTTTTCTAAATAACATGGTACATGATTACAATTTGGCAATCTTTGCATTTAAATTTTCTAAATAACAATAATAAAATAAAAATAAAAAAATAACGCTTGCATACATTTATTACAATTAATTCAGACCGCGAAGAAACTTGAAGACGAGCATGCATTAAATAATGATAACGTAAGTCGAATGCATGCGCGCATTATTAGCCGTGATGCTTTGCAAGCTTGAATGCGTTATCTCTGAACGACATGCTGTTACTATGTTGCGCGACGATTTGAGTTCGTCGAAAAAAAAAAACATCTAAACGTGACACGATGCTTAGATAAAGATCGATCGGAACCTAGAATAGGAGCGGACAGGCATCTCGCGGAGACTCCCTTAACAGCCAGGGTACCGTCGTATGCGCTCCCGAGACTAAATTTGGAACCTTACCAAATGCAACACCTTTATTGGATGTTGGTGGCCTAGGAAGACTACTATATTGACCCGTTGTCTGCTAAAATCTTTCACCCTGTAAACGACAAATTATTTTCTGATGTTTTTTTTTGGGTTTATCACAGTGTCGTATATTATATAATATTTTATTACAATAATATATATTAATTGTTTAAATATATATACTAACATTTGATAAGGGACTTGTGCTACGCAGTGCCAGATTCTCGTGCTCCAAACTAGCTTGTCTGAGCTTCATTTCGGACAAGGAGGTGAGAAGTCAAGCTTTTGCGTCTCCAGCGAGCTTCTCGATAGAATTTCCTTGAGATAGATTAAAACTCTCGTTTATTTTAAGCTCTATATCGACGATACACGATTCGTAAAGTCGTATCCTACCTTTTGCAATGCTCTTCCATCTGCCTTAGAGTATCTTTCTTGTCCTGAAGCATGCTCTCTAGCTCTTGAATCTTATTCGATTGCGCGTCGACTGCTCGGATAGAACCGACACTTCCATATGCAGCGCTCCACGTTCGCTTTCCAGTTTTCTTAGGCGTTCCTGAAGAGCAAAATTGAACAAAATGATCGTTAATGTTTTGGTGAAGAATTGAAATGATAAGACTTAAATGATAAGATTAAAATAATAAGATGAGAATTTAAAATAATTTTTTTTTTTAAATAATATTTATTTAAAAAAAAAAAGAAGATTGGGGAAATAATTCATACATATAGCACACACATACATATATATACAATATATAATCTGAAGAGTTTTATTGAGACCTTTTTCTATATACAGTATACCTCGGTTTTACCATGGTAATTGTTCATGCAAACGTCGCTGCCGCAGTGAAACTGCTGCAGTGAGCAATAGTGCAGCCTCTCTCTCTCATGGCAGATGAGATCGCTGTGAGACATGGCCCTCTGATCGCGATCCACTCTACTGCGTAATCTACGTCGTCTTCTACCTAGAGAACGGTAGTCGAGTCTACCGGCAGCGACGTCGTGCTGTTCGTCCTACTACCCGCGTGTATCCCACGCTCTTTACGCATGTCGGACCCTTGCTGCAGATGACAGATGTGCGGATAATGAACGACGTGTTCCTTAACGGCGTGATGCGCGAACTCGTTGGATATGCTGTCGCAAAAGAAGATCGAGGAGAGTTTTCTTCAATGTGTTATACGAATAATATAAATTGGATTTGGATATGCTTATAGAGAGAAAGGTAGCGACCTTGTACACGGCGTCGCGCAAAGAGACGAGAAACTTCCCAGATGACTGGTGGATGACGCCGGGCAAATATTAGGCATACCGCTGGATACTGCACAGATATTAGGCATACTCCCTTGAAGCGCTAGCATCTTAGCATAGCCGAGTAAGCAAGCCTACAACGATATCATCAATACCTCACGGCGGAAGAGATATCTCTCTTGTTTTTCGAAATATAAAATTATTTCTCGCTAATTGACAATTTATATGAATACAATATCTAGAAGTATATACAGTTTCCTGTTTGATTTCTCTCTTTCTCTCTCTGTCTCAAATCTACCTGACATAAGCACTCTTGTGACCGGTAGGCGGCCTGGCACGCGATTGTCGATCCCGCGATGCCTCGTGGATAATCCTCGTGAACGTACTCTTCCCACCTCGGAATCTGACGACGTGCCCGACGAGTCGTAGCCCTCTGAGGGCGTCCATCGGCTGGTCCAGAGCTTTATAGTCGACGCCGCGTCCGAGGAGTCCGATTGCGAACCTGAATTTAGATATTACGGATTAAAAGCTTTTTTAAAACCATCTGGAGCGCGCGCGCGTGGAGGCTTCTCGAGAAATTCCTCCAGTCCGGTATCACCCGCGGCGACGGCGAAGATCTACGAAGAGATCTATTTTTCGTGCGGCAGTCGTGACTCCGCTTGTTTACTCAAGGAGATTGAAGCGACGCGATCGATCCCGCGTACTGCTATATACTCGTACGTGTACGAAGTCAATGAACGTTACGAGCCCTCGACGGTCAACCGCGCGCGTAAGTCCGCGGTTAAGGCAATCTATTTCGAGCGTACTCCATCAAAGCATGACTTCGATGCCAGCCAGCCAGCCGCACGATTTTAGTGCCTGAATGCGAGTCTCGCGATCATCTCGACTGTCGGACGTCTGCCAAGAGTTTTATCGTACTTTTTACTGAAACACACATTGAAAATGTCGTAGTTTCACCCTTAAGACCGGTTGTTCCAATTTCTTGATGAGTTTTACCTTTACCCTACAGATAGCATATTTTTGTCTCTATTTTAGAACTTATCTGAAAAGATATGAAAATATTCTACCTGTCGCGTACAACTTACCAAGAAGTGGAAAAATTGGCCCTTAAAATCATAAATCATTCGATGAAAAAAAAGATCGGCAAACGTGTTGATAGGAAGATAAATTCTGGGTCTCGATATCGTCGCACTAATTTTGTAATTCCGTATATGTATGCTAGCGCCAATATAGGACATACGCGAGAGATGAGAAAAGAGATTGAAGAGAGACCTTTCGCTTGTCCCTTATCTTCTTCTTCCATTATCGGGGCAAGATTTTTTCGTTCCGCGGCGATAATGTCGCCGCTCCACGATGCATTCTCCATGATGAATTTGTTTTATTCTTCGAAATCACCGCGTTTCTGCTTTCCAATTAAGCTCAGTACGATGCACATTACGATCTGTTCCAGTAACAGATTTATTAATAAGTCAGTAAAAATATCATCAAGGTGCTTTTCTCGACAAAGAAGAGTTTTCACGTTTCTATCACTTACTTTTCAACAGAAACACTTGACAGACGTCAGCGGGGATAAGAGTAGTCGCAGAGAGTTTATTGGACTCCAATAATGCGTTCGTATACAATAGAACGTTATCACGATGAGATGCACTCTCGCGTTACCAACCGCGACATCGTCTCAGCCGAAACTAAAATTAACGCCATGAAATCCTTTTAGAGGAGCGGGAGGGAGTACCAAAACGAGAAAGAGAGAAAGAGAGAGAGAGAGGCGCGACAACAATTTATAAATAGATTAGTATCCTCTCTTTTTGTTACCTAGAGAAGATCGCGGCCATTAGACGGCTCTCCACAGTCCTTCATCCGGATACTTAAACAAGATAAAAGAATAAATGAGAAGAGCTTAAAACAATTCAAGTTACATACTCAGATGTATAAAATAATGTACCAATAATACATTATATTTACAATTTTGTTTGCTAATGTAAATCTAAAAATAACAATTATGTATAATAACGCATAACGTAATTATTATACATTTTATATCATACTTATCTCTTTCCTGCGAAGAGATGCGTAACTTTTCATCACATATCACATATATACATTGCTCGAAAGGCAAATATCACTCTATAAAAAAAGTGATGGCGATTAATCAAATCGTGGACGATTTTGTTGGTCTCGATCACATCACATCACGTCTGTAATTACGTTCAACATTTAACGTTCAACAGCTGGCGCGTCCGGATGTAAACGTACGTGACGTACTGACGTGTAAGTCCGGATGCGAGGTCGCAGCTCCGGATGCACGCGACAGAAGCTCGTCACACGTGTTTCACGCACATCCGAAATTATTTACGCATCGCGAAGAAACATTCGAGTCGTCTTTCGTTGAGCGTCGGAATAAAATCGACGCGGAAAGAACATAGCGTAGTAGTCATCTTTGTCGGTCGGTGCATCGCTTACCGGTTGCATCCACTGCAACAGGATATCCTCGGTGGCGGCGTCGGGGGCGGGGGTGGAGTCGGCGCACTCTTTATCGCGGTCACCAGATTCCTCGCCGCATCTTTCACCGAGTTTTTCCACTCCGAGCTTCCACTCTCGGCCGAGCTTTCCGCGCAAGCACCTGTAAATATATTTGGCGATATAGAAAGCGATAAATGTTAATTACATTAATTGTAAAATATAAAAAACTAGGCAGATATATATTATACGCAATAAAGTTATTTTTAAATTCCTCTATAATTATTTTGAACATTTCAGTCCTTCCTCAGCAAATCAAAGAGAAAAAAGGGAGAACAAGACGCTCCTTGTTCTTCTCCACCCTTTGATATGCTGAGGATGATTCAAAGAAAAGACTGAAATAAATATTCAAGATAAACAAGAATAAGAAATTCAAAATAAATAGAGGAATTTAAAAATAATTTTGTTGCATTTAATAACAATGCTTGGTCCTTTTTATACCTAAATTTATATTTATATATCATACCTTTTTCAATCCATGAATTTAAAATTAAAATGCAAAATATACAAGAAATAGATTTTTAATCTATTATATAATTGCTCTATTTTAGATAATATAATCATATCTTTAAATCAATTTATTAACTCATTCTTGGAGAAATGAATTATTTCTTTTTACTTTTTAATGACGAGATGTAAAACGAAATCTCTTTTCTTTCTTTAGAATTCGCGTTGATATCGTTGTGTTGACAAAATGTAGAAATATCTGCACAGAGAAAATTTTCTCTTAAAATTTACTCTGAAAATCATGGTAGGTAATCGTAGAATAATATGGTATTGAAAGAATTTTACAAGAGTTTCTCTGATTAATATTTACCACAATAAAAATTATTAATATCTACCATAATGAGATATAAAATATATTCGATTAATTTTACTATGTACATATTAATATTTTTATTGTAATAAATATTAATCAAAAAAATAGGATTACCATGATTTTCACACTAAATTCTAAAAGAAAATTCTCTTCATGTACAATAAATAATGTATCTACACCGAAAAAGAAATTATGAAATTAATAAATATTTCTTTCAATACTGATATTCATTTGTTTTAAAAAGGATTTTCTTATATTATCCAATAAATATATTTCACATATCAAATCAATATCATTAGTTTCAAATAAATGATTTATTTGGCAGTATCGAAAGAAATACTTATTCGAATTCAATCAATCTTTTTTCTCCCAATCGGTGTACAAAAATCTGGATCGTACCAGAAATAATGTCGTCCATCTGGAGCAAGGCGGCCTCCAGCATCTTGCTCGCCTCGTTCGAGCTCTTCGCCAGGAAGGTCGATTCTCCCGCCTGCGCTGTCGTGCCGTTTCTCTCCTCACCTTTGCCCATCACCGTTTAACGCTGCAAGAAGAAAGATACCTTTCTCACGTGTTCCTCCAACATTTTTCCAAACATTCCGAATAAATAATTTCTATCGAGAAAAGAGACCCGCAAATCTAAAAGATACTGAGAAACGTAACGAAACCTCGCGCTGATTCATGCGATTTTCCAGACGACGTAGCTGCACCGTCGTGGGGCAAAACGCACTCGTTAAGACGATAATTGCGCCGACGAGTTTGGGAGCGCGTCGTTAAATAGAACGCGGAAATACCGTGAACGAGAGCGATTTTAAGTTGAACGGACGGCTCTTCATTTTATTTCGGGTTTATCGAAATATAAAACGAAAAAAATAAAGACTTAGAATTTTAATAATGTTTTTACGACTATTGTAAAATTTCCAGATTACACAAATTTACGACAAAAAATGTGCATTTGCGCCGTATTATGTAAGAAAAATTATAACAGATATACGGTATAACTGTATGGTTATATAATTTTTGTTGAGAGAGAAAAAGAGCGCTATTTGTGTGAAGTATGATAACTAATGTAATTTAAAAAAAGCGGGAAGAGTATACATTTTTTTAAATTAATCAATTGTAAACTTGACGCACACAAGTTCTGAAATTATAATCTTTAAATTCAAAATTCACACCTGTGTTGCTTGTAAATATACATCCGTAACCGGAATCTTGCGAATAAAAAAAATGGAATTCGATCTTCTTTCAAATTGGATTATATAAAATATAAAACATCGATTTTTCAAAACTGCAGAATTGCAGGAAACCGAAAATAGAGACATACTTTGTAGCGTTTATATTATATATCGATGATCGAGTTTACAAGATTTTGAAGCACTTTACGTATGCAAAGCGACATTCTTATCAGCGATAAGGGGCATATGACGAATTTACGTTGCAACGATCGATCGTGGAAAAACATTAGTAAGAGAGACAGAAAAAGAGAAGAAGGAGGACGAGACGCCCAGGGAAGGAGAGAGATCGAAACGTCACGAGCTGAATGTTATTATTTGTTCTCGATCCCGATCTTACCGTCCCTCTTCATGATAACGACGATAAAAACGCCGAGAAGAACCGAATTATATAGTTAATAAAACAACGAACGAAATAAACGTGCGACGATCAACAGGTACCGAAGAGCAACGCCCAGACACTTTGCCACCATAACGTGCACTCCGTCTCTCTGTCCCTTCCCCACCGGTCCCTCTCTTTTTCTCTCTCTAGCCCTCTTTCTCTCCCTTCATCTTCGCTTCATTAACCTTTTTTTTCGCGGACGAAACTGCGTCAAACGTAAATAAATAATTCTGCTCCGCAAACATTTATTTACAAAATATCCTCTCTATTTTTATACACTTATTTAGTCATTAATTTTTATTTTTATATAAAAAGCACTGATCAATCTTCATCTCAAATTCGTTCATTTTACTTGTAGTAATATTTAAAAATAAAAATACAGTTAGAGAGAATATAATGACAGCCTCCATAAATTAAAATATTTTATGTGCGACACAGATTACTTTCACGATAATCATTTACTCATTGATAAAAATCACATGATTTTTATAAGGAAAAAGCATCCCAACAATAATAAATTAATGCTAAATATAATAAAAATATGCAGTGCAGAAAATTGTAGATTACCTGTTCACGTCAATCGGGAACTGTCAACTTGGGGATGCCGATTCGACGAACATTGATAAACTCACTGAAATCCAAAAGAGAACATCGATAACGACGACGACGTTTCTCGCACGATGCCACAACAAACAACAGAATGACTTGCGCCGTGAAGGGGACTCGGAAAAAGGAGGTTAGTTTCGCGGAATCGACACGAGACTCGCGCCTTATCTCTCTTATATAAAAACCGATCAAAGTACACCCGGACATTCCATGATTCTCCAAAGTAAAGATTCACGCGAATAAAACTAGCGTGAATCGAGGGAGAAACAAATCAGCGCGATGACGGAGCTCCGCGTAAACACGTCATAGCGCTCTGACGTTTGACGTTTGACAGTTGACAAGTCGTCGCGCGCGCGCGCTACCAACCGAACCGCGAGCTTAGATTAAGCTAGGTCACGTTCGGCGGACACGTGTGTGCGCGTCTGCGCGCACAACGCACCTTCGACCCGAAATTGCACGAAATTGCATCCGCCGCGAACTTTGTCCAGTTGGCAGCAGTGCCGATATCGCGATATGTACTCGCGGAGCGAGAGAAACTGTACTCCGGATCCCGCTTCCGTTACATTTGATACTCGCGCGTGCGGAAGAGGAGGTGGGGGAGGGGGAGGGAGAGAATAAAAAGTACGCGCGCGAGGTTCTCCGTCGTGGCGCCGAACAAGGTGCTCCCGTGGAATGTGAGTAAGTGGTCGCGAGGAGAGGTGTTCCGTTCCGCCCTACCTTCCGTTCCTTTCTCTTCGTCTCTATATCGTCCCTCTCCCCCTACGCGCACCTCCTTCTTCGTCGTCGCGTGCGCGACCGCCAGAGACTTTCCGCGGAAAAGCCGCGAAAACTACGTCACGAGTGACGGATTCGCTCGAAACTGGGACAAAGTGCAGTGCACTCTGGCATTGCGCTTTACCACCAGGTGTTTCTATGCCGTAATCTTCCCAGGATTGGGTAATACTCGTACCGTTGCACCTTGCTCACTCGAACACCCGCGGAATATATATATATATATTATCTCTCTTTCTCTCTCCTTCCCTCTTTCTTTCTCTCCGTCTCTCCGCGCGCGTATCGCGAGTCGCTCCAACTGACAGCGCACCTGACAGAGAGACACAGACACACACGGGTTTATCGCTGGACGGAGAGAGAGCTGACAGGTAAAGGAGGCGTCGGAGAATCGCGCAAGAGAGACCCGTAATTCGGAATTCGTAATCGAGAGAAATATACAAGAGACTCTCGCGCCGCGCGGCGCGACACAAAAACAATCTTGTTTTTTTTTTCTCTTTTTTTTTTCCGCACGAACTCGCGAGAAGAGTCGTCTTCCAGAAGAGGGTTGCGAGGTGAACGCGACGACGACGACGACGTGTCCACGAGCATGGTGACGACGATAAACGAGATGACGTTATGTAGGACACTCGACGTTCGCTTCCTCGACGCTCCATTTCTCCATCTCGTTCGCTCGATTTCGTCAAATATGGAACGCGATCGATCCTTACGCGCCCCTGGTTCCTTTGACATCGTAAATCCGTCGACACGAGATTGCGAGAGACGTTCGAATGACGCCACGGTTGTCTGTGACATTTAAATAGGCCATGGTTGTTTGAGCGGGCAAACTGGCTGTTCGAGGGTGAATTCTTTGACATTTAGAAGCGTCTAGAAATGCGACGCGAGTTTTCGTGACGTGTAGGCATGCTTGTGCAAGCTATTTGTGAATAAGTAATCGACTAATCTGCGCTTGTCATCCTCTAGATTAGATGACGGACTCAGGACATAGTCCTTCCGCTTGATAACATGTCAGATGGGGTTGACGGTGGTGGTGGGGAAAACGAGGTAGACTCTCATTCCTCGTCACACGCCGAAGCTGGAGACTCTTCCAATCACAGAGAGGAAGAGGCCTTAGATCCTGATAACGAAGCGGCTCTCAATACCAATTATGATAGTAGCGACGGAGCTGTCCCTGCCTTTAGGTGAGATTTCACTTGCGTTTCAATTTAGACGCTGTGTCAACAGCAGTAGTTATGATGGGAAATACCTGAAACATGAGTTTTTATCGATGAATGTATCTTAATTGTATGCACCTGCTTAATTCCAGATGTGATAGGTGTGACAATTATGAAACTATAAACAAGACAGCTTTCTCCGCTCATCAAGATCAATGTCTGGCAAGCGGCGAGGCTGGGGAGAGCGCTGAGGGCATAGAAGGGACGGAGAATGACGGAGACGGAGAAGAGGGCCATTCAGGGATGAGGTCTCACAGAAAAATGTTTGAATGCGATGTCTGTAATATGAAATTTTCAAATGGAGCTAACATGAGACGACACAAAGTGAGTATATTAGACTATACACAGATCTATTGTGTGTATGTTAAATTGTTTGATGTGACAGTGAAAAAATTTGACAGGCACAAGTATTAAGTGCGACACTAGTTTAAAATAAACATATATAAAATTCTTCTAAATAAAATATATATAATCTTTCTTTTTATATAAAATGATTTTTCACATTCACTGTGGATTTATCCGTAAACGTTTGACCTATTTCGTGATTTATCTTTTTCAGATGAGGCATACGGGCGTGAAACCATACGAATGTCGGGTATGTCAAAAGAGATTCTTTCGGAAGGACCATCTTGCGGAACACTTTACGACGCATTCAAAAACTTTGCCATACCATTGCCCGATATGTAACCGTGGTTTTCAAAGACAGATCGCTATGCGCGCTCATTTTCAGAACGAGCATGTCGGTCAGCACGATATGGTTAAATCGTGTCCTCTCTGCAATTATCGTGCAGCGACTATGAAATGTCTTAGGCTGCATTTCTTTAATAGGTGAGTCGTGCGTGAATTTTAGAGAATTATTTGAAGAAACAGAAAACATTGTTCTTTTTCTTTTTTCATTTTATATACAAGTTCCTTTATTATTCACAGACACGGAATAGATTTAGATAATCCAGGACCAAATAGCTCTACATCCATAATGAATAGTTGCACATCCGGAGAAGCGATGCCTTCGGCACCTCTATCCGACAGCGGGGATAGCACTGGCAACCGTTCAACCGACAACGCTACACCTCCCATGCATTTTCTCACGCCTCACGTGGAGATATCCATTCCTTACCCCGAACAGGCTGCCAATCAGCGAAATCCGAGTCCTGCCCCATTGAACGGAGACAGTCCCAATAGTCCGCAGAGCGCCGACAGCAATAGTAATGCACCGAGCAGTAGTCATCATCAATTAACTATCAATAGCAGCACCATTCATAGGTGAGTATTTCAATTTATTCATTTTATCCCAACGATCAATGTGTTAATTTACTATTCATCAGATGAATTTTGGTCCCTTCCTCAGAAACGTAGGCGGAGGCGACGAAGCGATTACACCGTCGATCTCTCTGATACCCATCAAACAGGAACCAAACAGCAACGGTATGGACGACAGTGGGGCAACGTCGAGCAATCTGCCGTTGCCATCGCTGATCAAAGTGTCACCGTTAAAGTCATTGCTGCGCGATGATCTGCGTCGCAAGCTCTCCACCAGTTCTGCTAATAACAACAATAACAACAGCAACAACGGCGGCTGCGGCGCCAATCCCCATTCGAGGGGTGAACCACCCACCTCGACCCGGCCGGATCCACGCACGAGCGGACTCCAGTGTACCCACTGTCGCATCACGTTTCCGGATCAGACGTTATACTTCCTTCACAAAGGTTGTCACAGCGAGAGTAATCCGTGGAAGTGCAATATTTGCGGGGAGCAGTGCTGCAATCTGTACCAATTCAACTCGCATTTACTGAGCAAGAGTCATCAGTAGCTGGGAGAAGAAGACCGAGAGAAAGAGAGATACCTGCGGCTAAGAATTCGCCTTTCCTCTTTTTGTTTCTTCTTTTTTCCTCCCATTTCTTCGTTGAACGAAAGAAAACGGTAGGAGAATCGGTACGTATATTGTTACGTACGTTCAGTGTTCATTAGTATGAAGGTGCAAGTAATTTTCTGCGACGTATCCAGGCATACTCTCGACCAAAAATACTTTTAAAAATCGCAAGAATGCGCCCGTCCCTTCTTCCGCCGAAGCATGACGGCCAGTCAATTGTAAATTAAATTTTAAATTATTTTTAAAAACTTAAGTATGTCTACTCTCTCGGAAAACAATGTATAAAGCGCGACAAATTGTGCCTTTTCTTTAAAAGAGAAAGAGAGAGAGAGATAGAGAGAAAAAGAAAAATTCGAGAAAGGAAAAAGAAATTGCCAACACATAAACTCGTCCTTCATGCTGTTATAATGTACGAACTATCCGTCCATAGGGCTTTATTGAGATATTCCGAGCTCTATCATTAGTCTTAAATTAGTGAAATAAGTATAGAAACGCGCGCGCGACGAAGCACGTCGCGGATTGCTCTGTCGATAATTATGAGAAGTAAAATATATATAAATATATAGCTGCGCCGTACTTTGTCGCGAAAAAAATTACGTTAAAATTTCGGATAGAGATTATCTAATTGCTTTATGCGGTTCGAATGCTCGAGACAAATACGACAACGTGGATATCCAGTCAGTACATATAGGGGGAAAAAGAAGCGCGTTTATTATTGTCCCAAGGCCTTTGAAAAGTAAAAAAGAATACAAAGTAACTAAAAAATTACACACACTTGAAAGCTATATGCGTTGAATTTATATAGCAGAAGAGTGACACCGTGATAATTGAAAAATTCACTCTTGAATGACTTTAGTGGTCGAGATTTTTTTTTGGACTTGGGAAGAGGTAATTAGGTCAAAATAAATTCGAAAAATCCGAAAGCGTGTCGACACACCAAGAGTGCATGCGGTGAATAATACGTAATCGACCGCGAGATATTATCGGGTTTACTTTTTTTGTTTCTCTTTTTTTTAAATAGGAATGTTTGTTACATCAGTGAAATCGGTGTACAATTGAAAGGTGAAGAATATGTACAGGGCACAAACGAGCCAAGCTGGACATGCGTTATTAATTATTAAAATACGATAGGGAGCAAGTTTGAGAGATGTGACTTTTAGCCGAAAAGTTAAACCGTACCGAGCAGGCAGGTATCTCGATGTCGGTCCGATTTGGCCGAGGTCACTTCTCTCCGTCTTTCGCCTTTGATTCGATAAATATTTTATATATAAATATTTGTACAGAGAAAAAAGAAAGTATTAGAGGAGAGAAAGCACGAAGGGAAGAAAATCGAGATAGTAAATATATATATATACATAGTATATATACTATATATACACAGCGTATATGTATATATAAATATATATATATATATATATATATATATATATATATATATATATATATATATATATATATGCATAGAGTCACCAGCAGCAGACACAGATATCTGTACACCACGCGGATATTATATATAAATATATATACATATATAAATATGCCGTCTCTGAAAGAGACGGAGAGATACACAATACACATATATACACTGCGGACACTGCTGTAAATGGTTGTAGTTATTTAAAATAACTATTCTGTATATCGCGTAGTATTTAATACGATTATATAATTATTTATTAGAGTCTAATTAATTTATTATTGCTTTGCATTCCACATAAGGACCGAGACCACGGGACTATACGATTAAATAAGCGAATATCATGATAGAGTTAACGGTGCTTTTCTAACAGAACCGATCGCGTTAATATAATAATTTAATGGGCGAACTTTTACGAATAAAAAAAAAGATCTATCGGATCTCACAAGAAAAAATAGATATATACTGAGCGAACGAACAGCGAATGAAAATTTTCGTGTTCATTTTTTTTGCATTGTACCAAACATTCGTTGTTTGGATTGTAATCTCATTCTTTAATTTTAATATATGAAATGAGTGAACTAATGAGTTCGAATGCAAATCGACAAAGATTCTGTTTGTAATCGTTACGCATCTTTTCCGAACATTTAACAGCAAACATTCGCATTCATTATTCGTTCGTTCGCTTAGTTTATATCCATCTGGAAACTAATGCAACGTACACGAATTATCTCTTCGATCGATATACGTATTTAAGCTGTCGCGAAACTACCACTATTTTGTATGCAAGGCACATATATTCATCATTATTATTATTAGAACACGTTCGTCATCCGCACTTTCGATCCTTATTAAAGCATCATTGACGTACAAATCTTTTTAGATACCTTTACAAAAAAAAGAAACTCGTCGTACTCTCGCGCGGGTCCTCTCGAGAGCGGAGTCGTGGAGAAGAGAAAAAAGTGCCTGATTGGAAATAACGTGTCTCATCGAGAACGAAAGAAAGTTGCGTGTATTCGCGTGGGAGGAGAAACGAACCCAGCAAACACCGATATATAATTGTTACATTGCTATAATAAAACGGAATATAACAGATAATATAACGTGTACGTTACATGTAACATCCATGTTAATTGTAATTTCCCACTCATAGATGTAACATTTTAATATAACATATATTACATTGTAGTTATATTGTAATTATATACCAAATAGCACATTGATATATTGATAAGTCAGTGCTATCTTGGGATATAATGACAATATAATTACAATGTAATATATGTAATATTAAAAATGTTACATCTATGAGTGGGAAATTACAACTAACATATACGTTACATGTAACATGCTTGAGTATATAACATTTATATACTGTGTTTGCTGGGAAGGAATCTGGATTTGGTAAAAGGATAGGAGCGAAACAGGCGAAGAGATATGCGATTCGCAAAGGTATACGGACCAGGAGCGTGTGTGTTAACCCGTGTTCACCGTATGTGCTTACATGCTTTAGCGTATATAGCGACGCCTTTACACTGTGATCACGTTTACAAAGAAAAAAAATAGTCTTAAAGCTAGAAGATAGACGTAAAGGTATATATCTTAGGGCAAGCGAGAGTACGACGAGAGAGGCTCACGGCCTCGGGAGATGTATGTGGTAAGACAGGCGTTTTCGACACCGCATCCTGAAGTTCTGACCCTACCATCCGCACCTTCCCCTCTCGATTATTCCTCTCCCCCTCCCTCTCCACACTTATTTATACGACATACGAATAAAGATATATTTAAATCGATAAGAGAATGGAATATAAAAGTAAAAAAAAAAATATTGTTGATGTTACTACGGTGTAATGGGTACAATCTAAATACATGAATATTATGTATATAAGGAATAGAGAATGGAGAGATTTTTATCGTACACACACGTCTTATTCTCTTTCTTGCTCACCAATTTCCTTCGTAAAAGGTTCAAATAATCCAACTAGATTATTTGGATTTTTTTATACCATTAATATATAAGGTACATTTGATGTTTAACAAAAATATTGAGAGTATTCGAGCCACTATTAATTTAAAGTAGAAAACTTCGCGACTTAAGCTTCAGAGATAAAAAATAAATAATGAAGTATTATTTATCTTAATAGAACCACAACTTTGTAAAATTTGCAAAGAATGATGGCATTCTGATTATGCGATATTTGTTAAGGAAAAAATAATTTTAATCTAATCAAAGTATTCGTATTCTCTGTCATCAAATCTAGAGCGAGAATATATTTTACATACATCATATACACATCGCAAGTTCTGTTTCGAATGACTGATTTCCACGAGAGAAATTAGACTTATTGCTGTTATCATATGTGTATGGATACAGAAGCGTTTTATATTACAATGTTTGTTGTGTTAAAGCTATGACAGAGAAAGAATGAGAAAATATGAAAAAGAAAGAAAGTAGAATCCTTTAGATACGTATCACTCGTCACTCGAATAACGCTCGAGCTCCAGGACACGGTAGAAGATAGACGTCTCTTTTTATTAATTTCAAAAAGAAAAAAAACGAAAGAGAAATGTATAGAAAGAAAAGTTTTACTTCACCTAACTAAACGCAGTAGTAAACAAATTCCTCTTTTATTTATCAAATTGTCGCGTTCTTATATAGAGTAAATTTCAGCTTTGTTGCACCAACGATATATATAGATATAGATAACAAATTATTTTAAATAAACTTCTTTAATTGATCATTCTTCGGATTATGTAACCGTCCGATCGTATAGCACCATTAATAAAATACATATTTATCTTATAAATTACAAGTTAATTAAAATTAGAAGGAAATTCATTAAAAACATTTTTAATTTATCTAATCACGTCTAAATTAAATAAAAAAATATGATTTAATAAATTGGATATTTGTTACAACAAGAAACAAACCAGTCAAGATTTTTTAAATCTAAAAATAGTATAAAATTAATTATTTCTTTTTTCCCTCACTTCCGAATCTAACTACCAGCTATCTCTAATATACATGTGATGAAAAATTTAATTAACCATGGGTTAACTAACGTTGGTGCAACCAGTTCAAAGTATGAATATTCGGTTGTCTGGTTATAACAATAAATTACGCTACGTTGCACTTAACAATATCATATAAAACACACGCACAATTCAGCCTACTTCTTTTGCTCTCAGATTTATCGCGTATTACATACTCTTCGCAAAAAAAGTATACGAGGACAATCGACAAAATCTCATTTCACAAAATTATTTGACAATTTCTTTTCTATGGAATAAACTGCAAATAAATATATATATATATATATATATATATATATATATATATATATAAATTATATTAAATACATTTTCTAATTTTCGCGTTTTTACCTCAATGTGAAGCACTTGAAAGTATTTTTACGAGTTTATGTTAAAGCGAAAGCGCGATAGATATATAAAAAATATTAATTCTTCGTCTTCTACCCCATCGAGTATTACAAGAAATCTCCGCGTGCCGTCGTCAATTTCAACTCTTACACCGGTTTACTCATTCAATGCGAATATATAATTCTAATAATTCGCGCTAGAATAGAACAACGTGGCACTAGAGCAACGTACACGCACACAAGCGAGTCTAAAGAGTCTCGTGTCAGGTCGGCTGAACAGATGATTGTCAATCGGTGGCCTGATTCGTCTTGTGGCTGAGAATGGTTTCGATGTTGCGCTGAATCCGCGCGATCTGCGATCGCTTACTCCTCGTCGGCGTCATCGTGCTCCCCTCTTCAATGTACAAGTTGTCGGCAGCCGCCTCCGGCCATCCAGCCGCCGCCGTCGTCGCCACCACCGGAGTCTCCCGTTTCCGGTCTGTAAGCAGAGCAAACGAATGAATCCTCACACCGACTTCATCGGTCAAGCGAGACAAAGGGAGAAGAGAACCTCGTCTCGAATCGCAATATCGCGTTCCGAGATAAACTTATTCTATCTAGGGGGATAGAAACGTTTTATTCAAAGAGATAATCTGTGCTTTTTCGACTGTTTCGTTTAAATTAACTCTTTCACAGTGTAACATAGATGCACATTAATAAAAAAACTGGTATGCTATGGAAATCCGAATATAATATCAAAATTTCAAATGATGGACTAAAATTTGAAAATATAAGTATATCAAGAATTATTGAGGTCGCTAAATTAAGATATATATCTGAATTTGATCAAAAAGAATCACATAAAAGTAATAATTTCTTTAAACTTTATGAAAAATATTATATCAATATTTTACAATTAGATGTCATTTTTCAATTCTGATGTCACATTCGGATTCAGCGACCTCAAATACTTTAATAAAATTATTGCGGAAATCTACGAAACTTTTTTCACACACTGGTGGCACGAAGATCTCATTTTTGCCACTGTAAAGGAGTTTTAATTAATCATCGACGCGGTGTCAATAAATTATTCTCGCAGTACAAATGAATTTTGCCTTCGATTAAATGTCGAGTTGCTCTCACAATTATGATTAACGAATTAAATTTGAAAATAAGATGTTTGGCTCGCGAAGACGAAGAAAAAGGATCCAAAAGTACACGTTGCGGAAACGCGTGGCGTGTTCGGAGACACACGTATTTCGGGAGCACCGTATACATCGCGTTACGCTTCCGGTATATATAGCCGGCCGGTCCACATATAAATACAACTTCCGAGGCGTGGGAGCGCAATGAAATATTCAGACGGGGAAAAGATCCCGCGTCTCGCTTTCCGGCCGAGAAGCGCGGCGTATATATTGACGCATTTCGCGGCTAAAATTGGCGACGGATTGATTTTCGGGCTCACGCTCGCGTCAAAACTCGAAACTGCAACAACTGCAGGAACGGACTCGCCAAAAGCGAGTTTTTGCGAATCGTAATTCTACCGTAGGGAAATTGCAAACAACAAGCTCGTGGCTGTATTTCGCGATAAAGCTTCAAAAACGATTGCGAAGCGCGACTTCACACGATAATAAGGACGCTACAAAATTGACAATTGTAAAGTAGAAGACACAAATGATATAACAGATTTTTTAAATCCCCTACACGAGTGAACAGCAAAAAAAATAATAAAAATGATTTATTAAGCAAGTGAGCTTATATATTTTACTTATAATTCTAATGAAAAAATAAGCTCAAGCTTTTCGATAGAATAGCGAACAATTTTGTTGAAACGTCTCAATATCATAATTAACTATTTAAAAAAAATCGTATATGTGTGTGTCTACAAACACCCAGCACTGACAAGCGCGCGCTAAAGTTAGAGCGCGCCGAGTCAAGCCGAGCCGAGCCGCGCAGATGAATGAAAGCAGATAAACGTCGGAACAATCGCGTCATTTTGTTTTCGCGCGCGAATAAATAATTCTCGCGCGGTGAGTGCAGCGAGCGAGCTAGCGAGTCTCGGTCTCGTCTTGTCTGTTTTAAGATCCGTCTACTCTACAAACAGCTACTACTTCCTAAAATATCATCGGCGTGGTTCGGCCGCTCGCACGAAAATCCGCGCTCTGACGTAACGCACGTGCGCGTTTCTGTCCGCGCTGATTTGCGAGATGAACGGCGGAACATGTGAAAGACACGATTTTAACGAAATTCGGAAACCGCTCAGACATTTCCAGCTCGACAATCTTGATATTAATTACAATTATTATTTGTAAAATCAAAGAAAAAAATATATCATTAAAATTCATTGATATTAATTAATTCTTTCAGAGAAAATTGTATTTATATCGCAAATAATATAACTCTGAATTTATGCATATTCAAAATATCGCTATATACAGAGTCATCTGAAATGATGTCATTAATCATGTATGTCGAGCAATTTGGTAGCAAAAAAAAAAAAAATAAAAAGAAAAAAAAATACGAAATGGAAGCGTAACCTTGAAATAAACCTTGAAATAGAAAGAATGAGCGAGGAGAGAGATTTGAAAGATGATAATGCGAAGATTAAAACAAGATCTATGTTGATGATAATGTAAATTATAAAATATCGCGTGAGTACGCGCACGATACGCTTTTCTAGGGCCCCTGTCGGGTCGCTCCGGATCCCACATCTCACGTACGGCAAAAATGCGGAACGTGATATTACGTATTATGCAAATACCTATATCATAGCGGAAATAAACGCGTAAGAGAACAATCTACTGAATGAAAGTTCAATAATGAGCTACGTGCTGTGTATATGTGTCAATGGGGCCCCTTGCGCGTACATATTTCTTGGTACCAGTCTTGTGTATGTGTGTTTAATCCGGCACAAGCAGACATATTTTAATGTCACCTGAAACATTATCCTCGCTTGTAATACGATATATTATTCTCATTCTGATTTAATTCAATGCTAATTTGAAATCGCGATTAAAATATATACACGGAGAGATATTCCTCTTAGAATTTACCCTGAAAATCATTGTAATCGTGGGACAATATGGTATTGGAAGAATTTTATAAGTTTCATCTCTGATTAAAAATATTTACCACAATAAAAATAATCGAACATATTTTATATCTTATTGTAGTAAATATTAATATTTTTTATTGTGGTAAAAATATTAATCAGAGAAACTCTTATAAATGTAGTATTCTTCCAATACCATACATTGTCTCATGATTACCATGATTTTCAAAATAAATTCTAAGAGAAAATTCTCTCTGTGTCGACTAAGGATACTCGAGTGACGTGCCAAAAAAATACAATATATATATATATATATGCATTAGCCGACAGGCAAACGGTACTTGACGGTCACCCCGTGTGAAACGTGAACGGTGAACGTACGGTCGCGTGTGAAGCTCATTCAAGTGCGGTACGAGTTAAGCGAATTTATTGTGTGTATTTGCGACCTCCCTCGCATTCGGCCGTTTGTCGTTCGTCGTCCGCCTTCCCTTCCCTCTTCGTCCCTCTTCTTCGTTTCGGCGCACAAAATGATCATTGCGAACATGCACGCAACTACATTTTATACGGTCGCGCGCGACGGATGTGTTGATTGTAAAAACGACGCGTAACCACGCGAGCCTCGATTTCACCGTTGTGTTAAGCAATAGTCAATGTTAAGCAATGACATGCCAATAATTTACTTATTAGAGTTTAAATGGCCTTTCGCAATTCATATAATGTCGATTTTTAAATCAAACAATTTTGAACGGAGAGATCGCTTAAAATATTCGAGACAAAATGTTAATTGTTGTATTTTTAAATTGACTAAAAACTCGTTACTCTTATTGTTGCGATTAAAAATAAAATGTTCTATTAATAAAATAATCAGTAAGATTTATAAGACTGTAATTATTAAAAAAAAAAAATTTTTTACGATTGACAAGTGGCTAAGCCTGTATTATGAAACGTTTAATCTCCTATGTAGGCGTACGTCAACCGCTCAGAAGAGCAATGATCAACTATGTCACAGATAGTGACGTCAAGTGATCGTTGCGGCAAACATTTATGAACGCAAATCTGAAAATCTTCTGTCCTTGCTCACCTAAAAGCTTCTCGAGATATTGACATCTGGTTTCGGGATCACCTGGGTTCATCGGCGCCCCTGCAACCAGCTCGGCCAGCTCCGCCTTCACCATCAGATTCAATCTGGCTGAGATTTCCTCGAGACCCGCTGCAACGAAAATTTCATATGTAATTTTCAGAAAATATTTTCTTGCAAAATTTTGCAAATGTTATCATCGGGATATTGTTCGAGATATTTTACACGTTATAAAAATTATTATATTGTAAATGTTTATGAATACACATCATATATGTATCTATAAATCTAATTAAACATTTTATTTCATATTGCTTATGCTTTCAAAATTGTTAAAATTTTAGAATCATCAAGATTGCAAAGTAAATATTTTCAAAGAGACCACAAACTAAGAAACTTAGATATAATTAAATTACACATTAAGAGAATGCGCATCTATTATTTCAAATTATTATTGTAGATCCCAAAAAAGAAAACATAAAATTTATTTCTTAAAAATATATAACTAATCTACTTGAAATTTATGTGTTCGAATCAAAGTGCAAATAATGTGATATAAATTTTGTATAATATATAAATTCTGCTTTTTGCAAGAATTTGGTTCTTTCTCTCTCTTATTCGAGTAAAATTTCTCGAGATGATACAGCAATCATAAGGATGATAACGCGATTTGACGCCTGTCATATCGAGCGCAACCGCTGTGGAATGCATCGTGAACGTCTGTGGAATGCGGCTCGCTTTTCTCCGGAGCTCCATGGTGTGTACATGGTTGGTTCCCCTATAATGGCTCCCTTTTCGAGCGGTATCCCCATAAGTTCTCGTTCCCTCTCCCTCCCGCCCCCTCTGACCGACGTTCCTAATCAGCACCGGGTGGACCCGATCGTCAGCCGTAATCAAACGGTACCGATTATACCGCTCATCCGTTTCACGATTACCATGGATCATGTTTATTTGATATAAAAACACAATAATGTCTTCCTTTTCCTTTCAACGTCAGGCATTAACGGAAATTAATTAAATATCTATAAATAATACGCAGAGTATCTATAGTGACTAAAATAAATAATAGGCCTTCTTTTTTGAAAATTAGCTGGAGAATAAAATTTGGTCTATTCACAATTCTAAAATGATTCATCCGAATATGATTCTTCTCTTTTATTTAGGAAGAATTTAAGGAAATGATTTTTCCTAGAATAATCGCGACCCACTTTGATAATGCGCATTTCCGGCGATGGTATGGCGATACTTGCCACAAAGTTGCACTACGTGCAGTCTAGGTAAACTATGTAGAGAATTTATAACATATAGTAATGTAAAATGTGCATTTTATATGAAAAAGCGGGATAAATCGCGTTCGCTGATGGACGCGATATACGGATTCTCTTATATACGCTCCGTATAATTAGTAATTAATTAACTATATACATAATTCGCGATGCGATAAATGTTAATGGATTGCAATTGCAATAAAATTAAACGGATTTCGCGTGCAACACGCTCGAGATGGCCTTGGATTGCTATTTTTATGTAAGAGAGTCTCCTCGAAACCTGAAACGACGATATCTCTCGAAAAGCTCGTCCTGTATGTTACAAAGTTTCTCTGCTATATATAATACATTGTATGTGTCTTTTTTTATTTGATCAACATTTTTCGTCGTTTCAAATTAAAATGCGAATTTTGAGGCCTGAGTTTCAAACGATGTTTTTAATTTATCAATAGATGCATTTTATTTCATATGTATAAACAATCCTATCGATTAACGTTCGTATAAATATGGATGAAAAATAATATTAAATAAGCTTTTATATATAATTTAGAACACGTTTTATCGAGATTATACCTGAATTAACATATAACGCTTGATTAGATAAATATATTTAATATTAAAAAAATATAAAAGAAAATAAAACGACTCATTTACAATATGTAAGTTGTTGGACGTTTTATTAATAAATACTTTTCGCTGCCGTTGCGGCGCGCATTTCGCTGAAAGCGTAGATTTAAAAGGCGATACGCGCCGGATGAACGAGGGGTTTCATTCATACGGCGTTCATTAACGAAACGTGGCTGAATCGGTTCCCACAAACGTACACGCGATACGCGGCGCGATACGTCAACTGACAGAAGGAGATGGATAGAAGGAGAGATACATAGATAGAAAGAGAGAGAGAAGCGAAAACCGAGGGGGAGTACTGCGTACTCCGTTCGTTATGCAAATGTAGATAGTAACGTCGCGTACACACGTGCAGAAGCATGCCGTCGAGTGTCTATAAGAGTGTTACGCGATTTCGATTCATTCCTTACGAGAGAGCCTTACAGCGCGATACGTGGATGGATTATACATAAAGTGAAAGAGACACGCATATGTATATATAGGATTCTTTTTCTCTTTCTTCAAACACCATTGATTTCACAAAAAACTTTCACAAATTTTATGCAAATCACCAATTTAATTTTAGAACAAATTTAAGGCTCTTGGCTCCTCGCCGACCATGTTACAATTGTGACGTCAGAGGCGAGAGAACACGCTAAAAATTTTTAGATGAAATCAAAAGATATTTCAATGAAACAGTACTTCAGCACACTTTTAAAATACCTAGAAAACTATCCTTTTCCCTTTATAATCAATCAACAGCTGTAAAATGACTGCAACATGAGGATCCAGTCCATCTGTTCTTTGTCCGTCAAGGGAAAAAGAATATGCTAAAGCCATCTGAAATAGTATTCAATCGAAATATATTTTCATTTAAAAATGATATCTAAGAATTTTCAGCGTGTGCTTTCTCGTTTCTGACATCACAATCCGATATGACCGCGGAAAATCCAGGAGCCTTAACGCGCGCAAAAAGATGTAATGTTAAGTTACTTTGCCGAGAAAAATATAAATTACATCTCTGAAAAGATCTAAAAGTATTTACATTATAGAATCTATGAATTATTTCTACCTTGAAAAAAAAACGAAAATTTTAACAAATATAACATATTGTTGCAAGACTCGACTTACAATTAGAAGAAAATTGTTGCTTCATTTCGGAGCATAAGAAACGCGGAACGAGGTACGCGACAGTATATACGTTGCGTCGCGCGTTGGACGTCGAGAAGACGTCATATCCGGGCGCGGTAGGTCGAGCCAAGGTGAGGAGCGGCCGTGATCGGCCCTCTAATGAAGAAAATCCCGTCGTGCATTTTAAGGGATTTTGTTCTCTCTCTCTCTCTCTTTTGCCTTCGTTCTTCCTCGTCGGCTTACTTATGCGTATATGTATACGTGCACCTATATTCTTTCCGCCGACATCTCAAACGCGGCACCCTTTGCCACGCGAAATACGATTCCCCGTTTCTCCTTCCCTTCCGAGTATCACGAACGCATAGTGATTGGCGCATCGAGCGTGATTATATTCCGCTTACGTGGTGCGATACTAATCGAGAATTATTACAAAATCGATTCGTCAATAATTGAAAGCGAATGAACGAATGAATTTCGAAAACTCATTCGTCGTCAGTAGAATATTCGTCATTCTAATTTCTATATAGTTGGAAATAAAATGGCGTCCACAAGGAATACAAAAGACAGTGTGAACAGTAATAAAATTCATCTCATCTTTTAGTAAATAAAATTTTTGATAATATATAAAATTGATAATACATCAAACGATATAACACAGTTACACTGTTTTTGTGCTTATATACTATAGACGCCATTTTATTTCCAACTTCTAACTAGAACATTGTCCAGAGTCTTACTTGTGGGGATTCTAGTTGAAATTATAATTATATTATTATTATGCGGTTCTCTTGAATCGAATTTTTTCTCGACTTACCTGGCTCAAAATTTTTCTTCATTCGCCGCCACTGCCTAGCGTAAACGAGAGCCGAGCATCCAGCTACTAGGAAGAACACTATGCAAGCGCATACCGCGAGGACCAAGGCACCGGTCTGCCAATCCCACGGTAATTGATCAGCCTCCGTGACCGGTTTTCTCCTCTCCCGAGGATCGTGTGCCGTCTGCGTCAGAAAACCAACGCGTTACGTTATGTGTGTTCAATTCTATCTCTTCAACGCTATCTCTTTCTTCTCGCGCGCCCATCTAAAAGGTGCTCACAACATTACTAAAAATTAGTTTCGAAACAATGACTATGAAACGCCAATGATTCTTTGACGACGCGATTCTTGCCGCATAGCAAAAGGCGAAAGTCAGCTTTCGCCGACACAAAATGCACACTGATTGTTCTACACGCATTAATAAAGGACATTAATTTTTTCTTCGGTAACTTTAATAATTAAATGACCGCATTAATGTAATATTAATCAGAATAAAAAATTAATATTATACCGCATTCCCTGTGGAACCAAATTAATTTATATAAAAAAATACTGCATACTAATTTAAAACTGCAACAGATTCGTCATTTTTAACTTCAAATTTTGTGGAACCAATTTGAAATTACCTTGGATTCTCGCGAAGCGGGGTGGACCGGCTTTTCATCGCCCGAGCTTTCGTCGTCCTCTCGATCTGGATCGAGATTCCCGGCCTCCGCCGAGGTGAGTCGTTCTTTCGTCTCGAGGAACCGCCACAACTTGGCGACAAAGGGATCATCGCTTCCGGTTTCCGACCTAGACGTTCCGGATGCATAGTCGAGCTCGAGCGAGCCGCAGATCGCGTCCTTGTGCACCGCGCAGGGACTCAGGGTGAAGTCGGGGGCGCATCGGGTGCACGGCCAGCAGGAGGCACGTTCGGTCGACCAGAACTCGAGACCGGGCTTGCAGAGCGGATGTTGCTGCTGCTGCGGCTGCTGGGCGCCGGATGTCGCGCCGCCGGCGGCGGAGGATTCGCACAGACCGACGAATACCGACACCAGGGTCAATAGCAACCCGGGACAAGATTCCCTCGGCATTACCTGTAACGAACAAGAGTTAGATGCTTCTGATTTATTATCTCTTTAAAATCAATTAATATTATTTAATTATACAATATAAAATCCTAGAGAGCGTGGAAAGTTGATTTAAATAAAAAAGAATGACAGAAATGATTAACTTCCTGAATATTAATATGCATTTTTAAAGGAATTATGTAGAATGATAAGTAACAAAACTTATTTTATGTAATACATAAAATTAGCTAAATAAAAGTGGAAAAACTAAATCTTTTTATAAAAATAAATTATATTTCTATTAATTTAGCAGTGATTAAGACTCCTGGATCCTCGCCGCGGTCATGTTGGATTGTGATGTCAGAGAATTTTAAATGAAAAGATATTTCGATGAAACACTATTTCAGATGGTTTTAGCACACTTTTAAAATACCTCAAAAATTATACTTTTCCCTGACAGTCAATCAATAACCGTAAAATAATCGTGATAATTAGACTTTGTCATTTTATAGCTGTTGATTGATTATAAAGGGAAAAAAATAGTTTTCGATTTATTTAAAGAGTGTGCTAAAGCCATCTGACGATGTTTCTTATTTCGAAATGGTATCTGAAAATTTTTAGCGTGTTTTCTCGCTTTTGACGTCACAATTGGAACATAGTCGGCGAGGAGCCAAGAGCCTTAATTTATTTATTATTTTAACTCTCAAACTATATAGGTGTCACGTTCGAGGTGCTTTACGGCCAAAATTGAGAAAAGGGAAAATTGTCGCGATCTTTTCCTCTCTCACGATCGCGAAACGACCGTCGTGTCTGTCGCGATTATAAAACGATATAGAACGGGTCAGGCCAGGACGTCGATCGCGGTCGATCGGCGTAATTCGAGCGTATAAAGCCGCTCTTTAAGCCGCAAAAGCGCTCAGACCGTTTCCACTTCCGGCTCGTACGCGATGTAATTACATCCGCAGTTGAATCGCGATCCATCTACGTCATAGAGCTCGCGGCCGTCTGTACGCCTTCGTTTCGTTTCCGCGCACCAGCGAGCGAGCACGCGTTATACACGATGTGTATTGTATGTTGGAGATGGACAAGTATATGTGTGCGGAAAACTCTTTTGCAGTCTACTTACGGAAATAATCGCACTGAAAAAAAAACAAATCTTTTTTCCAACAGTAAATCTACAATTATAACGCATTTTTCTCCACCGAGTAAATCTCTTTCGATTCACCAATCCTAAATTCCTTTTATATTATATGTAAATATAGTTCTGTGATTTACCTAGTGATTTAATTTTCTCTCCTTTTTCCCACCTTTTATGTGGTATTTATTAATTAGAGTTATGTTACACAGATATGAATGTATGTGAAATAGTAATATTGTTAAACTATTTTTAATAAAATGCGATAAATTGTTTTTTAATTATTACACGGAAATGCTACATTGTGTGACGAATATTGGCAGAGTAAAATCTCGGCTGCGCGATGAAGTTTAACGTACGTGCGCACTTTATACGACGAATGCCTCTATTTTTATCATATTTGTTAAGGAATCAAGCGTGCGAGAGAGTATAAGCAGTTGATTGCGAATACGATAAAGTGAGCGAAGCAATCGAAAAACCTAATTCGTTTACGATTAAATTGCAACAAAATATACATTTTAGACAGGAGGAGCAGAACCGATTTGAATGCTATCAAAGAGTTCGATCATTTTAATTATTTGAAATCGAGAGATTGTAAATATCGATCGCTTGTTTGCTTTCGATTGTTTCCCTTTATTTGGAAAGATTAAATGTATTTTCAATAATATTACTTTGATCCGAATAACGTTTTCGATGTCTGAAATAATCACTGAAATTGGACTTGAATTTTTCGATTAAGATTGATTCCATAACAATATTTATTATAGAATTGTTGTCATGAGGTCATCGTAAGAATATAGGCGAGTACTATCGGAATGCTTAACGCATATAAATTCCGCATACCAATGGAAATAATGTAACTTCTAGACTGCGAGCATTTCATTAATGAATTTACATTACATCGAGAGACGCAATTTGATCCGTGTTAAATTAAAACACGATGACTGGCTAAGGCTAAAATAATAAGAAGCGTATAGAATTTATATGATTAAAAATTCATATATACGACTGTCAATAATAAGTAGAGATGTGCGAATTAAGATTTTCTAATTCGAATCGAATCGAATCGAATCGACAAAAATATCGCCGAATCGAATCGAATCGAATCACCCATATTTCGAATTCGAATCGAATCAACGCATATAGAATTAAACGATAGAATTAAACAGGTTTTAAGTCTTCTTACGCGGTTCTTTGATTCGAATTCGAATTGCAGTGATTCGACGTTATCAAATCTTTCGATTTCGAACTACGCCGATTCGAATTCGAATCAAATCGAATATTGCCAGATTCGAAGATAATAAGAAAATTTTAAAATAATTATAAATATATAATATACGAAAGATTGATTAAAATCAGCACAAAATCTATGATTGCAGAAGGGTGTACGAATTTGTTCGTTATCCAACGATAATCTAGCAGCAAAGATTTTTTTTCGCGTGATTCGCGCATCAGAAAGGCGAACATTGTTCGGACGAGAAGAGAAAAAGAAAGAGAAGGGGAAAAAATAGCAAATGTCGTTTGTGCATACAAGAGGCCTCTCTGTGAGTTTCTTCTCGCCCACTTTAAATTGTCTGCGCATGTCATATTTCTCTCTCGAGGACGCGCGCAATCGCGCGATCAGAATGCAACACCTCGAGCCGCTCGCTCGCTCGCTCGTTGCAAATGCAATCTTCCGCCGCCTCGCCGAGTTCATCTCTCCGTGATTAGGATGCCAATTGCACGTCTGAAAAACGATTACGGACACGAGCTGTGCGTCGTTGCGACTCTGTCGCTTTCGCTCGTGCGGCGCGGCGCGAAAAATCCTCCAGAAACGGAGAGAGATCCGCGTCTGTATTTATATCTGCACAATACGATCGCGCAGACGAAGATCTTTACGGAGAAAACGTCCGTTTCCACGTACCGTGGCATCATTTTGTTTAATATATATATATATATATATATGCGTGTGATAGTTTTCAGAAAGAACGTAATACTCAAGTAGACGGAAATATATTTTATATCAAATTGTTCAGACTAATATTGTTTAATTTTTTTATATTTGACTTGTTTAAATATTTTTTTATAATATTATAAATATTATACACAGAGGGAATTTTCTCCTAGAAATTTTACCTTGAATATCATGGTAATCATGAGACAATATGTATTGGAAAAATTGGAAGAATTTTATTAGTTTCTCTGATTAATATTTACACCACAATAAAAATATTAATATCTATTAATAAAATATAAAATATGTTCGATTAATTTTACTATGTACATATTAATATTTTTTATTAATGTTCATTAATTTTTTCTCTTCGTGTATAATTTTTAGAAATAATGTAAGATTTAAGTAGATGTAAATATATTTTATATGGAATTTTGTGCAGAATACATTGTTATATTTTTTTATATTTGACGTGTTTATATTATATAAATATATTTCGTTAAATATTTTTTTTATAATATTATATTATATATATATATATATATATATAAATTAAACATTACTTGTAATGTAGATGTGTTATAGTTCCGTCATCATAGAAAGAATAAACATACCAAATTGGAAGTAACGAGGCTCGTTTATACGATTTTAGTTTAGTAACGCAAGCATTTATAATTAATCGTTTATTAAATGATACTCTCGCAACTGTCTCATCGTTGTCGACAAATGGCTCTCTTAACACGCAGCCACACATGTGTGGCTCTCTAATAATAGTAACTAAAAAACTGCCCTGACTCCGGGGAATAAGGGCCTAAACCGGTTTACGTTCTTCTCTTCAACGTTACGTCCCATAGATTCAAACGCGATGTTCCATACGGGAAGTGAGCTCCAATTGAGTTTTATTTTATGAAAATTAATTAATTTTTTTATACGTCGACATATTCAAAAATATCAAAGTAAATTGGGCCATTGCAACCATTTTTTTTATCATGTCGCTTCGATAACATTTATGAAAATCAACAAGTTTGGTTGAATAATAAATATTATAAAGAAATTAAGAAAGTAATAGTATTGGTTACATGCCAAGTATAATAATATTAATTAATTAATATAATATATTACTCCAATATTGGCGTAACTTTTTGATTCGATAAGGAATCCCACTTTTTCAAAGATACTTCCTGTTGTTCGATTCTTTTTAATTAATTCATAATTCATGATCGGAGCTCCAACGCCGCGTAGCTGCGGATTTATTCACAGGAAGTGCGAAATCCGCGAACAGTGTTTTACGAGTTAACATCTGCCGAAGCGAAAGAATGCCGACGCTTGATACGACCGCACGTGTTCGCTTAATGACTCTAATAAGACGGGTCTTTCCCTCCCCGGAATGCGTGCAAACAGTTTTGCAAGCAAAGACTCCGAATTAAGTCGTGAACGAGACAAACAACAGCGGTCGCAACTACATAAAAAAATTGTGTAAAAAGAATTATATTAAACATATTATCGCGTCTGAATTGTAACGAAAATCTCTCTCGTGAGCGCCGATAAAATGTGTACGCTAAGATTCCTTTCGCAAGACAACATCATCTTGTTCTGTAAAGTATCCGGATGATTTCTATTGCATACAATTAGAAATATTTTCGGTATTTTTCCCACGCTCTCGTAAATCGATGCTCCAGTTCGAGCGGAAGAATTCCGTATTGATTCGACGTCGGATTCTTGGAGCACTTGATCATTCTTCAGAGGAATTTGCGCGACGAGACGAAAAGAGGATTGAGAATTGTGATATATTTTAGACTGCAATAATAACATGCATGTACTCATCTGACGATGAGACATCTTTTAGTTTGCAGACATTTTTCTCTTTCAAATTGCTCGTAAATACAAACTATAATGTAATTCGTATCAAAATGCTAACGACATTTATAAAAAATATTTTTGACACAAAAGATTAATTTAACTAAATTTAGAAATATTATGTAAGTATATGAATGAATGAAAACTGCGATAAAAAACTATGGTATTTTTTTCAAATTTATAATTTAATAAAAATTGTAATAAAACTCTTAAGAGAGAAATCAAATAATAAAAAGAAAGAAAAAAAGCAAATAAATTTTTCTTAGATTTTTTCCGGAAAGAAAAACGCTAAATTCTTGTTTATAAGAGAAAAATGTGGTTGAAAGGCTATACCGATTTCGATTTTCACGTAATTTGTACACCGGGCGCGGGCTGAATATCCTCTCCCAATCGGAAGCAAACGTTCGCGGGTTTATCTACGATCTTCTTCGGTGGCGATGAGAGGAGGCACGATTCGAAGCCGCTTTCGAAGAACTTATTGACGTGACCGCAGTGACATGAGGACGTGGCTCGCACAACGCGGGAAACCTAAATACTTCGCGGACACACGTCGCCGATGGCGACAAAAGGCCGTTACACGACCGTGCCGACTTGAGAATGAACGTACAATAAGTAATGAACAAGTGGATTTCGTTTCGACCAAACGAAACAAATTACAATTTTGAATAAATTTGAGCGAAATGGAGTATTTATTATATATTATATGTGTATTTAAATTTTTTAGTTTTATATATATATATATATATATATATATAGAGAGAGAGAGAGAGAGAGAGAAAGAGAAATTTAGTGTATAAGAAATAAATAATTTTTGCAGATTTAATAATATTTAAAAAAAATTACAAATTAATATAATTTATATATATAATAAATGAAAGTTAATTTATACACGGAGAACATTTTTCTTACAATTAGAATTTACTCTGAAAATTATGATAATCCTGGGATAATAAGGTATTGGAAAAATTTTATAAAAGTTTCTCTGTGTGATTAATATTTACCACAATAAAAAATATTAATATATACACAGTAAAATTAATCGAACATATTTTATATCTTATTGTGTAGATATGAATATTTTTATTGTGCTAAATATTAATCAGAAAAACTTATAAAATTCTTCCAATATATACTCATAATTATTATGATTTTCAAAGTAAATTCTAAGAGAAAATTCTCTCTGTGTAATGCAACAAATAACATGTTGCATAGATTTGATATCTATGTAATATATATAATATGTTTTCTCTAGATTAGATAGAAAATGCATTTTCATCATTTATATCATATATCAAGAATTATATCTAAACTTAAAATCTGCTATCAGAATTAAGTTGTTAGTTCCAAGTAACTTGGTTAAATACAAAAAAATTATTATATTAATGTTCAAAACGTAGAAGCTTGGAATAGACGGAATACAAATTGTACAATGAGATAGAGAAGGGACGGGAACGAAGAAGGAAGGCGGCAGTCGCCTATCCTTTGCTTTTTCACGAGAAGGCGCCGGGGTACACGGTTTATTTCCAGGCGCGATCTTCAATAAACATCGAAAAAATAGCAGCACTTTAGCGCGAGGATCCCGGCCACGTGTTTTATATACCGGCGCCGATCGAAAACGCGTAGCGGATGATAATAGCACTCTCGCACGACGGGGTGGATTTCGAGAAATCGATCGATCGTTTTGCGATTTTTCGCAACAAACGCGCGCAGAGAGACGGTGATTTCTGTTTATTAATATCCAAATTTGAATCATGACGTTTCATTGACGTTTCAGTGTCGTCGCACCTGTTTTACTGGCCACGCGTTGATGTCTCGCGTGCAAACTTATGTTAGAATCGGCACAAATTATTTATTACAAATCTGTATTTTGAATAATATCATGTCGGAAAAAAATGTTTTGCACGATGGTTTACTTCCCGGCATCGAGATTTAAAGTTTAGTGTCATATCACATTTGAATAAGTTCAGAAGAAATAATTATACAGGAAAAATACGAACATGGAGAGAAATAAATAAATGTGATTTGGCTGAATATAAAATCGTACAAAAATAGTTTGGCAAAAATAATATATCAGATAATGAAATGATTTAGTTAAAGAGTAGATACATCCCTCGATACGTCAAATACGATATACAAGCGCGAATCTTGGTGCTATCGCCGACGCCGATTTATGCCCACGATTTGTCGCACCGTTCAAATTAGATCAACATCAACCGCACGCAAGCACGGCACGGTACTCACGCTGCTTTCGATGGAGCCGTGTTTGTCATGATGTAATCCGAGGCGACGTAGCCGAGGAGAATGAAGAGGAGCGAAACAAGGGCGCGTCGTTGCACCCCTCCCGAGTGACAATTTTCTGCGGATCGCCACTATGTCGCACAGAGCATCAGGGATGATCCTTCTCTTTTTGCACAAAATCGGTGAAAAAAATTATTTAAAAAAAGAAAATTAAAAAAAAATAAAAAACACGACGCTGTCACGCTGTCATTCTAGTGACAGTGAATGACGACGACGAGAGAAGGGACGACACCGAATGCGAGACATCCAGAGAGGTTCTTCACGACACGGGAAAAACGTCCGTACCATTGCGCGGTCGCGACGCGACTAGTCCGTCGAGTTATACCGATTTCCGCCCACAACCTAGTCGCAGTGAGTCGGATGGACGGACGGATGGACGGAGAGAGAGAGAGGGAACGTGCGGTTCGTTCATACATTTACACGCGGAGAGAGACGGAATAGAGAAAAACAAAGGGAGAGAGAAAGAAAATGATAGAGGAGGTGGAGAGAAGAATATCGAGACGCACAGGAACGTTTTATTGCCTAGGCCCGCAATCTATTAGCGCCCCCATGATTTATTATGTGACCGAGAGAACCCAAGCTGAAGAAGCAATTTAGAAGAAAATTGCATATACAGGGTGCATCTAAATAAGTGCGAAAAATTTTAGGAGGTGATTCTTTGTCGAAAATTAAGAAAAGTTTCTTATATAAACATATACTCTTATATCTCACCCTGAGGAGTTACGCTTTTTTAAAGAGGGAGAAAAATTATTGTCTGAAATTTGAGAAAAAAAATAACTTAATTTTTACTTTTCTCTTCATGAGAGAGGATGATCTCTTAAGAATCATCTCCTAAAATGTTTTGCACTTATTTAAATACACCCTGTATAATCGCTCTTTATATACTTTACCGAAATCCAGTGAAAATAAATACGTCAAATATTTTGAAAATGTGTTAGACGTAAAAATATCAAGTTTTTGAAGCAGATTTATTTATAATAAATCAATTTTTAAAAGACACGAGAGATAAGACGAGTTCTGCTTTTATATCTCTTGTGTTATAGAACCGATGTTCTCTTACCTGGGATGTGATTAACCCCGCGAAGATAATAACCTGAACTGCTCCAAGCGCGTCCTCCGCAGTCCGGTTTCTCTGCATTCCACAATGATATTAACCCTAGAACCGGACTGGATCGCGGGATGCTGCGATTGGCCGGCTTCTCGATTATCTGTGATACAAAAAGTACGATATAGTTTGATAATACTGACTGATGAGACAAATTTCACAAAGATGTGAATATTTTTGTGCAAAAAAATTAATTCTATACATGGACTAATTTTCGATAAATATATATTTCTAAAAATAATCTTTTCGCACAAAAAATGTATGTTAATAGTGATACGTGGATTATATCAAAAAGTCACATGTTGATTTTATTTTATTAGTTTCCCACGAAAATTATGCGCATATATTTATAGCATAATTTACATAATAGTTTATTCACAAAAAAAAGTTGTATCTATTTTCAAATAAAAAAGCTTAAGCAGTTTTGTATTTGATTCTTTCAGCAAGAATTTGCATAAATAATGATTATGTTATTTCTTCTAATGAATATTTTGTCCATTTAATATAATCGCTCAAGGTTTCCGAGGATTTCTATAAATATTATCGGTATCGATCTGATATTTTCTCTTGAGATTCTTTTCTTAAAAAAGAAAACGTCGGTTTGTTCGTCAGAAGGAGTTACAGATCTCGCGATCCGTTTCTCTCGGTAAAATATTAATTGCACATATTCGAGGTAATAAGAAATCAGGAAGCCGTCACTGTTAGATATTATTAGCGCGATATATGCGACTTAATTATATTAAGCGGTATATTAATCATCCGGAGTATCCGCGTATCCCGCGATCTCATTACGACTTTGTTGCATTCCTCGGCTAATTATCGTCGCTGCACGTGGGTAAGCACGTGGCGCGCCTAATCTGCCCGGCGAATCTGCCGAGTTGTTGAAGGCGCAAATTGCACGCACGCCACCGAATTGTATAAATAATTGGCCGGCGCGATGTACCGCAGTCTATATATCCTTTTCGGGATAGAAAAGAGAGAGGGAGAAAGAGAGTTCCCGCGGGCTCGTTACCGACGCCGAACGACCGAACCCCGGCGCTGATCGCGCGATACCGGGGCCTTATAGGTGTAAATTTATTCTTATAACCCTATACCCCGAACAGTGTAGGCGTAATATATCGTTTCATTCACGACCGGCATTCACGACTCGCCGCCGCCCGCCGAGCGTTACGAATCAGGAAACGGAATTAGGGAAACGGAAGGAAATGGGAGGAGGAGCAAAAGACTAGTTAACGGTGACGAAGCGTAGATGTACGAACGTTACTTACCTAAGGAAGTCTGTTTAGCAGAGACGGCAGAGATGGATCGACCGCAGGAGAATTCGGTGCGAAAATCGAATATATCTAGAAATTTTTTAAATAGATTAGATATATGTATAATTCCATAAATATGCAATTATTTTGTTTTATTTTATTTAATATACTCTCTTCTCTAATGTAAGATTGTAATTATAGCTTCACACACACCACTAGCTTTGAAAAAATTGAAAACTAATGCTGTGTGAAGCTATAATTAAGATATGCACATATACAGCAATTAATGATATTTTATTTTGTTTTGTTGTATATTAAGATTTTACTAAATTATTATATCAAATAATATCTACTACCCAGATAGCCACAGTAATTATTATGACATCATTTTGATGGCAAATGATGCATTTTGACATCAAAATGATGTCATAATAATTACTGTGGCTATCTGGGTATATAATTTAAGATATCAGGATCTCTATTGATATTTTACACCACTATTAATATTACTTATTGTTACCTACGTATATATAAAAATCACGCAAATACAATAATCATACAAGTGTCTTTAATTGAGTTTTATTTATTTAAAAAATGTTTGAATTTGTTAATTTAATTTAATTAATTTTATTCCACATTCGAGCACGCAATCGGAGAAAAATATAAATTGATACTTGCCGAGTCCGCTCTTGCGAGTCTGACTGCACATTTTCCATAGGTTTGCACCAGGATACATCTTATTCCCATTTCCTGTCCTTTCTCGCGACGGGATATCCCATTGTGACGTATCCAATGTGTGATCTTGACATAAGTTCCGTTTGGTAGAAAGCATCTGGAGCTGGTCTGTCGTCGAAGTGAAAGAAAAAAAGAGAAATATTATGTGCGTTTCCTCCACTTTTTTCACTTTCTCTCTCTCTCTCTCTCTCTCTCTCTCTCTCTCTCTCTCTCTCTCTCTCTCTCTCTCTCTCTCTCTCTTGTATTCCGTGCATATTTCTCTTCTCACGTTATTATACCACAGAATATGTAGATGAGGTTTGCATCATCGTGCGTTCATACAAACTGAAATGCAAAATATAATTAGAATATACAGTATAAACAACCGCATTAATAAATTAGATGATTATTCAAAACATACAACGTGACAAATAATATAATTTAAATTACACATAAGTCTCTCATATATTTATATAAAGTTATAATAATTTTAGTTATAATTATAGAATAGAATATTGTCAAATTCTTAATAAGAGAAAGATTTATGTTATTGTTGCATTAAATTTTAAATGTATAGGTATATATATTTTGAGGCTATATATTCTCTCTGTACATATTAACTACACACATACACACCATAATTACGAAAATTATTACATCGCAAGAACTAGTCTGTCGTCGAAGTGAAAGAAAAAGAGAGAAATATTACGTGCGTTTCCTCCACTTTTCTCACTCTTTGTCTATCTCTTTCTTCTTATATATATCCGTGCATATTTCTCTTCTCACGTTATTATACCAAAGAATATGTAGATGAGGTTTGCATCATCGTGCGTCCATATAAACTGAAATGCAAAATATAATTAGAATTAGAATATACAGTATAAACAATCGCATTAATAAATGAGGTTATTATTCGGAACATACAACGTGACAAATAATTTAATTTAAATTATACTTAAAGTATGTCTCTCATATATTTATTTAGTCATAATAATTTTAGTTATAATTATAGATATAGAATATTGTCAAATTCTTAATAAGAGAAATAAGATTTATATCATTGTTGAATTGCATTTTAAATGTAGTATATATTTTGAGGCTATATTCTCTCTGCACATATTAACCGCACATACATACCAGTTACGAAAATTATTACATCGCAAGAAACACAATATAATATAATTTCAACCTCGACAAACAAAATTCTCAAGCAAGTTACATATCTTACGTCAAGTAAAACGAGTACATACATGTTAAATGGTCGTCAAATTACTTCATACACTCCAAATTTTGGAAGAAAGAAAGAAGTAGAGCAATACACGTATTGTTTGTAGACGCCATCTTATTTATTTAAAAAATTTCGGTTAGCGCCAATAGGTGTTTTTAAAATCTTTGTCGATTACTACCTTACCGATTGTCAATCACGTTATCATAATCTCATAATCATAAATCTCTCTTTTCAAGCGTACATTAACCTAAGATCTTCTCTTCTTATTGTTAGTTTTGAATAATATAAATAAAACGCATATAAAGTATATTAAATATAAAAAGTATGAAAAATTGCAAGTAAAAAGAGAAAATGTACCTAATATCACAGATTAATAGACAGATCGCCAAAGGCCTGCCTAAAGAAGAGACCGCCATCTTCGTGCGATAGACTTTGCCCCTTACCGACACACTTTGCCCCTGGTTCGAGTCCGTGCTAAATTTCGTAGACTTGAACCAAAAGACTTTGCCCCTGGTTCGAGTCCGTGCTAAATTTCGTAGACTCGACCAAAAGACTTTGCCCCTGGTGCAAGTCCAGGCTAAATTCGTTTGACATTACCAACAGACTTTGCCCCTGGTGCGAATCCAGGCTAATTGATCATGAGACCAATTTGAGAGATTTGGCCCCCGTTGTGTGTGTGTGTGTGTGTGTGAGAGAGAGAGAGAGAGAGAGAGAGAATATTTTACATATATGCATATATATATATAAAATTTATTAAATATAAAAAATATATTTTTTACACATAAAATGTTTTTTTATTGAAATAATCACGATTTTAAATGTGATATAACACAGTGTTCAAAATTTTTTAATTAAATTTTTTAATTAAATTTTATTAAAGAAAATTACTTGAAATTTTTTACATTAAGAATTTAAAGGCTCCTTATTCTCTTGTAGAAATTTATCACTACGCCAATTAATCACTTATTTTGAGTATTTAAAATACTATAATATACAGTAATTTAAGTATTCGAAATAAAAGTGATTAATTACTCGAAATAAGTGATAAATTGGCGTTACTAGTAATAAATTTCTATAAGGGTTGAAATAATAAAGTATAAGAGATAAATAGGCTATATGTGAGCCGTATGCGAAATGTGAGATGTAAGACGCATATTGAAATTTAATTTTTCGATATAACTTTCAAAAATGTACACGAGGTACAAAAATTAGCTTGGACATTTGTAAGACTTAAAATTGGGATTAATTCTCAATTCTATTAATTAAATTTCGATATAACACACCTTACATCCGCGCACGGCTCACATATATATAGCCCATTTATTAGTGCAATTTTTAAGTTCCTTATTTTTCAAAGTTCACCTTTTTACGTTATCAAATATTTTTACGTTTTCAAGAATTTTATATTTTTACTTACCGCAGTTTCTTATCCAAATGTAAAATCTTTTATCGCAGTCTATAAAAAATTGAAACAATTTACAATTTTATGATATAATATTATTATTATTACAATTTCTATATATATGCACATCTGTCAAATATCGTGATTTATTTCACATTATTATTATCTATTTTAATAAAAAAGAAAACAAAAACACTTGCAACAATAAAAATAAACCGCCTGCCGCGAACGGAAAATGCCAAGAAAGCACGCAATTTCCGCGAATCTCGTAATTTTTTTGAAAAATCAACAATTTCAACGAAATTGTAAATTCTTCAAATCACTGCACAAGTATAATTCACAATAATAATTTTCAGTAACTACGATAAAAAATCGTATACTGAAAACCGCAAACGAAAGTGCAATGGGAGTAAGAGTAAAGTCTGTGATAAAATTAATTGGCAATAGAAAATTAATAATTTTCAAATAGAAAAATTTTGAAATTACCGAGGATTTACAAATAATAAAGTAAAAATATTAAATAATTTATGTGACTTTGTATAGTGAACACATCAACTTGGCGGAATCTTGACTACTCATCAATTTAAGTAAGCAATTCTAAACACAATTAAGATCTTTCACATAAAAAAAATAACTTATTAATATAAATTAATATACCAAAAAAAATAAAAATATACTTAGACAATCACGGTGAAATATACTGCAATGACGAACTTACTCGGAAATATCCTTGATGATGGGGACTAACTTTTTGATGCTGGATAACATCTAATTGTTTTCAATTCTCATATCAAGCGGTTCTGACGATAATTTTAACTAATAATGTTCAAAAGAATTGATGACGTGGAATGGGCCGTCAACCTGTTCTACTAACAACAGGGAACTCGTTTACATGTTTTTTGACATAATCAAAAAGTTTACCATCTTAACTAAAAAATGGTTAGCCGATTAGAAAAAATATCTAATTTAATAAATGTTATAAGCGTAACCCAATTTAAATTCATCGACTTATTAAACCAAAATGTTCATTAAAAAATAGACTCTAATGCGTAATATGTCATAATTTTTCTTAAGAGAATTTTTATTGTTTTTATATTTACTGAAGAAGGCTGAGGTAACAGCCGAAACGTTTTATTATTTTTATTATCATTGTATCTACTAAGAAATAAATCAATTATGTGTTGACATTACATCTCTCACTAATTTAATATGCTCGTTATAGTTGGCCCTGTCTTTCTAAATCTTAATTTTATAATATCACACGAGCCTTGTCTTTAAATATCTAATTGTTTTCCTTATTAAATTTAAATAATTTATGTTTTCGAATTTTGCTCGCGGAGAGGATCTTTAAAACAAGATTTTTAGAAGAGAGGACCTTTAAAATATAAACAGGCAAAAACGTTGGAAAAATTAAAGCGCGCGTTTAAACAGATAAACGCAATGAAATAGATACGCAATTGTTTTTACTTATCGCTGTAAGCTCACAAGCTTCTGACGTGCTATACACTTTTATATAATATATACAAGGTGTCCGGTAACTAACGGACCAATGATTAAGGGCGGATTCTCTGGCTAATTTGGAGACGATTTTTCCTTAGCAAAAATGTTAAGAAGTCAATAATTTTCGAGTTATAAGCGATTGAAAAAAATAGGTTTTTTGAAAACTAAACGTTTTGGAGTTAAAAGTCTAATATAATTACATTCTTCAGTTAATTTCAGGTAGAGTTTACTATAATAAAATTTTAATTTAAGGCTTAGTTATAAAGATACATAATGACAAAGATTGGAAAGTTGTAAAAAATGATGCCTTTTTCGACATTTTCGCTGAGGAAAAATCGTTCCCAAATTGACCAAAGAATCCATTTGTAATCATTGGTCTGTTAGTTACCGGACACCCTGTATATTGGACACGAGTTTCGTTTGTTTCAGATTCTCGAGAGTTGAAGTAGGAACATACGAGTATCATATATCGTTTGTGACTTGCCGAATGAAACAAGACAGAGAGCGAACGAGATGATGAGCTTAATAGCTCATAATGTTATAAATAAATAAATAAAAATTATAACCTGACCTACTAGTTATTGAATCTTTTTTTAATAAAATGTTTCATTATTATTATCATCTAAGTCTAAGTCGTTTAATTACTTTTTAGTTTTTTAATAATAATTTAATTTATTCTAGTCATTTTTATATGAGAAAAATAATATCACGTATACGTTTTATAATGAATTAATATATTTCGGGAACCGAATTATATATTCTTAATAATATAAAAGTGTTCAAAAATTATATTTAACTTTTAATTTTAATTATTTTATAGCAAAGAGTTTCGAAATCTCTTACACACATAATGGGGATTTTTTTCATCCATATAATTCGCAATTAAGTATATATGTTAATTATTAATTTTAATAAAATAAAAATTAAAATTAAAGGTCAAATATAATTTTTAAACACAAATATATTAAATTAATTATAAAACGTATACCTATGATAGTATTTTTCTCGTACAAAAATAATTAGAGTAAATTAAATTAATCATAAAAGATTAAAAATTAATTAAAGAATTTAAACTTATATTTTATATAATAATAATAAAACATTTTATTACGTCAAACCGTCGTGAAATAATTAAATAAAATTTGCTTAGTAAAAATAAAAGTTACGTCAAAGTCAAGTTTTCTAAGCTTATAAAACATTTTATTAAAAAACAGATTCAATAAATATAAGTACATGTTATATATATACTTATATTTATTGAATCTGTTTGTTTTATAAAATGTTTTATTATTATCATTAATATAAATTATTTAATTATTTTTTTATTTTTTTATGAGTAATTTAATTTGTTCTAGTTATTTTTGTACGAGAAAAATACTATCACGGGTATACGTTTTATAACGAATTAAATATATTTATGTTCAAAAATTATATTTGACCTTTAATTTTAATTTTGTATTTTATTAAAATTAATAATTAACATATATACTTAATTGCGAATTATATGGATGAACAAAATCCCTATTATGTGTGTAAGAGATTTCGGAACTCTTTGCTAAAATAATTAAAATTAAAAGTCAAATATAATTTTTGAACACTTTTATATTATTAAAAATATATAATTCGACTCTCGAAATATATTAATTCATTATAAAACGTATACGTATTAGTATTTTTCACATATTAAAATGATTAGAATAAATTAAATTAATTATTAAAAAACTAAAAATTAATTAAACGACTTAGACTTAGATGATAATAATAATGAAACATTTATTAAAAAATAATTATAATAGATCAGGTTAATATTTTATTTATTTATTTATTTATTTATTTATAACATCATAAAATTCTGTCCTTTCCGAAATACGCGAACGCTACGAAAAGATAAATCTCGTACATGCCGCCAGACGAGTTCATGAGCATGAGACGCTCTTATCTTGGGAACGTATTAATAGTTACTGCATTGACCACTACTACGATATGGCGCTGAAATCAGTGAGAAATGCTGGTCTCTCCTTCATCCAGACCTTTGGCGATCTGTCTATTAATCTGTGCTAATATATCTGTTTTCACGCGTATCAACATCAACGTTCCATCGCAATTCGCGATTGTCATGACAGCCGCTAAACAATGCTTAAGGCGCCCTCAAAATCGACTGAAATGGGTGCTATGATTTTCAATCAGCGTTTCAAGCAATTATTGCCGCGCGTGAATTGCGAATGGTCGCGTGAAGAATCCCGAGCCAATGCCGAGAAAACACGAAACAGATCAGCTGATCGTTGAGTAACCACCTCGACCCTTCGAGAAAGTGCTTCTCATTCCTATCCTCATCCGCTCGCGCGAATATTTTTATATCAGTTGCGAGATATGCACTGAGACTGGCTGAAGACGCGTGGTAAGTGCATCCGATTGGAAATCAGTCCGTGACATCGCGGGTGACACATCGAAAGAGAGAAAGAGAAATGAGCACGCAGGCTGACGCGAATTCAGGTGAGACATGATCACGCGATTCTTTTTTCTTGTCGAGGAAATGAGTCCAATTTAGATCTATATATATTTCTCAGAATGTGGCATTTTTAAAAAGACACGTTAAAATAAAAAAATCATTTTTTTCATGTATATTTCAAATACTGTCAATGTGTAACTTTATGTATTTTAATTTTTTTTATCTTAAAATCTGACTTAATACTGTTTCTTTTGAAATTTACATTTAACTGCAAAAATTACATATTAAAATCAAAGTTTATATCGTATATTAAAATAAATAAAATTGTTTTTCTTGTATATTTATAGTATTATCAAAACAACCAATGGAGAAGCTTCAACGAGAAGAGCATTATTAACCGTTGGACTCATCTTTGTAACTTCATTGACTGCGTTGTTTTATGTATACATGAGCTTCCCTGAATTAGAAAAGTAAGAAATCATTTGTTAAATATATATCATATATTTGTACTTTTATATCAAATATATAACACATACAGATTTCTCTCATTTATTTTATAGAGAAGAGAAACAATATATGAAGCTGCCGTTTCATATAGAGGATGCTAAGAATCTAGGAAGGTTGCTAGAACGGTACAAGGAGCTATATTATTTCCAAGTACTGGCTGGACTGTTTGTTACTTACATCTTGTATCCTTAAATACCAAATTCGCATACTATTTTTAATTTATTTTACTGAACTGCATATATGCTCCTTACATTGTACCTTGATAGCTTACAAACATTCGCCATTCCTGGCTCTATCTTTCTCTCAATCTTATCAGGATTTCTGTTTCGCTTCCCAATTGCACTGCTACTCGTGTGCACTTGCAGCGCAGTCGGTGCTACCCTGTGCTACCTGCTGTCCTCTTTACTGGGCAGACGACTGCTATATCGGTACTTTCCGGCTAAAGCGAAGGAATGGACCATCACCGTGGCCAAGCATCGCGATAATCTGTTGAACTACATGTTGTTTCTCAGGATGACACCATTACTGCCAAACTGGTTCATCAATCTAGCCAGTCCGGTGATTGGCGTGCCTATGATGCCGTTCACCGTCGGTACCTTCTTCGGCGTCGCGCCACCTTCGTTTGTCGCTATACAAGCGGGTCAAACTTTGCACAAACTCACATCATCAAGCGATGCATGGTCGTGGAATAGTGTTATTATTCTGTGCGTGTTCGCGCTACTCTCTCTACTCCCTGTGCTGTACAAGCAGAAACTCAAGCAGAAACTTGAGTAAGAGCTAGATCGACGATGCTCTTACAAGAAGACATTCCGAGAGAAGTTTTTCGACTGAATTTATTAGAAAAAATACTCTACCGCTAGAGATGTTTTAGAGAAAAACTTTAGAGAATGCTTAAGCCTTCTCGCAGTTAATAATATCAAATACTAAGCACGACGCCATTTTCTCACATACATGTTTGTATATAAATACGATGAAATGTCCTAGCACAAATTTCGCTATTAACACGTATCACGTATTCATTCTGTATATGTGCGATCTTTTCTCTTTATTTATATATATATATATATATATATATAATGTCATTTATATAATTTGTATAAAAACTAAAATATAATTATTAAATTATATATATATGTATATGTGTAATGAAATATATAAATCTCGTTTTAATTAAAATAAAAAAACGATTAATTGTTCGACCACCTGGATTTTGGAATGTAATTTTTAATATATATTATATTATATTTAATATTTATGCCGCTTCTATTAATATGAAGTGCATGTCAACGTGCAATAATGTACAATTATTTAAAGTTTCCATGCCTAATGTATCATGCCGGTATAAAAGAACGTCAAGTAGCATGCGTAAGCAACTAAGATGACGAGCTGAAATCGTAGACATTTCAAGTTAAACTCCCTCCTTTTTCAGATTTTTTTTTACTTTTTTCAAATAAGTTAAATGCGTATAAATGTGTAATAATCAATATATCATTATTTGATACTTTTTTTTGTATGGAACAAAATAAATTATTTTTTAATTCTGCAAGGAATTTAATTATTAATCAAACGCCCACACACATAATTTAACATTCAATTTTTTTAGTTAAATGTATTCTTATAATCTGTATACGACAATCAGTCCACTTGTGCCACATTGCATCGCATAATACGCTCAGAGTTATAATACGATAGAGATCGCTTTACGCTGTTTTCCTTGAAATAAATAAATTTTACGTGCTTTGTGTACGCGTGTTTAGTATATTTGTTTCTTTCATATTAATTTTAACTATAATTAGTTTTTTAATTAAGATATTTTAGTGTAGTTGTTTATTTGTTAGTGTCCTGTTTTCTTTAATTTCGCATTTTTTAATTTTCTTTTTTTTTTGGTGTTGGTGCTAATTATTATTTTTATTTTACAATGTCGAGTAAACACCGGTTTTACGATAAATGTGTGTATTTAAATTGCACAAATATTAGGACAAAAGATGGAAAACGTTTATTTCGATTTCCATTACAAACGGGTGCGAGACATGATTTATGGTTACGCAATAGTGGTGAGTTTATAAAATTGATTTACTTATTTATATCAATATATAATATATATTGAATGATATATGAAACAAATATATATATATATTCTTTGTTTTTTTTAATAAATATGTCAGATATTATGTATGTTTACGTATGGATTACGTTGAAGTATTTCTTTGCCGCGTTTTTCTGATCTCGCCGAACGGTTCGCGAATCCTGTGCGAATAAAAAACGATGCGCGTGTGTGTGTGCGTGCGATTGTGATGATCAGTTTCAGTTCGTCTTCAACGCTTGACGAGAGAAGATCCCGAACTGCTGTAAGTTTATAAAAAATTTTTTGTATAAACATTAGAACGATTTTATATTATTTTTTTTGTCTAGAAACGTTATATTAATAACCGTTATGAAAACGATCTCGACGACGGCGTCACCGGATTCGCCGTCGTCGAGATCGTTTTCATAACGGTTATTAATATAACGTTTTCTAGACAAAAAAAAATAATATAAAATCGTTCTAATGTGTTATACAAAAATATGTTTTTATAAACTTACAGCAGTTCGGGACCTCTTCTCTCGTCAAAAGACGAACTGAAACTGATCATCACAATCGCACGCACACACACACGCGCATCGTTTTTTATTCGCACAGGATTCGCGAACCGTTCGGCGAGATCAGAAAAACGCGGCAAAGAAACACTTCAACGTAATCCATACGTAAACATACATAATATCTGACATATTTTATTAAAAAAAACAAAGAATATATATATATATTTGTTTCATATATCATATCAATATATATTATATATTGATATAAATAAGTAAATCAATTTTATAAACTCACCACTATTGCGTAACCATAAATCATGTCTCGCACCCGTTTGTAATGGAAATCGAAATAAACGTTTTCCATCTTTTGTCCTAATATTTGTGCAATTTAAATACACACATTTATCGTAAAACCGGTGTTTACTCGACATTGTAAAATAAAAATAATAATTAGCACCAACACCAAAAAAAAAGAAAATTAAAAAATGCGAAATTAAAGAAAACAGGACACTAACAAATAAACAACTAACACTAAAATAATCTTAATTAAAAAACTAATTATAGTTAAAATTAATATGAAAGAAACAAATATACTAAACACGCGTACACAACACGTAAAATTTATTTATTTCAAGGAAAAACAGCGTAAAGCGATCTCTATCGTATTATAACTCTGAGCGTATTATGCGATGCAATCTGTGGCACAGCGAGTGGACTGATTGTCGTATACAGATTGCAAGAAACATTTGAACAAAAAATTGAATATCTAAATTATGTGTGTGGGCGTTTGCATTAATAATTAAATTCCTTGCAGAATTAAAAAATAATTTATTTTGTTCCATTACAAAAAAAATTATCAAATAATGATATATTGATTATTACACATTTATACACATAATAACTTATTTGAAAAAAGTGAAAAAAAATCTGAAAAAGGCGGGTTTGAACTTGAAATTCCACGATTTCAGCTCGTCATCTTAGTTGCTCGGCTACGCATGCTACTTGACGTTTTTTATACCGCATGATACATTAGGCATGGAAACTTTAAATAAACATTATTGCACGTTGACATTGCACTTCATATTAATAGAATCGGCGATAAATATTAAATATAATATAATATATTTATTACATTCCAAAATCCAGGTTCGAACAATTAATCGCTTATTTTAATTAAAAAAGATTTATATATTTCATTACACATATACACTATATATATATTTTAATAATTATATAGTTTTTATACAAATTATATAAATACTATATATATATATATATATATATATATACGCATAAAAGAAAAGATCGCACATATACAGAATGAATACGTGATACTGTGTTAACACGAAAATTATGGGCGTAGCACGGACTCGCACCAAATTTTTATCGACCCTGCCAGAAAATGGGTGTGCAGTTAGTTCCGATATTGTGCGAGGGGCGCTTCAAGCAGTCCCGTAAAACGGTAACAGCCAAAACCCGGTGGCCGCTTTCATCTTTCTCTCTGGCTTTCAGCCACGTGATTGAAAATAACAACGCGATTTTTAATCTTTCTGAGAAAGCGGCAAAAATAGGAGAAATTTTTTAATATTTAGTATTTTGTTGAAATAATATATTGAACAATGGAAAAGAGACCTGGGAATCCACGATGGATTGTAGGCGAGCACGAGATTGTAAGTTTTTGATTAGAATCATTTAAAGTATTTAATCTTACGTTTATGTTTACGTAAAATACATAATTTTGAATATTTGTTTAATATATTAACTTCAATATTTCTTTCATTTTAATAGTACAAAGAATATTCGTACGAGACATCGGACAAATCGACGGCGGTAGAAAAATTTATAAAGGTAACATATTGTCATTATATAAATAAAACAATGTGTTGCCTGTGTTAATATGTCTGTAAATTAAAACATGTTCTCTCACCTTAGAAATTTAGGATAGAAATTGTACGAGAAGATGATAAAGAGTTGGAATTTGATATAATTGGCTGTGATGTTTCACTGGCCAATGCATTTCGTAGAATACTTATAAGCGAAGTACCAAGTATGGCTATCGACAAAGTTTTTGTAATCAATAACACTAGTCTTCTGCAGGACGAAGTACTGGCGCATAGGTGAGATGAAATGGATATTCTGATGAGTCATTTTTATATCTTGAACACTGTTTGTGCATAACAAATAGATATGTATTTCGTTTTCAAGACTGGGTCTTATACCTCTTCGGGCAGATCCTCGGTTATTTGAATATCCACCGATTGGAAGAACGGATGAAGAGGCAAGTGATCAAGACACTTTAAAATATGAACTGAAAGTTACATGCACGGTAAATCCACAAGCACCAAAGAATTCTCGTCTTCCAGAAGATATGTATAGAAACAGCAAAGGTATTTAACTTGGAACTTTTATGTAGTTGTATTATGTATGTAATATTAAAGAATATTTATATAGATCAGTATGTTTTTTACAGTTTACAGTAAGGATATTAAATGGGTACCGATAGGCCGACAAGGAGACATGTTTCCACATGGAGCAGAACAGTTCAGCCCGCTAGACAATGACATATTAATAAGTAAAATGCGTCCTGGTCACGAAATTCATGCGTTTATGTATGCAGTTAAAGGGATTGGCAAAGATCACGCCAAATTTTCTCCTGTGGGTATGTAATAATTTTACAAACAAAACATTTTTCACACTTTTATCACAGATGTGCTCTAATACAAATATATAATACATGTCGAAATGATGTCGTAAAGATGCAAATTAAATGTTTTAATTATTAAGATGAATTTTCTCATGTCAATTGTGTAAGAATAAAATGTATTTGTAGCTCCTGCGCGATATCGTCTTATGCCGGCTATCGAGTTGACTAGACCTGTGAGAAACGAGGACGCAGATCTTTTGCAGAGCTGTTTTAGTCCTGCTGTGATAGACGTGGTAGAACAAGAGACGAGTTCTGGAGAAAAATATCGCGAAGCGCGCGTGAAGAACGCTCGTTATGACAGCTGTGCCAGAAATGTCTATCGTTATGAACAATTGAAGAATTGCGTGGAAATGACTCGAATACCGGAGCATTTTATCTGTAAGTATGAATAGTTTAAAATCTTTGACTGAAAGAGAGGAATCAATATTAGGTTTTAAGTTGCAGTTGAATGTGTTATTGTGTGTCACAAATGGACCATATAAAATAATTATAAAAATATTAATTAATTATAAATATTTTACTTAAAAGTTGCATAACAAATTTAGAACGTCTTTATTTTTCTTTTAATTAACTGTATGGCTTACTAACTGTGTAACAGTTGGAAATTTTATACATGACTAAATTATATATAATTTTGATTTTTAGTTAATATAGAATCCGTGGGAACGTTATCAGCGGCAGTTTTATTCACGGAAGCTGTTAAAGTGCTCAAGAATAAATGCAGGACATTTCTCGCGGAGCTGGAACATGTATAAGAATAGAAAAATAATTTTCTTATATTAAATTACAGAATTAATTAAAAAAAAAAGAAAGAAAATAAAGATAAATATAAAATATTTTTATGTATTTTTATAGACAATCTGTCATTGACACGATTGTATAGATAGGCGTATCGAGAAAGAATCGACAAGTACGTATGTACATACATTTATATTTATATATATATATATCTTGACCAATGAAACGTCCAGCGTTCAATTCACTGGACAACATGGCGCTTCCTATCGACCATCTCATTGGACGAGAACTAAGGATTTTTACGCGCGTATTCACGCGAAGTAAAAAAAAAACGAGATAAATGTATAATGGAGCGTTGTAGAGAAACGAAGAGGAAAATATGGTTTGGGAGAACAGATTTTCGCGCATCGCAGCTGACGATATGATGAAAGAAAAAAACGTGCTAAAATCAACAGACATTAAAATCCCATTGAAAACGCGTAACATAACGAGGAACCCTAGAATTTCCATCGATCCGTGCGTGATGCCGCGTAACCACCGGCGCGGCGGCGAGTTTGACATTAGGATTCGTTACGTCAGCTGTTAACAAGCGTGGTCGCTTTCGCCGCCGTGCGATTGCGATCGAGAGTCGCGCGCGCTTCTTGCCGCGGCAACACCCGGGATAATGGGGTTAGGCAACTTCCGATTGCGACTCGTCATCGTCTTCGTCGTTGGTCTCCTGCTTTGGCAGACCTCGAAGATTTGGTTGGCGTTCCTACAAGGCGATCTGCAAGGTAAAAAAGACTCATCGTACCTGCACGTGAATGCCTTTTCGCGAACGCTCACACCTGTCGCCATGAACGTAAACATCGTATACCTCATCCTCTCGTGACTGTTACATATACATATATCCAGTTAATAGTGATATTTGTAATGGAGAATAACAATACGTTGTGTTATCATATTCTGATATTATATCGATTGAAAAAAAGTTAATTATTTTCTTAAGAGTTTTATTTCGTAATTACAGCGTAATTTAATTTACAAAGTATTAATTATATATTGTTTTATTTTTGAGCCCGGATTTTGCGGTGTACGCATATTTGACATATGTGACCTTATTTTCGTTTGTGTGTTAATTATTAATGAGTAATTATATTGTTTGTTTTATTCAAGATTCGAGTTATATTTTTATCGCTGAATTTTGAAATTTATCTGGATAAATTATGTGTACATGAAAATTATATATAGAAAAAAAAAAAAAATCGATATAAAAATATATATATATATATATATAAAGTTAGATATACATATATGTGGTATGATTGTACATATCGTTTAATAAGCACACACGTCAATCACAAATTTGCGACTTCCTGCATTACAAATATTATCTGAAAATTATTATATATGACAATGAGAGAAACCTAGATAAACGATAATTCGAAATAATATCTTATTTCAAAAAATATGTTATGTATTTTTGTTTCTCTCATTCATATTTAGAAATTAAAATTAAAATGTTGAACCAACATTCTAATTTTAATATTGATAACATCACGTTTATCACTTACTAATATTTAACGAGAATTATATATACATATCTGAAAATTTTGATGCAGAACTTCAGGTGGGCCAAGCGGCGACAGCGTTGAGCCAAAAGGATGACCCGACTCATCAAAAAGTACACGTGGCCGTCTATTACGAAACACGATGCCCGGATTCGCGTTATTTTATCGCGAAACAATTAAGACCAACATACCAGAAACTTCCGGCGAATATCGAATTCGAATTGATACCGTACGGAAAGGCTTCGGTAAGTTGACGCGATTCAATTTAGTAATTCTTCTAGACTTTCGAGAGGAAAAATATCGAGATACGAATCAATTATCGAGACACTTAAACTTTGATCCTTTTATATTTATCAAGCAGTCAAAAGAAATCTTATTATATATCGCATAGCTCACATTATCCATTTCTTGCTCGTTTACATATTCTCTTTTATTTGTAATTATTACATATTATCATATGATCGAATAAAAAAAAAGTTGAGGTAGGACTTCTTTTCGTAAAATTACTTATTTTATTTTTCACGTGCTTACAGACGGTGAAGACAAACAACGGATATCAATTTGTATGCCAACACGGATTCGTGGAGTGTGAAGCAAATATTATACACGCATGTTCCATCGACGTTATCAAGGACCCGTCGATACAACTGCAATTTATCACTTGTATGATCGAAAATAACGACAATCCGATAGGAATAATGCAAGAGTGCGCCAAACGCATATCCGTGAATCTGGAGTCCATACAAGAGTGCTACAGCAACGAAAAGGGAAAGGAACTCTTGGCCAATTATGGCAAGCTGACGAACTCGCTCGGGCCAAGATTGTCATTTATACCGGCGATTACCTTAGATAGGGTGAGTATTCGCCAAGTAGGGAATAAACGTAACGGTACATTCAGTTATAGAATACGTTTTCCTTTTTTTTACAGAACTTCGATCCCAATTACCAAGCAAAAATATTGAAAAACCTGCTGAAGGAAGTGTGCCTGCATTTAAAAATTAAACCAAAAGAGTGTTCGTGAAAGAGTACGAACCAGGTACGACACTAGCGAAACATATCCGCGTCATCATCGAATTTTGTTATCGTGTTGTATAAAAAATTTAAAAATAAATGAAATATAATATTTTTGAAAGAAAACTGTTTTATCTTTTGTGTCGAAAGCACATCCGACATTTCTCGACAAATTTAATATCGCGATATTATACTAATTATTATTGCATGTACAAGATAATTATGCATGAAAATCGATAATTTGCTCTCGCAATGTAAGCACATATAATTGCACATATATATACATATAGAAAGCAGTTTTGAAATTTATAATTTCATAAAGCGTACTTTCTGCGTGTATAATTATAAAAAAATCCTATTGCCGGTTTATTCGCGTCGATATATGCTATATCAGGCCATTATCGTTTATTTCGGGGAGATAAAATCGCTTGTATTATAGATAAACACCAGTTTGCTCCCATATAAGTATATAGGAACAATTTATTAACTTAATATCAACACTTTATACAAACTGTGCCGCTTTATTATGTACGACAAGAAGTGAAGAACGCCTTTGAGATATACGGCAGAGAATATACTTACATACAATAGAAACAATGTTCGAATTAGAATCTGAGAAGAAATGAAAGTTTATTCGAACGAGACTATAATCGTTAAAAATAACAAACGGAAAAAAATGAAAAAGAAAAAAAAAAGAAATACCGAGTCTGCGCTCGAAATCATTAATGGGAAAAAAATGTTTTTCTTTATATTTTGCAACGTATAACGTTCTCTCCTTGTTTATATCGCAATAAACTTGTTCGTTTTAAGAATTACAATTAGCATATAATCACCGAACAAAGACTCACTTTGTCGGATCGATTTTATACGTTCGTATATGTACACATTGAAATAAATACAACGGTCGATAGAAGCAGGATGTGTCTTGGTACCTCCGCAAATACGGTATATAAACGATTCTTTCTTTTTTTTTTAAGAACAACAACGTGTATTTCAATAACAAAGATCGAGGGGACGCTAAATTAAATATTAGAAGAGCTAACGCTTCAATATTATTCGATAAAGATTTGGCATTGCCTCGATGTTAACGTTCACAACAAGAGCTTCCATGCGCCGCTCTCTCGCTCTCTCTCTTTTTTTTCTATCTAATTCTCGGCGCGCGAAAATTCTTTCAATAAATAGATTTTGCGATACGGATATAAAATTACTATTATATTAAATACTGGAATATAGAGTCTTTGTAACGTAAGAGACTTAATCGCTAGGTATCAGTGTTCGATGAAACGAAGCGAATTTGGAAGCATTTAGATACAGATGCCTGTCGAATACTAATGACCACTTTTACAAAAACGAGAGTGCATTTTTTTTCTCTTTTGACAATCTTTTTCATTCTTAATAAAGAGTGTAAGAGTGTGTGGAAATATATCTCGGACACAGAATATACCACAGTTTACAAATAGACCCAATGTGTGCTTTTTTCCTCCTTTTTTTTCAGATATTTAATGGAGCGAGTCCCTAATTACAGTTAATACCGTACTTTCTCTCCTTTGTAACCTATATCTAATCTCAAAAGTTTTTCGAGGGTAGTGAGAAAAGTCAGAGATATGTAAAGTGGATCCTGTTCACAGAGACACAATGAAATATTCTCATAGCAAAGTATCTAGATGCCATCGAACACAAAAAGAGATGGTTGCTGAAACGAGAGGTCTATTGGTAATGAGGGAAACAAATCGAGAGTAGCTGTGACCTAAAAATGAGGATACATTTATTTTGTCTTTTTATCTTTTTTTAATCTTTTTTTCTTTTTTTGTTTAATGATCAATGCGATCTAGGTCACCAGAAATACAAGTACTTCTCATTTTTGTTCACTTCAATGTTAAATAATAAAGGACTGTGGAGGAATTATCTCTTTCATCTTTTTTTTCTTAATTTCTTCGTAAATTATTTTATATATATATATATATATATATATATATATACATATATATATATATAATATATATATATTACATATATATTATGACTGAACCACCGACACGCATGTTGTTATTTTACGCTGTACGGCATTATGTTCTTTTGCTCTCGAGTTCTTAAGTAACATTATATCGTACGGATCGCACAAAAATCACACCAGTTTCTCCGATCTGGTTGGCTCCGCTTTTAACGAGACTGGCACGCACCCCTGGGCGAAGAAAAGTAATGCACCGATCTCACTGTGGCCTTTACTTCCTTTAATCCCCCATCCCTATTTTATTTCTCCGTGGATTTACATATCAACAAAAGTGGTGTCGACGTTGTTTCTCTTTTTTTTTAAATCTTTTTTTGCGCGCATGTATGTAAGGCTTTCCCGAGCGGAAGGCAAGTTTACAAATAGGAGATTAAAATGGAACTGGAGGCAAAACGCACTTTGTGAATATAATATTATAGTGTTTCTCTTTTTTGCTCTGTGTGTGTATAATCTTTTGTGTGTATAGAGTTTTTCGCGTATATAATTCGTATTATATACGTAAACGTGTACGTGTGAGTCCCGTGTGCACGGGCACAAGAGGCTTGGATGATGTTGATTGAAAGCGTAAGGAAGAGACTTTTTTCTTTTTTTTTTTTCTTCAAATAGGAATGTCGAGACTTCGGATCCTGGAGCTTTCCAACGATCGCGTCGCGGCTCGTTATTCGTGTGACGTCACTCGCGCGACCGATCATATCCCGTCCTGCGAGACGCGACACACGCGAGCGAAAGCACTAGGTCTGAGCTCCTCGAGGCTCCTCTCCTCTTCCAACTTTTTTTCATCTATATCTCTCATTTCTCTTTTTTTCTCGGTCTCGGTCTCTCTCTCTCTCACATTTTCTTTTTTTTATAAATTTTCTTGCTCGTTACTTATATAAATTAAGTTATTCGTTCTGTGATGCATCGAGGGGTCCAGCACAGCTTTTGAAGTCGTCATCAATAACCCAGAGGCCGAAGCGCATCATATTTATATTCTTTCTCTCTCTCTCGCTCTCTCTTTCTCTCGCTCTTTCTTTCTCTTTCTCTCTCTCTCTTTGTCTGGAAAACGATCGGTCCAGGCCGAATTCTCTCACAGAGACAAACAAACATTTGTACATGTGCATGCATTTTAACATGAGACATCATCATCTATTTAGCAGCTACGTATCCTAATGTCATCATTCACTATACACGTATCTCGTTTATTAAAAAAAATGAACGAAGGAATTTTCGAGATGAACCTTTCTCTCTCTCTCTCTCTTTCTCTCTCTCTCTCGCTCGCTCGCTCGCTCGCTCGCTCTCTCTCTCTCTCTCTCGCTCTCTCTCTCTCTCTCTCTCTCGATTGGCAAATAAATCTTTGCTGCTTTTAATAGTATTTTACATCGGATTTATATTTTGTCCCACAAACGCACACGTTTCCTCTCCATTTGCAAAGAGAAATTACAATTCTTCGACATGCCTTTCTCATGAAAAATCTTTGGAGGAAATGAAGAAGATACGAAGACTAGGAGGAAAGATGATGGCGAGGGATGTAACAAGAGAAAAGGAAGGGGGGCAGTCGAGAAAGAGAGTAAAGTGGAAAATGCACTTTTTTTCTTTGTCGTTGGTGCACATGCGCGCGCAATCGTGTGTCTTTGCGTTATCTCACTTCTAAATTTGTTTTATCCAATGGAAATAAGACATTCGAGTGAACGTGTATGTACGTGTGTGTATATACTCTTTGAGTGTTCCGTTCGTATGTATCGGTGTAATGTGTTATTGTGTATTGTGTTTTGTGTGTGTGTGTATGTGTGTGTGTGTACACGCGTAAATATTCGTGTTTTGAGAGATAATGATTTTAGTGGTATAACTCTTTTAATTAAACAATTAATTGCCCTGTATTACTTATCGTTAAACGATGATTTTAAACGCGGTATCGGACGTTGACTCTTCGCGCTTTTATAGATCATCTTCGCATGATACAAGATTTATCACTTTCTGGTTGATTCTGTTTTTGTTACATATGTTTTTTCTCTGTTTCTTGATTTATTTAATACGTCAACACCACTCCGAGTCGCGAGTTCTTCCGTTACACAGGTTGCATTCACTTTGATGTCATCATTGTGACGAATTCTGAAAAATACAACAGAAACATTTCATTAGCTTCGCATACATTAGTCGCATGCTATTTCTAGCTAAGCTAGCACGCACAATAATAGTCATAGTATGACAAAGTATCGGTAAATTAATGATGTAAGAGTGAATTGTCATTATGACAGAAGCAGAAAAAATTGCGATGAGGCACACGCGAGATGCCAACTGCACAAACTGCGTTATCGAATCGAAGTGATTTCGTTTACAAATATGTAAGAATTGTACAAATTATACGTGTATTTGAATGTTGTTCGCTTTTGATGCACGCGGATAATTATTTTATGTGACGATAATTATTTTAATAACGCACTTTAAAATGCTGTATTTGGAGTTGAATCGACGCACGACATATTGCCAATAAACTTGACTATGCTAATTAATAAATTAAGTAATACAACCTTCATAATTAACTTGACCGTCGCCATCGATATCGGCCTCCCGTATCATTTCATCTACTTCCTCATCAGTGAGTTTTTCGCCAAGATTGGTCATGACGTGTCTAAGTTCTGCCGCGGATATGAAACCATTTCCATCTTTATCGAACACTCTGAAGGCCTCCCTAATCTCTTCCTCGCTATCCGTGTCCTTCATTTTACGCGCCATCATGGTCAAGAACTCGGGAAAGTCGATTGTGCCGTTACCTAGAGTTTTAGAAATTTTTGAAATCATTTTTCTTTTTTTAATCGAAAAAATGAAAAAATAATAATTTCTTCATAAATACATCAAAAAGTTAATATTGTCACCAATGTATAGAAACAGATATAAATGTGAATAAAAGTAGAAAAATGGAGCAAAATATGAATAATTGTTTTCTATACGGAATATAACAGTGCTCTCTCTTGTAGAAATAATAATGTTGTATAAAGCTAAATAAAGATATATGTACCATCTGCATCTACTTCATTAATCATGTCTTGTAGTTCGGCTTCTGTGGGATTTTGACCGAGGGACCGCATGACTGTACCCAATTCTTTGGTGGTTATGGTACCGTCGCCGTCTTTATCGAATAGCGAAAACGCTTCCTTAAACTCTGCGATCTGTTCTTCTGTGAGTTGGTCAGCCTTTAAGACAAAAGGTAACAGTAAGCTTCATCGTTTCGCATATTCAGATTACACGCGTATAAAATGTTTGCATTTATTCGGCATACAATAAACGAGATTAATATGTAAAGTTAGTTCTATTCCAGCAAATATATATTTTTACTTTACTCGCTAATAGAGATTTGCATTATAAATACAATCTTTTATGTAAATTATTTCTATAGCGCGGTGAAACTAATTTTTCATAAATGCCTCGATTACGACAGAGACGCATAATAACGCAAGCTAATAAGGTAATGTCAAAGAAACAGCGCGATGATACATTCGAGCATTTTAATTGCTCACGCATGAATAAGGAAATCCCAGTTCACTTTCGTCGCGTGAATATTAAAACCAACGTCGTTATGATTCATTAGAGATAAGTGAATAAGTACTGTGCATTCGTGTATATAGATAATACACATATATATGTCGTATCTCGTGGGATTTATATGTATTGCGCATTAGTGAAAATAAATTTTGATTCTTTTCCAAAAATGCACGTAGGTATTATTGCCAAGTACGAAGAATGAATGTCGCGCGTAAAGTGAAAAAATAATAATCATAATATACTAAATAAATGAAGGCGTTAAATAAGTACGGCGATTTTCACGAGTCGATTTCATTGTCGGGAAAATTGAATCGACATATAGCGGGAGACGTTTTAAAAATACGTAACGCAAGTTATTCTCGGACACTAATTACCGAGACAGCTGATTGATTTAATGGCCATTTGCCGCGGAGCGGAAAGCAAAGTGGCGATAATGTATCGATTCTACGCGCAGGGGGCAAGAACTCGAATCGTAAATAACGTATTATCGCGAGTCTGCGAGAGCATTTCATTATCGGCCCATTTTCTAGCTATCTTTATCGCTTTATCGTCGTTGCCCTCTCTCCCCCCATAAACTCTGAGGGAACAATTGGATATCGCGCGGGGATAATAGAATCGAGCCCGTCCTTAAGAAGCTTAGCTTAGCTTCCGATCGTTATAAAAGGTATTACACCTCCGATTACAGAGGCGCTGACATTTACGGAAAATCGCGTCTTCCGGCGATACACATGACTGACTTGGCGGATATAACCTCACTTTTCGCACGTTTCAGACGACTACGTCGCCGAGAAAATATGGCCGCGTCGTATCGGGGCGGAAAATAAAGAGGGCATGTATTGTTCAAGGGGCAAATCAGAGTTGCGTCTACGCAGAGAGAAAGAGACGCGAATATCTGGGCGAAAGACAAGCCGGAGGAGAACGGACGGTAGACCGGCTCGGGAAGAAACGTAAAAGGAGCTTGGAAGGGACTCGACGAGGGCGCGCAAAAATCAATATCGCCGTATAACGCAACGCGGTTGATCGCGATAGAGCCGCGAGACGCCGCATACGTCGCACGCATACAAGCGAGGACGGTATAATTCGTAAAGAGAGGAAAAAAGGAAAAAAAAGGGAATATGAAAAACAACGCACGCACATGGGTCTGCGAAGATGAATATCGGGCGACCCGGTATATGGATCATGCTAAAGGAGCGGTCGCGCTCGTGTTTCGTGCTCCGATAGGTATCTTGGACGCGATAACGTCGTCTTGCTCCTTTTCGATTCGTATCGTCTCGAAAAAGGGCGCTTTATTTACATTTACACGTTACATAGGCAAAGTTTGTTGCGCGCGCAATCTCCCGATTGAAATATGTACGTGTATAATCGTTTAGTCGATAAGCGTGCACACAGAGTGTAGCTCTCGCTCGCGCGAAGGCCGTGAAGTTAGCTGCGGACGGACGGACGGACGGAAGGCGAGAAGATAACCGTTGGTCGCGTCGCGCGGCGCTCGTCGATTATCTCGACGAGTCCAAGAGGGCACGCGCGAGTCAGAGGCTGACAATACGTCGACGTACGGGATTAGGCTGGCTGGAAGAGCGTCGAAATTAGCCGCTTGGCTCTCTTCGCGTCGCGTCGCCCACCTGTCTCGCTCCCGTAACGTTCGGCCGGCCGACCAGCCAGAATTCCGGGGACACGTAAGCCGCCGCCGCGGCGAGTCGAGTCGAGTCGAGTCGACGCGACGTGCAGGGGCATCTTCGCAATGTCTCTCTCTCTCCTTGCTACGCGGCAAACGATCGATCGACGGTTACTTCCGCTCGCGCGGATGCAGATTTTCTCGTTGCCGCGGAAGAGCGTAGCGTCGACGGCCATGCCCGATCGATAATCGCGGGGCGATCTCCGGGGCGGCACGAAATACCTTTCGAGCGACGAGCTTGATAACGAAAGAGGGAGGGAGAGAGAGAGAGAACGTCGGCGATCCTTCCAGAAAAGGAAATCCGTCCTGCCGGCGACGGTTCGCGCGTTCAATCTCGTCGTCGTCGTCGCACGTGCGCTCGGCGACGCGTCAACGCGGTTCACGGCTTTATTACGATTTACCGATCAGTGGCACGTATATACTTACCATTCTGTGGGCCTTTCTCTCTTGGCGTCTCGGTCACGCACGACAAACGACAAGCCTCCGCGAGACTACACCCGCGCACTGGGGGGACAACAGCGAGATCGTATCCGAAATTCACCAAGCCTCTCTCCGGCGGAGATGGATCGGTCGGTCGGTCTCGAGACTCGACGACGTACTCGTAGATCGCGGACGCGGATCAACGACGACGTTCGAAACGCGACGAGTCAACAGCCAAGTCCGGCGAGAAACGCACTCGGAACAGCAATGGAGTCCGCCGTGTCTCTCTCGGTCTGCGAGGCTCTCTGCTTCTACCGGGGGCCGCTGCTGGTCTCTCGCGAGGCCGGGTATCCCTACGCCGTTCCCCCACTCCGGCCGCTCGGCCAATCGGCGCGCGCCGGCGGTCCGGGCGGGACGAGGGAGGGGGAAGGAGAGCAGGCGGCTAGTCGCGCTACGGCGCCGGCCGCCTACGCGGTCGCGAGCTAGGCCCCGCACCGAGCGGAGGTGCGGAAAAAAGGCCCGCTGCGCTTTTTAATCGCGCCGTTTGCTGCGAGCGAGCGAGAGAGGACGAGGCCGACGTGGCGCGCGAGCGCGCCCGCCACGCCGTTAACCCGCCCCGTAACAAATCCGTTTTACACGGCGGGGTGGGTGCGGTCGTGTTTACAGGACGAGTCCGGACGAACTAACCGGGCCTGTGATTGGCCGGCGCGCACCTGCAATGCGTCAGGCAGCCGCGCGGACTGTGCCGTGTCGCGCCGGGTCAAAGCCGGGCTTCCCTGCTCTGCTCTGCTCTGTTCTGCCGCTGCGACTTTACTCCGCGCTGCCATGCCGCGGAGCCTGGCGCGCGAGACGCGAAACGCGTTTTCGTTTTTCGCCGAAAGCCGAAGGGCGGTTGAGGAGGAGGGACGACGCTGCGCTTTTTCACTCTCCCACCCCCAAATTGTCCCAACGCGCGCTTCGTCTTTCTCTTCGTTTCCGCGCCTTTTCGTTTCCCGTTCCCCGTCATTCATTCACGATCGTCACCTCGCCCCAACTTTGGAGCCCCCTTTTTTTCTCTCGCGACACCGGCAGGTCGACGAGAGAGGCCTCGTGCGTCGCACATGGGAGTTCGAATCTCATCTTTTTGCGTATATATATATAGACCCTCTTTCGCCGCGTATAAACGCGAACCGGCCTCGGTATCACCCTTTTATCGATCGCCTCGTGCCTTCTCTCTCTCTCTCTCTCTCTCTTTCCCTTTTTTCTTTTTAATGAAATAAGGGCCTTTTAACGAGAAACCGCGCTATAGAAGAAACCTATCGCTTTCGTGGATGACGAAAGCACACAAATTGGATATCTACCCGAGGCAAGCCGAAGAAAGGAAGGGATAGAGCCACTGTAATTTTCTCCCTCTCTTTTTCTACCCGTTATCTCCCTCTCTATTTCCCGCGAGTATTGATTTTGATCAATTTCATCGGTGAGCGCTCTAGCGCGGGTCTCCACCTTGGCGAGGAATTTACAGGCGGGTGTAAAGCGTGAAAATTTATCGTATCCGGCCGTACCGTCGTCGTCGTCGTCGTCGTCGTCGCCCTTGTCCTCCGCACCCCTTTCTCCATCAGCCCTCTCTCTCTCTTTGGTCTACAGTCGTTCTCTCTCCCCGCATCCCTCTCCTTCTCCCACCGCTCTTTGCCTATATACTATTTCCACTTTCCTGGTATGTGTGTCAGTGCGGCAATTTGACGGTGGTGTCGGATAACGTATATATAATCGCGCCGATGACGACGGATTAGAAACAATTCGCGTTGCGAGCGGACGAAATGATCGAATCGAATCGATCAAATCCCCGACTCGATTACTTCCCTTAGTCTAGAAAGATAAGGCGAGAATATGTACGCGAGAAGCTCCTTGACACCTTTCTCTCTCTCTCTCTCTCTCTCTCTCTCTCTTCCTCTGCTCCACTTTGGAATCGCGCACGTATATATACATGATATTCTCCAAAAGTTCTGCATTGCGTTCCCGTCCGGGGATATGTACATATACGTATGCGGAGATTAGACGCGCTCGTTCGATAAGACGCATATTTTCGAGCTACATCGAAATTATCGATAACGCTCGATGACGAAACTCGACAGGGGCATCCACGTGTACACCTTATTATACAGTCGCGCATATGTGTATATATATATATCGCGGAGTCAATTCCCCAGATAGCACAAGACGTCCTATGAATGTTCATTTTATATCCATTTTACGTATGTACGTCCATGGACATCCGATTTCGGACATCCATCAGTGACTAATATTTGGACGTCCACAGGATGTCCATCAAATTCTCTTACAGCACGAAATATTGCTAAAATATATTGCATAAATATTTCATTTCATTGTATCATTATAAATATTGAAGCAACATTGTGCAGATATTATAAATTCAATATTTCATTGGAGACATTGCAAAATATACTATGCAATATTATCTTGTAATAGTTCCTTCATTTGCCGCTATGCGATATAGCGCAAGATTCGCTGTCCATCTCGCTATTAAATTTAGTTAAGAGAATTATAAAGCGCATGCAAAAAGTGACTATTACAGTTAAATATGTTATAATTATTTTGATCAGTTTAACTTTTCTGATAGGATCCCAATACGAGGAATTTAGATATTGAATTAATTGAAGAAATTCGACAAATAAAATGCGAAAATAAGAAATATTCTGCAATATTTTATGAATAGTATAAAATTGAATTAATTTTGCATGTCAAATTTATTATTGCTTATAAATTTCTTCTTTATGAATTTTAAATGTCATTGTCAACGATATACATGTATAATAAAGAACCAAAATATGTTCATTAAAGATTTAAAATTTATTCATAAAAGATCCATAATTAGTCTATATGAGATCCAAAATTCGTCCGTTAGAATTTATCCATTTAAAATCCATAAATGACCAATAATGGACGACTTATGGACGTCCAGACCAGTTGCAAACGAACGTACAGTGGACGTCCCTTGTACGTCCGCTGCAGGTAATCTGGACATCCGATGGATGTACCAATGTTCGACACGGACATCCGTTGTACGTACATAGGATGTACTTGTGCTTATTGGGTCCGTTGACTTTACGAGCTTTTTAAGCGCCCGCGAGACAACAGCAAGGATCGTTTTTCGCCTCGACGAGTCGGGTCGAGCTCGAGCAAAATGATATACCCTCTCGACAAATTTCCAAAAGTCGTATACAAAAATATCGCTATTCCTCGTATTCGCTTTTATTTATTTTATCGAACGACGGGCGTTTTTTTTCTCTCACGCCGCGAATAAAACAATTATTCGCCCTCGCGCCGACTCGGGGAATAAGAGAAGAAGAGGGGACCTAAAATTTTTACGAGGGCTGCTTTCTCCGAAGATGGTGGCCTACGCAAGTCGAATGAATTATTCAGCGTGCCACTTTGCGGTCGCGCGGGAGTTTCTTTTTTTTTTTTACACAGTTATAAATGTTATATCGTACAGATATTCCTCGCACGCGGCGGGGAAAAAGAAGGAATCCTTCGGCTGGAAGTCAATTTTCGGAAAAGAGAGAAATTATATCGTCGACAGATGCGACGCGGTCTCTTGTAGTCACGACATTCCGAGCGTTTCTATATTCAGAATGACGCCGCGGAGATCGATCATGGGAGAGATAGGACCGTTATCTCCGTCTCGAAATTACCGACGAAAATTTAAAGGAGTCTTATTAAGACTTCCGACCGACCTTGTTACAATTGTGACACGTCAGAGGCAAGAAAACGCGGGCTGAAAATTCTCAGATGCCAGATTTCGAAATGAAAAGACGCTTCGATGAAACGGCACTTTGAATATGGCTTTAGCACGCTCCTAAAATACCTCGAAAACTATCCTCTTCCCTTTTACAATCGATCAACGGCTATAAAATGACTGCGATATGATGATCCCAGTCCGTCTGCTCTTTGCGCATGCACGGTCATTCCGCGTGACAAAGTCCGATATCACAATCATTGTACGGTTGTCGAAGGAAAAAGTGTGCTAAAGCCATCTGAAATAGTATTAAAAATGGCATCTGCAATTTTTCAGCGGGTGACGTCACGATCCAACATAATCATGGCGATTATCTTTTGTATAATGGAGCATTCGTATGTGTTATTATTTCCTTAATAGCGCAACATATTCGAAAGTGGATATTCAAAGGATATCCTCAGGATGTTCGCTGAACGTCTTCGGGATATGTGTGCTGTTAAGTTTAATAAGGGATACGCATCCTATTATTATTATTATTACTACTACTACTGGCGCTATGATTAATTCGGATAGGACTCGAGAAACGTCAAGCCGAGGTATAATACGCGGGAAAGCGAAGGGGACCATTCAGGACGGCATCGGGACGGCGACCCCTGATGGTCCTTCGCGGGGGCGGATGAGCGAAAGCGCGCGCGCGTATATGCGCTCGTCTAGATATATAGGGACACGAAATTTCTTTTCTCGCAAAAGAGCGTATAGCGGCTATATAGCGCGGGCCGGCACATATATCGATCGTTCTGGCGCATTCCGGCCAGGAACACGGCGACGCGGTGGCCAGGAACACCCCTATCCGCACACCTATATATGTATATATATATATATACATGTATGTGTGTCGTCCGATGAATTGTTAACCGCTCCGTCGTCGTTGTGACCGTGACCGATATATCCCGGAGACGCGCGCTCGGCGGCGACCCGCGCGCGTAACGGCGCGTTGCCGTTCCGTTGTCGATAAGGCAAATTAGCAGCAGCGACGACGGGATGCGTCGCGTGCGCGCCAACGGAAAAATTATTCGGCCGGGGATGGGAAAGGAGAGAGATGAGAGAAAGAGAGGCCACATCCCCGTTCTCCGGGGAGCGATTTTCCGCTTCTCCGTAAAGGCGGAGGAAAGAGAAAGAGAGAGCCGCGTGCGCGCTGGAAAAAAGGGTGACACGGTATAAAAAGAGGGCGGGGATCGGCCGACAGCCCGGTCGATTGTATTTTAACGCATATAGCCGTGTGTGCTCTGCGGATGCGTAATGCGCTAAGCACGATATACGCGCGGTATGTGCACGCTACACGTATATATATATAGGTACATGTACTATATATTATACGGGGGTGTGTGTATACATACACACACATATATATATATATATGTATACCGATATCCCGCTTCGCGGGAAACGGCAAAAATCGATGCCGTGCCCTGTCCTGTCGCGCCGTGAAAGACGTGGCGGTCCCGTCGCCGACACCCGACGACGAACCCCCCGAGCTAGAGACTAACGTCATTGACGTAGTTTGCTCTAAAGGGCCGGCTTTCGTCTATTCTTGCTTCAGGAGGAGCGGCTCTCGGGAAAAAGTTTCGCTCTTCGTCGTTGTCATCATCATCATCATGATCATCATCATCATCATCATCATCATCATCATCATCATCATCGTCATCATCATCATCATCATCATCATCGTCGTCGTCGTCTTCGCCCTCCCGATGACGCGGCACGTCGTGCGTCGAGCCTGCGCACGCTAGGACGCGCAATGCGACACGCGATAGAACGGGATGGCGAAACGGTACGACCGCGGTAATCTCGTTATGCGAGGGAGAGAAGGAGGAGAGAACGGGGGCGTATAGAGTCGGGGACGCGCTTGGTACCGGGGCAAGTTTTCTCAGGGGTAGATAGGTAGCGGGTAGCCAAGTGTAGGTGTAGCTAGATAGGAAGATAGGGGCAGGCAGGTAGGTAGGTAGGTAGGTAGGTGGGTGGGTAGGTAGGTTGGTAGGTAGGTAGGTAAGCAAAGTCAAGCAGGCAAGCTGCCAGGTGGAGGAAGGGAATTTAATACAAGAGCCGCAGTAAAGAATGTTAATTTTACCGTAATGGTCTCTCGCGCACGGTCACGCTATCGCCCGTTAAAAATTGATATTCCTCGCGTCCTTGCGCGAGCAGGATGGATGGCTCGCCCCGACAAAGATAGAGAGAAAGGGAGAAAATGGAATTCCGTTTGGTGTTGCGCAATATATCCCAATACTCGACGCAGGGAAAGAAAAATCGACGTGGTGTCATTTTTTTCTCTCTCTTCTTTTTCGATATTCGTTTAGCGCTCGCGACACCCATCAATCTAATTGGATGTAAAAGCTGTATTTTTCTCTCTCTGCTTTTATTTTCTTTCCAAATTATTTTCATATCTTCCGTTCAAGGTGACGCTGCATCGAGGGAGGAGGGGATGCAACCGTACCTTTTTGACATCAAACGCGGATAAATATATATATATACATATATGTACATATACACACATGAACATTTACAAGCGGCGCTTATAGTATTCTTTATTTAAAGAATACTTGTAATGTGGGTTAGTGCGGAATTGGAGGAACGGATGCAGCCTTAAACATACAAAATACGACGAAGAGTCTGGAATATGAAAACTGCCTCTCGTCGGGTTTGAAGCGATACACGATGATAAATCTTCATTATGGATTTAAATATATATATATATATATATTTATCTTCCGCGTTTTACATAATTTACATTTGCGCTCGGAACCGATATGACCTTTTTAATTCCTACTCTTTATACATATACATATATATTATTATACACATAATCGTACAAGTTGAATCGCGCGTGGAATTTACATTATCGTGCGAAACCTCTGAGAAGATTATAACGTAATAGTATTATTTTTACACATCGAGATTTAGTTCGATAAATTATCTAAATATATATATATATATATATATATATATATATATATATATACCATATATCGTATGAATTTTTTGTTCAGTTTCACGAAAATTATACACTTATATATAAACATTGAATCAATTAAGTACCATGTCGGATAAGTTTAGGAACGTTTCGTGCGCAGTTTCAGATATCGGACCAATGTGCATATCTCTTAATCCCGATTGAGAGAGATGTAACTCGAAATTGGAGAGGACAACGAGTGGTCCTCTCGACGATGGCCCCCGCATGTACGCAATCGACCCTCCCGGCAAAGACGATCCAAGGCGTGTTCCCCGTGTGTGCGAAACCAGGCCATGCATGTATAACATTATTATATCGATTACACAAAAGAAAATAGCTACCTCTCCTAACGATAAAACGACTACCATTCGCGTGTGCGTTCTATATATGTACAGCTGTGTTATTACGCGTCGAGCGTTATACCCGACGTATTCGACGACGATCGAAGGAAGGCAACTTTTTTATTATTCGCCTGAAAAGCCAGAGATGAGGCGGAGAGAAAGAGAGAGAGAGAGATGAGACGCAGAGGGAAAAGGAAGATCGACCGACGCGCCGCCCGGATAAAATATATTCATCGTGTGTCTCCGTATCGATTTCTATAAAAATAAATTACTACATTTTTAGAGGCATTGCACCAGACTTTTCCGTTCGATTTCGCGTACGCGTCGCACGCAAAATTTGGGCCATCACGTATGCGCACTGTTGTCGCAGAGCTTTGCGCGGTGATCCGCATTCGGTATTCGATGCGCGCGAGCGCGATTCGATTGTCAAACATGACCATCTCATTATACGTTTCACATGTTACATACATGATAAACTCAAATGATAAATAAAAACTCGATACATTATCGAAACAGCGGTGCCGCAGTCGCCGCGCATCCGGGATACGAGTTGCGCACGAGTTTAATTGTAAGTCGTAATCGAACGTTTTTACAACGCGTAAAAAAAAACATCTATAGTTTTTTTTTCAGACTCTTATACGCGTTGCCCGAATGGAAATTTTTCAGACGGAATAGTCACGATAATAATCGTACCGAATACGAATATTTTGCGAGAATTACTCGTATCCGGATTGCAGCGAAACATGCAACGCAAAGAGTTATCGCAATATACATATATATATATATATATATATATATATATATATATATATATATATATATAGTACAAGTCCTGCATTAATGTAGCAGTTTCTCTCTTTTTTCCCCTCTTTTTAACGAAATTGTTACGTCACGTCGTTAATAGTTTTGCGAATGCTCGGAATCGAGAGGTAAGACTTTATTCGAATTTATTACATCAACTGCAACTATTTGTACATTTAAAAAGTATCTCTTTTTTTCTTTCAACAATAAGTTTATACAATAGTACAACGTGTCCAGGTACTATTGATGGGAAGGCGAGAAAATGCCCGCGGAGATACACTGAGAGAGATAAACCGTGATCTCGTCGAGTTTTATTATCCTAAGAAAAATCGGAGACTTTTTTCTCTCTCTCTCTTTCTCTATCTTCTTTCTTCAATCACTCGAAGGTCACCGGTATCGATAGAATCGGTAAGATGGGATTTGTCGTCTCGACCTCCAATGCCGTAGCCATACAATCGCTAGCAGCCTCCACTTCACCCAATGATTCCAACACCATTCCCAGATTGTACCTAAAAAAATGACATTTTTTGCATTAAAAAAAAGTCACCAGTAAATCGTATCAATTATATATATATGTGTGAAATTTTCTTGTTGGAGATATATACAAAATTAAATATTAGTATCAAATGAAACAAAAATGGTGAAACAATGTATCGATTCTAGTCATATCTTAATGTTTAATTTATCGCAATTTTTAAAATTTATGAGAAATAAAAATGTTGTACTAAACTATCATTATTAAATCATTATAAATAATATGCTACGACATATATCAATTAACTTTATTACGATTTTAATAAAGTATAATGAAGTGTATACCAAGTCTGATGGGAATTTGGATCGATTTTCGCGGCGTCCCTCAAGGTCTTTTCAGCCAGTCTCTGACTGCCCAAATAGTGATATATAAGACCCTGTAAATACATGATATAATTAATATAATTGGATACGGAAATAATTAGATTGATAAATTTGCCTCTACAGTAATTATACAAAACAATTATAACAAAGTATGAAAAATGTATATAAAAATTGTACAAAATATACATGTTTAAAAATTGATATGTGCAAAAAGATAATTATTACCAAATGTTGTAGACTCTTTATGTGTGAAGGATTAATTGAAACAGCATTTTGGTAGCATTGCTTAGCTTCCGTGTATTCCAGCTTATATTCATGCAGAAGGCCACGCTGTAAAGAGATAATTGGGCGCGATTATCATACGGCATTATATAATCTAATCTTCCGGTGAATCGTGTGTAATTTAAGAATTTTCAAACATTGAGAGTTTCGTAAGAATGACAAGTTTCACGAACTATATACCGTATACATAATGTGGTGGCTCAGCGGAAAGATATTGGTAGCTTCTTGGAGAGACAGAACGGCGCCGTTTGGCTGGTCCAAGATAAGAAAAACCTCCGTGAGTAAGAGCCAGATTTGCAGTTGCAGTAGCCACGCCCTCTGCGGCCCTGGCTTTGGTGTAAACGAGCTAATCGACGAGGCGACTTCGGAAAGGGCTTGCTCGACTCTTGAAGCGGCTAGCGATTGCGCATGTAGAGAACCTAATCGAAAATCGTCGCCATCTAGTGAGATTAGATGATTTTTAGGAAACCGAAGTCGTCCGTTATGTCCCACACAAATCGAAATCAATAATAATTACATTTCAGAATCTAACGAATGCGATCACGAAATGTATTAGGAGAAAAAAAATATATATATATATATATGTATATATCACGAGCGTAAATCGTTAAATCTCTTTGTACAAAATTATACAATTTAATCGTTACAGTTTTATTTCCTATCGATCCTTATTCGATATGCATAACTCACTAGAATCTTTGTCGGACATCTCTGATGTGTAAAGTTGAAAGACGCTTCTGGTTTCGCTACGTCTCTCGCTTTGCTGCTCGTTACAATTAACGTTTGTCTGATCCTCGTAGAGATTTTTCCATAAGTGCAACATGTGGCTGATGGTGTATAATGCGTCCACGCCGCCGATACTTCGCAATTCGAGATGCGCTTTCACGTAGAGGAAATTCAAGTTGTCGGGATATTCCTCCAATACGCTGTTTATTACGTGCAACGCCTCGGAATACTGTTTATGCGCCGATAAAAGTAACGCGAATAAATGCAACGACGGAATGTGTTCTGCCCGTAAATTCAGCGCAATCTTCACGTGCACAATAGCGTCGGCTATCTGTCTGTTTATCGCGTACTCGTGAGCCAGATAATACTCGGCTAAATGATCATTCGGATCGCACTGTTGCGCTCTATTTGATAAAAAAGAAGAAAAAATAATCTTCTATTACAAAGAAGAATCTACAAGAACGAATTTTTTTATCATGTTGCGCTTTGAGCTTCGTTAGAGATACGTACTTTTGAAAACATTCTAAGGCGGTATTCGTATGATTCACCTTATCCTGCTTCACAATCGTATTCGCGGAGAGCATACTGTGACCGATTCCGATGTACAAATGACATCTGGATTGCATCCCCTGTGGACTAGCTGTCTCCCGTTGAAGAGCTTTCTGGCTCCATTCGACACCTTCGCTTAACTGTTCAAAATCAAAATATTCGTAAGTTCTTTTAGATCTTATAGATAAAGAAATGCGAGAGAGAAAACAAGATGTTATTTACCATGTTCAATTGCTCGTAGCACAGCCTCGCGGCCAATAGACAGGGCATTACTTTTTGAGGCGACAATCTCGCGACTACTTTCAAAACTCTATACGCGTGCATATATCTCCCCATACTTATCAGGCATAATGCATACTGCGTCCATATATGCGCCTCCTCGTGAGAGAATTTCATCGCTCTTTCGAATGACTGTTAATGAGAGTTAATGATATTGATGAGTCTTATACGAGATAAAAAAAACGACGATGGTGTTAAATTAGGATTTAATAAAAAGGAAAAAAAAACTATTTCAACCTCATATAAAAGTTCCACTTGACTCCATCTAACGACGACGACCGTAAGCAGATCATAGACAGCGGTGGCATTTTCGAATGCGTGTATCCGGGCTTCCTTGAATTCGGGCGATTGACTGAGAACCGCATCCCTCACCGCCATCGCCTCGCTGATCAACAATAATAGAATCGTTTCCTCATATTCGTTTCGTGGAACAAACATATTCGGTCCCGCGTACTTTTTGGTTTCCACGGCGAATCCGATGCCGAGTAATGGTTTGCCCGTCTATTACTCACAGCGGCTGTAAGATGAAGATTGATAGTATTTTCTGTCAACGAATTAAATTTTTCATTATTCTTATTGTACCTATTGTGTCCCCTTGTCCCTCTGGTGGTTTGTAATCGGCGCCACTTATGCCGCGCACCAATACCTCCGCCAACTGTCTCGTCAGAGTTACCCGCAGACTCTGCGTGGCTGTAGATTCGACGGAGGATAAAACTTCTCTGCATCAATAATCGAAAGTTATTATAAAGCTATCTATACATGGAGAATTATGTAGAAATGAATATTTATAAATCTTGCATTATAAACACAAGAGCCTTTTTAATTATTAAAATTTATAGATAATATATACACAAATTGCGTAATTTATACACACCTGTAACGATTAATAGCGGCTTGTATGTTGCCAGTTTGAATGTACAATATCGGCGCTCTTTGCAACGCGGTCTCAAGGATGGGGCCAATATGTTTTGTGGTGACTGGAGTCTGCGTGGAATATGTACCCGTACCTGTACAGAATATAATGTTAAACAATCAAAGTCGCTCGCTATTCGTGAAATAAAGCCTGTCAATTACCTGTATTGTTTGTGCTTATGGTAGAAATACCATTTTGTTGTTGCATAGCAATTTTGTCCTGCTCTTGTAAATACACTAGCGTCAAATCGCCAGAAACCTCGTAACACTTGATTATTTGCTCGTGCCATTCTGCAATCTTGTATTTCGACTTGGAATTTGGTGGCAGTCTTTCAAGACAGAGACCTGATGCAAACAACAATTTACAATATTAGTCAAAAGAATTGATACAGTCAATGTAGAGAAAAAGTTGATAAAAGTAAAATTTATACACTATAGTGTTAAAAAATGACTAAAAAATATTTTACAAAACTTGTATAATTTCACAAGTTTATCGTTAATAAAAATGTCCGTGCTTCCTTTCTCCATGAACTCATCGCGAAAATAAATTTAATTGTATTTGTTAAAAAAAAGAGATAAAACTGAATTTTGAAAAAGCAAAAATGAAACTTTCATTTATATTATTTGAAAAATTATTTTGTGGGAATTGTTTCCATAAATATTAAAGAGTATGCACAAATGAGATATCATGCTGCTATACATTCTTGTATAAATCTAGTTATGAAAGCATGTACAAGCAGACAAAATTTTGTATTGTAATACAACAGATACTTATTATATAAGTGTGCAATGCATGTGATGTGCACATTAGTAACTAAAAAAATATTAAAGGTATAAGCAAAACGAAGCAAATAAGCATACAAACCTTTGGTCGCATACGATTCTGCTATAATGCGCAGTCTCCGGCAGGACAAATGTTTGTCTGTGTCTAAAGTAAACGATCTTTCTTTCTCTAAATCATACACGGATCATAGTAATAAATGAATATACTGGATAATAAGAAATTTACGAATTAAATAAATGTGTCTAATTAATTTGTTACTATGTAAAAATAGTAGTGCATAATAAACACACGTTAACAGAAGAACAATATATGCGATAGAACTATCCAAGAGTATATATAGCTTCAAATTATAATATCTATCATGAAATATCTATGCTTAATACAATCTTACACATAATAAACAATGTATCTCTAACTATCTATCTCTAACTATGAAACTTAAAAACTACTGTTAAAAGAGAAAAACAGAGAAAACTATAAAAAGCAAGCTGTTAATGTGTTTACCTTTCAAATATTACACTAAAACATACTACACTATTGTCAGAAAAAAGAAAGGAGCTATAATAGTCATCAATTGCAAACCTTTAATTGCATATGATTCTGCTATAATACGCAAACTTCGACAAGGTAATTGCTTTTCTGTGAGTGTGTCTAATTCAGCTTGCTGATAGTGATGAAGCGCATCCTCATACATTCCCATTGCATAATGAAGTTTTCCAAGTAGTAGATGGGCATCCAGTACAACTAAAGCCTGAAATATATAAAAATGATTAAAAAATACATTTTATATATACAAGGATATGTACAATTGATTTTTATTCTCTCATCTTTGTCTCTTTCTTACTTTAATATTACAGTACCTGTTTATCTTTTTCATTAGCAGCTAGTATCAAGTACTTTCGTGTTTCGACCAGTCCGTTTCGAGCTTTGTTGATATTGGCATCTATTGGTGGAGTTTGCTCTAAGAAACTCTCCAATCTTCCCTCTCCACATAAGAAGTTTGCCAAACATTCTGTCGTGTAAAATAAAATTGTTATGAAATTTTCTCTATGTCTTTGTAGCCATGCGCAAAGATTGGATAAAGAACTTATGGAAATTTATCAAATATTTTAATTCGAGAAGATTTATCAATTTTAATGATGATACATTATACAAATATCAAATCCTCCTCAGCTTTGCAAAAAGGATATTATAAAACATGATGATGCAAAAATATTAAAGATACACAATAGTCTGCATAAAATTAAATGGAACGAACGTGACATTTTATTTACGCGAACTCTGCGGTGTTATCCTTGATCTTTACGTGACATGATATTTTTTCTCTCTGAGAGAGCGCGAACGGAAGTGGCAGGATGCCGTTGAAGCGAGGATAACCTTTCGCGAGGGTGCGTGGGAGGAGGAACTCATCATCGATGGATCCTCGCAGAATCGTGAGCGCGGAAAGAGAGGAGAATATATTTTACCGTTGCTGGGATATTGCACTTTTAGATGTTCCGCCAGCTCTATAACCTTCTTCCAGTTACCCTCCTCGCGATTCCTATCGATCTCGGACTCTATGCGGAGGGTGTGACCCTTTTTGCTGGTCATCGCGATGATGATGATGATGATGATGATAAATGTGTACAAATCAGCTGGCTACTCGGACTTCAATCGGTGACGAGCGGCAGCGTGGACGCGATATATTGATCATCAGTGACACTTGTTCTAGGTATTCGATTACCACGAGCGGTCATGACTGTCCGCACGCGGCTGTCTCTCGATCTCCACGTAGATGTATGTACGCGAGACAGACTTGGCTATTGCCTCGCCGACACGTGCGCGTGACAAACAGTGACGAACTGTCACAAACGTCACTTCGGCCCTTCGTTTCCCCACTCGAAATCCGACCAAAGGAGGTTGGAGGTTGCATACAAAGAGAGAACTTATCCTCAAAGAAATCAACCAATCACGTGTACGTGCATACGATACGCGCGATGCAACGATACGATACGTAATTGGCGGATCGCTTTACGCGCGATTATATAAATCTGTACGATCAATTTTTAAAGTCTCTTTAGTAAATCGCGTAATAAAGCGTAGAAAATTCAATCAATTCTATCATATACAATGCAACAGTATGGCGTTTTAAAGTCTACTCTTTAGAACAGAGAGCACTTGATTAATTTATTTGTTCCAAGTGATTTTTAAATTATGATACGCTTTATATTATATATTTGATCGGACCATTTATCTTATAAATGTATATATAGGTCTGTTTGCATTATTTTTACCCTTTTTATAAAGTCTGAATATATAAATGTCGTTAAGATTAGAATAATCAGATTAAGTTAATTATTATTCCAGATATCTCGTATCTATCGAATATTTCTCGTGTTTTGGAAATGTAAAAAAGTAAAGTAGATTTAACAATAATTTTGTATTATATTATTTTTTCGTTCATGTTTCAAAATAATTTAACAAAGATATATTTCATATTTTTCATCACATATTTAACTGAATTAAAAAAATGGTATGTACATTATATACGACATAAATATATAAAATGTATAAAAGAAAATTACCCTTTTGTATTGTAAGTACTACAATTTTTCTCGAGTTATTATATCAAGTAATTTTCCATAACGTTCTCTCCACTTTGTTCGTACATCAGCTATGTTGTGCTATATAAAAAGATAAAACAGAATATACATCTTTTTCAAAAATAGATTTAAAATTAAATGTATATACGTGAAAGCTTAATGTGTAAAACCTGTAATATGTGTACACCCCGTTGCGTGAGGACAATCAGTTCCTTTATTCCATCATTTGTTATATCCATGTAACTTATAGAGTGCACAGGCGCGTCAAACAGTTTTCTGACAGTCAACTCCCACACGTTATTCGTCAATACGAAAATTAAAACTTCTTGACCATAAGTGCCGAGTAATATTTCATTTTGGCCATCCATATTTATGTCTGCTATACAGCAACACATGATACAATCAGATGATTCGCTGCCACTCAATATTACGTCCCGTTTCATCCCGTGTTCCAAAATATTCCTGGTAACAAAAAAGACAAGTACTTGTATTTTAACACTTTGTAATACATCAATTACTTACTCAAAGACAACAGCGTTACTTGTACTTGAAATAACAATATTCAATTTAGGAATGTCATCCTTAGGAATACATTTCTCAGCTTCGGCTAGAATTTTTAGTAATTTTGTTATTTCCAGGATTGTAAATCAATATAATTATTTAAATGCGATGTATCTTGAAATCTTTACCACTTATAAATGTTGGTTTACAGACAGTATTTCGATGCGGAAATACTATCACACTAGGTACTGGTTTGTCGTATCTCAACAACCAACTTTGAGAAACTTGTAGATCTATCACGTTTATCACGGCAATTTTGACTAGACCGCAATCACAGCCGACAGCGGTAACTCTCCTACATTAATATTTTGCGTGTAAAAGTAAATATATACAATACTATTTAGATATAGGAACGAAATAATTTTCGATCATTGAACAAACCGTTTATAATTGTCGTAATAATAAATATTGATCCATAACGCGATTGCTTGGAGATCGTGTAGCTCTGGAAAATATTTTTCAATGGAGCATTCGCTGTAAACGTGACTCAACTTATCCTCCCTTATCATATGAATTCTGTAATCACTTCCAGATATTAGCCAAACTACCTATAATTTTTAATTATATTATAAAGTACAGCAATTACAATTTTACCAATTTATTGTAACTGCATAAATGCTGAGCAATTTTAATAAAGAAAAGCAAATATCTAATATTGTTCTATTAATTTACCTCGTGTGTAAAATTTTGTTGCGGTAAAACTGTATGATATAAATGGGTAGGAGTGTACGATAATTCCACCATGAGACAATTTTGAGCTATAGCTTCAATCGAGCTACCTTCATCCCCTTCACCGTCTATTGCACCCTCTGTATATATGTTCAGGTACCTTTCAATCGCGTCTGCGCTTGTTTTTATAATTGTTATTCCTATCACAAAACTGTCCCCTGTGTCTGACTTGTTGTAAGCATCAACAGAGATAATTTCTGCACCACCTGGAGCAGATAAAAAATAAAAAAGTTTATTATTTTCAAAGATAGAATGTATAGGATTTGACAATTTTGAAAAAAAAAAAAAAAAAAATAAAATAAAACATCTTAAATATAGAGTAGTTTACATACTGGGAATGTACGTAAATAGTAGTTCCTTTACCATAGGCCTCATAAATTCCGTCATTTGATGATATTCACAGGAATAGATCTTTCTTTTCAAAGATGCGACTAATAACTTGTTGGAACTACTGGGAGAACACAGTTTGGTCATTGAATAAATGTTCCCCTGCGATGCAAGGGGAAACCAGTGAGCATCTATGAAATTACTCATCATCTCGCAAGCTGGTAGACGAAAAAGTATATGTCTTAATGAGAACAAATATCCTAAAAAGAGAAAAAGAAAAGATTTAATTAAGTTTATCTGAAATGTACAACAAGTAAAGATTATATTTATTACAGTTGATCATCACGTGTACATTTGTTTATCGAGCTCGAAACTTGCTTTCTGTATCATTTTCTTTCGTGATCAATCAGTCTCATGTCATTTTTAAATTCTCGATCCAGCTCCAACTTCACTTTGATTCGATCCAAAGTTCAACTTCATTGAATTATACCGAGTTATACACTAATTCATACGCGATTGCGTGCATATTGTGTACTGTGAGCTGTGAAGAGTAGAAGAGGAGTGGGAGATAAGAATCATGCCTTTTTTTTCATTCGATGACATAAGCGCGTCACGACGATACGCCCCTCCAAAACTCCAAATACGTGTTGATCTCCACGTGAGGCAACGCAGAGGTGACGTTCCACTTGAGAATCGCAACGTGGGATCATCCTCTCATCCTCGTTGCTCCCCGAAGGTCGAACAGGGACAGATCACGTCTCGGAACGTCGCGATCGACCAAGTGGAACATGTCGAACGCGGAGTTTTGTAATCGTCTCTCTCTCTCTCTCTCTCGCAATCGCTTCGCCTTGGGAGTCGCGATGCGATGACGTGATTCGTGAAAGTGGGTGTGTCCTGTCGGCGGCGACTCTGTCCAACTTCAGTGTTAACCGGCATTCGTGCGGATCGGAATCGTTCTACCTCTGTTGATCAGCGCGAATTTTTCCACCGATCTTATTAAAGGGCTAAATTTTAGGGAGTGTTCTTCCTTAAAACGCGATCTTGTCACATCGTCCCTTATCTCGGTAAGATAGCTTTTATCCTTCCTCTACTAGCCTATTTCGTTCATATTTTCTCTCTTTCTCTCGTGTTTATTAATTTATTGTCAATTTAAGAAAAATCATTATTTCTTTCGAATTTTCATCAGCGATGACAGATTCGTGTCGAGTTCAAGGATACGCTGCGGATCATCAGTTTTGTGTATTCTACTTGAACCTTGAACCCGGCAATCTGTCATCGATGATGAAGAGTACTCGAAAAATACTAGAGATTTTATAAAATTTAGTTGCAGCTGATAATAAACATATTTTCTCGCGTATTTATTCTTCGCCAGAAATTGAATTCTACGGTGAGATTATTGGTTACTTTTTGCAATTACGCTGATTCACGTGAAACGTCAAATCGACAATTACACCGGACTCTGTAAACCTAGATAAACAATGTATGACGCATTCATCCATTTATCGCGCTCATTATCATATTTGACTTGTTGTTTCACAGAGAGGAATTTTCTGTCAATTACTACATCGAGGAAAAGGAAGAGACAATGTCGCAACAACAATATTATCCCTTCAAGGTACGTAAATACTGGATCTTGGTTGCCGGGGCGGATAGAATCGCCAAGCACAATAATTACAAGCAGCATCGATCTATTTTCGAAGAACGTGCTGTCGATCATCCGTATTTTTAACGTTAGTCTAGTTCTACAAATGTCTATTCGCATTCCGTCCAAGTGATGACTAATCATGAGAGAAATAAAGCTTATTTCGTCGATAAATTCAACACTTTTTAACTTCGACATACTTCTCATATCATAGTTTTTAACAAAAAAAATATAAATTATATGAAAATTGTTTTACAAATTTTTTCCTATTTTTACAAGTTATATCAAACAACGTTTAAATTGTAATTTTAATTTTGGAATGCAATATTTTTTTTCATAAAGTATAAATGTTTGCGCAAAACTTATAAAATTCAATCTCATCAACATGTATCATGTTGTTTTTAGTGCACCCCGACTGTTTATCCTGCCGAGCCGTTCGACGCGAACGCGGACGCTGCTATCCTGCGTAAAGCGATGAAAGGCTTTGGTACGGACGAGAAGGCGATCATTGATGTGCTCACGAAGAGAGGCATAGTGCAGAGACTGGAGATCGCAGAGGCATTTAAGACTCTCTACGGGAAGGATCTAATCAGCGATCTGAAGAGCGAGCTAACTGGGAAACTGGAGGATGTCGTTGTTGCCCTTATGACCCCATTGCCGCATTACTATGCCAAAGAGTTGCACGACGCGGTGAGCGGGATGGGTACCGACGAGGAAGCGATCGTCGAAATACTGTGTACTCTCAGTAACTACGGCATCCGTACGATCGCTGCGTTTTACGAGAATTGTAAGATTTTTGCCACTCTGATTCATTATGCATGTTTATAATTGACGATCTTGTCGATTAATTAAGGAGCATACTTGTTACAAACAGTGTATGGCAAAACGCTTGAGAGCGATCTCAAGGGCGACACGTCCGGCCATTTCAAAAGGTTACTGGTGTCTCTCATACAGGCAAACAGGGATGAAAATCAAGGAATCGATCAAGTCCAAGCTGCCGCTGATGCTCAAGCGTTATTTGATGCTGGTACGTGACAGCAGTTTCTTGTGGTAATCTGGAAAGTGAAACTCTGTCAATGTATTTTATAATTGTGATGTATTAAACTTGAATTCTTTTACATAGGTGAAAAACAATGGGGTACAGATGAATCGCAATTTAATGCGATTTTAGTATCGCGCAGCTATCAGCAACTGCGACAAACGTTTATCGAGTATGAGAAAGTATCTGGACATGACATAGAAGTTGCTATAAAGAAGGAATTTTCTGGCAACATCGAGAAAGGTCTACTTGGAATAGGTAAAATTTCTCAATAAAATATATAAGTGCGCATTAATTACTTTTATAAAAACCACTCCTCAACGTTTAAAGTCGACCAGACTGGCGATAATTTATTGTGAAAAATTCAGTCTTGCATTGTTCATCAAAACAAGCGTTAACATTGTCGGTTGTTTGCATAGAAGTTGATTTACTGTTTTAAATTTGATGTACTTGAAAAGGGCTGCAATGACAGCCGAAACGTTGTATTTCAAATAATTTTTCACAATAAATTATCGCCAGTCTGGTCGACTTTAAACGTTGAGGAGTGGTTTTTTATTAATTATTACTGGCAACCTTAAGGATTATTATTTAATTACTTTTCTTTATAAAAACTGTCATAATTGCAATATTAACATTTACATGTACAAATCATTCGCAGTTACTAATTTTATAATGTGACTAGTCTTGCGAGCAGAAATGTAGTACATGTGTACTACAAAATTAATTAATATATTTAAGAGAAACGATCGACAGGATTTTTTTTCGATATATTCTTTTTAGTTGTGCTCAGATGAAAATAATTATGCGTTTCAGTGCGAACACGAGCAGGCGGTTGAAAAATACACGGTTCGATATGAAGAAAATGATAAGTTCTCGAATACACTATGGAATATCGATAATATAAAAACGATATCACGAGTCAAGCTTTCCGTGAAATGTATATTTGATCCCCTCCACACACATTTTTGTCACTTTCTGCGAGTTTTTATAAAATGATCGAAAGTATTTTCGCAAAGCAGAGGCAAGTCTCATTATAGAGCAGGATTTTACATAGCTTTTATCTACCCATTTGTAGAAAGTTATTAATGTGATTAGTGCTGAGATTGTCGGTGAATTTTTACAATTAGATATTTTTGAACACAAACATACACATTGCATTCGACAGATCTTAGCGACACGAAATGTAGACATCATCCAAATATTTCTTTACCTCATACTCTGCTTTTCTCAATAATATAATAGTGTGATTTTTTGCATCTCTTTTTGACCTTCACGTATGATATTTTCAACTTTGATATCAAAAGGATATTTCTATCGTTTGTGCAATAATTATTAAGAAACACAATTTGTGATAAATTCCATAAAATGCATGAAAATGGTGTGAACACATTTATCAGAGCCTGTATATATTATAAATATCTCCCAACGCTGCATGCGGCAACTATTAACACACCTATAACATACAAAAAACATTCATGTTTTTCTTTGTATATTTTATATACAAATACAGTAGTTGAGATTTGAACCGAATATCTTATGACTGTAGTATCTTGTAGCATGGAAAGCATATATGCTCCTCTGTAATTTACTCCATGCCGTTTCATATATTTTTCATTAATATATATCATGGATATTTGTATATAACGTTACAAATCACATTGTAATTTCTGATTGACAGTAAAATGTGTGAAGTCAAAGGTCGGATTCTTTGCTGAGCGTCTGTACGCTAGTATGCACGGCATAGGCACAAAGGATCGAACGCTGATCCGTATAATTGTATCTCGAAGCGAAATCGACTTGGGAGATATTAAAAAGGCATTCGAGGAACGTTATGGAAAGTCACTGGAAAGTTGGATAGCTGTAAGTGCACTACAAATTATTTATTTTTAACAATTTATATTGTTCAAGTTTTGCTATTTGTAAAGAAACTGATTGTACTTGATTACAGTATTAATGTGTCTATGTATTACAGGGAGACACTTCCGGAGACTACAAAAAGGCACTTCTTTCTCTGGTTTCCACATAATTCTGACAACACAATTAAGACTTACACACTTTGTCCTATTTATGCACAGTAATTGTATCTATAAAAAAGCGAATTTATAAATATACTTGCACAAATTCCAGCTTAATATTGCTTAGTGTACTAATAAGAAATTAGAGAAAGTATGGCATTTTCAAATATTACTGTTGTAATATTTACTTGTTTATGTGTGCATAAAATCTCTACTGTATTATATATATAAATCAAAAAAATGTTTTGAATATTCTGTGTTCCATCTTGTTCATAAAATTACATGTTTTTAATATTTTATGTTTTATACATTTTTACTTTTATCAAGAAAAAGAATTTATATAAAGAATATATTTATACATATATAAAGAATCTCAATATTTACATAGATATATGAGTGAGAAATTGAAGGGAATAAAAATAAGAAAAACAATATGCTGTTTACACTTTTTCTTGCCTTATGTATCATATATCTAAAGAAAACTACATATCAATAAGTCTTAAGGATAATAATGTGATGTCATTTACAAAAAAGAAAAACAAAGTAAAAACTAAAATATTCATTGTTTCAAACTAAAAATTTAGTTATTCTAATATTTTTTAAATTCTGTATAAAATTATAAAATGTCATATTGTCTAAATTAGATAAATATCTATAAAGTAAATTTTAATGTTTTTTTTCCATATTTTCTATATAATTATATCTTTTTCTCTTATTTAAAGTGAAAAAACAAAAACAAACTTTTTCTACATGTGCTATTAAAATAACAGTGGAGACTAAAAAAAATTTCTTTATCCTTTGATTTTCTATTATACTTTTATATTGACAAAATTATAGCTATACTTTGTACTAAATCAATTGCACATGGAATTAAATGTTCTTCGTTTTACTCTTCCCCTTCCACATCATCGTACATCAATGTATATATGCCAAAGATTTATGCGATTTTCATTTCATGATCGCAAATAGAGCAATGCAAAATTGAAGAAAAAGAGATTATAAACATATAAAACAAACAAGAGCTATTTAAAGAAACTTCCCAAAACGAAAATTTCTAAAATTTCGTTATATTTTATTTTTTACTTGTCATTCGTTTCTTTATTTAGTCGAAGACTTCTTCGAAGAGCTAGAAATGAGAAGAAATTGATTCAATAGATATTTTATGAATATTATACTTTATTAGATATAACATTAACGGAAATAGAGTAGAACCTCCATTATCCAAATTAATAGATAGACAAAAGTGCCCGGACAATCAAATTTCTGAAATTTAGAAAAGTTTTTGGACATACTTTGAGCTTCATTTATTTTATAAAAAAAATTATATAAAAATACGAATATAAAACACAGACACATATAATAATTATATATAATTGTACAGAATTATACAGGGTGTTTCAGACTTAACGTATATATATATATATGTATATATACATCAATTACACAAATATATATCATTAAAAAAAGAATCTCCATTCCATTTTCCAATAAGTGAATTTTGGCGATCTGTCGGCAGATTGCAAAGCAGAATTGCAGTAGATTGATATATATCACGTCTGTACTACGCTTACGAATACGGTATAGCAACATATTGATGGCAGAAATCAAGTAAAATCTGTCAAATGCAAATTTTATTTTACCACCAATTAAACTATCTGCTTGATTTTTATTCTCAATTTGTTCTCTTTATTAATCACTGTTCACTTTATTAATTTTGGCTATGTTATTAAAAGCATTATAATATAGAACAATATTATATATGAAAATTGACATCAAATTTTTTATAATTTATAAAATGTGCAATTCTCTTGCAATATATACTTTTATAATCGATTCGTCAGAGATAATATAAAACACAAAGGAATTTTTTTCCTTTAAATTTTTTATTTCAAGTTGTAAAATTCAAACTTGATTAATAGTATGTTGCCACATTTTTTAGAGTAATGGTAGAAATGTTTCTTTCTTTGATCTTCCTAAAACGTCATACGTATTTATATTTAATTTTAAGATTCCTAAAAATTATATACAAACTTTTGTAAAAATTATCGTCTTTTGAATCTTTTATTAGAGAGTTTATTATAAATTTTGAAATATATGTATATGTAAATATATACATAAGTAGAATGATTTTGCAGTTATGTTTTCTTCTCTTTTAATATTCTCTGACTATATATCTATATGTTTGTAATGCCATAAATACTTCAAAATGAAATATGGTATATATCTGTATGACGTATATTATGAGAAAAATATTCCTACTTCAAGCAAAAGAGAGTGATCCAACAAGGAGATATTCACACATTACAAGTGGCAGATTATGATTATGTAAAAAATCGATATTTATCATATACTCAATTATAAAATATGTATATTAAATATATTATTTTTAAGTAATATATTATTTAAAAATTTTTTTCAGAGATGATATTGTCAATATACGATCCATCGAACATGTTGGACTTATAATTAAATTACTATCATCAAGTAATTGATTGTGTTATGAGAGAATAGTCTAATAAAATGTATGTAAGACACAATATTTGAATATATGATATTCGGATATCTGGATGGTTCTACAATATTTCAATTTGCTATAATTTTTAAAGTATTAGAAGGGATTATTGACCTGATTTATTACCATTTTTCGGACGTCCTTTAGGTCGATTAAATAAGGGTTGATGGATTACATTAAACATTGCAGGCATTTTCTTAAGGTGCCTCATTGCTGGTGTTGTTAACATAGTATCAATGAGTGGCCACGATATTTTAGGTACAGTTCGAAACTTTTCAGATTGACAAATCGTATGTAAGTCGATAACATTTTTTCTGAAAAAAATATTTTGAAAATGTACTCCTTTATCAGTAAACTTTATATATTTATGTGTGTATATATTTCTTTTAATAGACTAGAAGATTATTATATGTATTATACTTACCCAAATTCTTTAACTTCTTTATAAACATATGCAAATGGGCCTCTCTGTGGGATACGCTGCATAATATATTGACCAGGAGATAAGGATGATAATCCTTCGATTATATTATGCAGAATGCTTAAAGAATCTTCTATTTTAATATCATAAAGTCTTCTCATTTCGTTGCTTAACGATGCTGTAGTATGTTTTTCTATTTGTATTACTTCTGAAGTGTCTGCTGCTATCCTAACTACATATAATAATACAAAAATAATATTAATTTATTGAATACAATATAATCTTTGTAATTGTATTATAGAATAATACCTCTAGCTAACAAAGTATCTGGTCTACATATTAATGATGTCCACTGATGTGACACTTCCTCAATTGTTACGGCTTCGGCTCCAAATTCTAGCTGATGTTCCATCTTTGGTGCTAACATTACATATTGTGATGTTCCGTCTGGCAACACCTGTCGAATTATTTTTTTATTTTTTGTCTTACAATTTGATACTAATTATTACTTATTGCAACTTTAATTAATATGGTGCAAGAGAATAATTACTTTAAAGTAATATTCTTACCTCGATGCCATCCGTTTTTGAACGAACCAACATCTGATATTTTTTAATGTCATGTTTCTTTAGTTCACGATTCGAACATTCTATTGGCTCAAGTGTGAAAAGTTTGTAAGTTACATTTAACTCATTATGTGTCCTGTCGCCATTTGCTAAATCATCCAAACTTTCCGATTCGTCCGGATCTGTGAGATACAAATCTTCTTCATAGATTTTAAGATAATCATTAAATTCAGCACTACATTCTGATTCTACATTGTTTAAATTGGACTTGACTGAAGTTTTATTCTCGTGTGTGTGTCGCATTCTGAAATAATAAATTATGATATATTTATAATAAATTTGAAATATTTTAATACAATATTATACTTTGTAACTCACTTTTCTTTAGACATTTTATCATTATTACCATCAATAAAATGATGTCTAAGAATATACTTATACACCCAAGTGTTCTTTTGGGGTTTTGTGGCGATGCTAGGTGGCATTCTTTTATCGATGTAGACAACATTTTTTCCATTATGCGATTTTATTACCACTGGCATGATCCACGAATTTGAGTTACACGAGTCATTGTTCAGCAAACATTTAAGACCGCTAGATGAGATAACAAAATCCGCTTTGCTTTCTATTGCAAGATTCTCGCAATACGTATCGTCGCTCACAGGCAATCTGAAATGTTGCGTCACTTTGTTAGGTGTGACGCATTGATATTTGTTAAGCAATATTGCAGAATTCATATTTAATATATTCGGCCGATTAAACGTTGGCCACATCACCTTTGAAAAGGATCCCTGAAAATAATAAGAAATTATAAATACACTTAACACCAAGTTTAATATATTTGATTAATTAAATGTCAATTATTGTATCATAATAACTCACCTCATGCAAGCAAGATTTAAATTTTATTTCAATGCTTTTGGTTAATATGGAATTAATTTTCTGAATGGAAAGTGATATAATTTTAGATTCTAAATAATATCTAGGTAAATGCTTAAACTTCCTCATCTTTGCCTTCCATTTAGATATTATGAATTGGTTACATTTAAGTGGCCAATCAAAAGTTTCATTCCATTTACTTTTGGTAAAGTTTAAAAATTCTTTCTGTTCTTCAAGTATTTTATCTTTTAATGTCTAAAAAAGATTGATTTCACAATTTAGATGCAAAAGTCACAGTAAAAACTTATCAAATTATATTCATGAAAGTTAATTAAAAATTAATCTATGTCTTATTACTTCTGCTTGAATAAATAACATTGTTAAAAGAAATAATCAATATTTATCTTAATTTACACACTAGGTAAGTCTCCAGCTCTAATTGTTCTTTTTGCTTAATCCCTTCTGTTTATTGCTGACTAATGTTGATAAAACGCGAAGACACATATTGTACTGAATCTTAGTCAAACAAGATCTTTTAGGAAAATGAAATTTTGATTTTCTTATGCCAGGCACATACGGCCTTTTTTCTTCTTTGCAATTGATCTCATCATCCTGTTTGTTCTTCCTTTTGTCATTGATATTTTGTTCCTCTTCTTCTTCTTCCTCTGAATCGGTAAGAGGATCATCAGCAAGTAATTCTTTTATCAATTCTATATTAACATTAGCATAATCTTCATCCATATCTTGGAATGGATCCGTAAAATCATCTCTCATAATCCTGTACATTGCACTCTCACGTTCCATTCTCTCATCTGGGATGAATACATCATCTATTATGTCTTCTAATGCAGGATTCCTAAAACATTTCGATATTACAGTTGTTATATTAAATAATTACAAAATATATATATATATATATATATATACACATTTGCATATATATATATATATATATGCAAAAATATTTCAGAGCACATGTTACAGAGACAATCATTAAATTATGAAATATGTTCGAGAACGCGCTCCGCAGGTGACCGAGCAACGTAAATATACACAAATTATATGATAAATAAAAGTTGGAGAATTCTTTTATATCCTATATGTTTATGACACTCTGTTTATACGTACCAATCAATCTTCTTGAAAGTTTCCATGTCTAAAAAATATTCTTCTTTCTTTTAAAGTTAACGGTAATGTCACAGTATACTGTGAACTGTGGTAATGTGTCAACTGAATATTATAATTATAATATTATCACAGATTAATAGACAGATCGCCAAAGGTCTGGATGAAGGAGAGACCAGCATTTCTCACTGATTTCAGCGCCATATCGTAGTAGTGGTCAATGCAGTAACTATTAATACGTTCCCAAGATAAGAGCGTCTCATGCTCATGAACTCGTCCGGCGGCATGTACGAGATTTATCTTTTCGTAGCGTTCGCGTATTTCGGAAAGGACAGAATTTTATGATGTTATAAATAAATAAATAAATAAATAAATAAATAAATAAAATATTAACCTGACCTATTATAATTATTTTTTAATAAATGTTTCATTATTATTATCATCTAAGTCTAAGTCGTTTAATTAATTTTTAGTTTTTTAATAATTAATTTAATTTATTCTAATCATTTTAATATGTGAAAAATATTAATACGTATACGTTTTATAATGAATTAATATATTTCGAGAGTCGAATTATATATTTTTAATAATATAAAAGTGTTCAAAAATTATATTTGACTTTTAATTTTAATTATTTTAGCAAAGAGTTCCGAAATCTCTTACACACATAATAGGGATTTTGTTCATCCATATAATTCGCAATTAAGTATATATGTTAATTATTAATTTTAATAAAATACAAAATTAAAATTAAAGGTCAAATATAATTTTTGAACATAAATATATTTAATTCGTTATAAAACGTATACCCGTGATAGTATTTTTCTCGTACAAAAATAACTAGAACAAATTAAATTACTCATAAAAAATAAAAAAGTAATTAAATAATTTATATTATATATGATAATAATAAAACATTTTATTAAAAAAAACAGATTCAATAAATATAAGTATATATATAACATGTACTTATATTTATTGAATCTGTTTTTTAATAAAATGTTTTATAAGCTTAGAAAACTTGACTTTGACGTAACTAGCAAATTTTATTTAATTATTTCACGACGGTTTGACGTAATAAAATGTTTTATTATTATTATATAAAATATAAGTTTAAATTCTTTAATTAATTTTTAATCTTTTATGATTAATTTAATTTACTCTAATTATTTTTGTACGAGAAAAATACTATCATGGGTATACGTTTTATAATTAATTTAATATATTTGTGTTTAAAAATTATATTTGACCTTTAATTTTAATTTTTATTTTATTAAAATTAATAATTAACATATATACTTAATTGCGAATTATATGGATGAAAAAAATCCCCATTATGTGTGTAAGAGATTTCGGAACTCTTTGCTATAAAATAATTAAAATTAAAAGTCAAATATAATTTTTGAACACTTTTATATTATTAAGAATATATAATTCGGTTCCCGAAATATATTAATTCATTATAAAACGTATACGTGATATTATTTTTCTCATATAAAAATGACTAGAATAAATTAAATTAATTATTAAAAAACTAAAAAGTAATTAAACGACTTAGACTTAGATGATAATAATAATGAAACATTTTATTAAAAAAAGATTCAATAACTAGTAGGTCAGGTTATAATTTTTTATTTATTTATTTATAACATTATGAGCTATTAAGGGTCGACAGGTCGGTCAGCCAAACTCCGAATTGATGTTGGAGACCTCGCGCGGTGACAACGCGAAACTCCGATTTCAGTGTTGCCAACGCCGAGAAACCAATTCTCAGGTTTTATGTAGTGGTGCATGTCTGTACACGTACATACACCATTGCATTGCTCACGCGAACGCACCGTAGAGAGACAAGGACCGATAATCACGTGTTCTCCTTGTTCCTCTACCGTGCCGGTATACGCGAGATGCCGCCTGAAAATGGCCTTCCGTAGCAGAAGGCAGTAGCGTAGCAAGGCTAATAAGTACCTACTTTTTGTAAATTTTATATATGCTTATGCACATATGTGCGTATATATATATATATATATATATATATATATATATATATACATATATATGTATATATATTATATAAGGAATATGTTGATTATTCTTGATTTCTTTTTGATTATTGATGCTATTGTATAATTTGCTCCAAATACTTATAACGTGAAAGAACGTTGAGTAATGTATAATCAATGCAAGGATGTTCAGTATATATCATCCAGTAAATTAGAGTTCAAATATATCAATATTAATTTTTTTATAATATATATATATATATATATATATAATATATATATTGGAATATAGAAAATTGATAAAAGATATATTTCGGCGATTTAAAAATTTTTTAATATATTGAAAATATTTTTACTACATACACTATATATAAGTGTAAAATAATTCAGAAAATAAATTTAATAAAAATCTACATACCAGCTGTGTGCATGTGTGCAATTGATTTATTACTTGAAATTTATTTACGAAATTATTTTGCATTTATATATTTATAGTGTGTGTAGTTGTAAAATAATTAAAATATTTTCAATATCAAATTTTTAAGTTTATCGCCTATATAAAAAATATATTTCTATGATTTTCTATATTTCAATATATTATAAAAAAATTGATATTAATATATTTGAACTCAAGTTTTTTACGTGATTAAATATTCTTGCATTGAGCCATCATACGTTACTCGTAAGTTTTTTCACGTCATAAGTACTTATGTAGCAGAGAGAAAGAAATGAGAGTTATACGCAATGTAACATCAATAATCGGAAAAAATCAAGATAACGGTTGTCATATCTGTGTATATATATATATATATATATATATATATATATAAACTTATATATATATATATATATATAATATTTCATTTATTTATAAAATACATTTTCAATTCATATTAAACCTGAGTGATATTTTCTATATGCTTATGCTATCCTCCGATCTATCCCTAACAAATTAAGAGGTGTAATTGCATTATTATCATCAATTATTATCTTATACTTTTTACCTCTAATTTCTATAAAATTTAATTCATTATCATTTTATCCTTTAAATCAATATTTATTTTGAATTTTCATTAATATTTTTATTCTATTAACATGAGCAGGAGCTCAACCTATTGAAATACCTTTTATCATTATTAGACAAATTTTATCATTATGTTACTTTCTTTATTTTATCTTATTACCTTTCCTAATAAAAATTTGAGATTTAATTATTTTTAAATAAATATTAAAAAATTTATCATTATAAATAAATTTAAAATATTAAAAATAATTATATTTAATACTTAAATTTTTTATAAATTACTATTAAATTAAGGTAATGATCTTGAATTTAAGTTTATGTTTTGAAAACATATTAAAGAAATTTTAATTTTTTATTAACTTTTAAACATTTAATTTTTTTTACTAAATTATTATTTATAATATAAATTTAAATCCAAAAATTAATAAAATATAAACTAAAATTATTGGTAAAATAATTTTCCAACATAAATATATTAATTCATCATATCGTATTCGAAGAAGTATTCCATGTATAAAAATTACTATTCTACATAAAATATTAATTAAAATAAAAGTTAAAATTATTGAATATTTTAATAAATTTCTAAATATATAAATTCTAATTAATCTAAAAAAAATAATTATTCGATATTCAGATAAAAAAATTAATGTAAACCCACCCCTAAAATATTCAATATTAAACCCTGAAACTAATTCTGACTCACCTTCGATAAAATCTATAGGACTTCGATTTAATTCAGCTAAAATCCTAATAAAAAATATAATAAACAAAGGATATAAAACTACTATATATCATAAATAAAATTGATAATTAATAAAATCAAAAAAAGAATATCTCTCTCTTATTAATATAATAACTAAAACAATTAAAATAAATCTTACTTTAAATGATAATATTTGTGAAACTGATCGTATTGCCCCTATTTTTGAATAAATCGAATTAGCTGATCATCCCATAAAAATTATAACATACCCTCTAATAGTTATAAAACAATTATTAATAAAATAGAATAATTTAAAAAATAAATATTAGTAATGTAAGGAAATACTAATCATATTATTATTAAAACAAATCTAATTATAGGACATAAAAAAATTATAATTAGATTTATATACATAAAATAATTCTTTATTAAGTAATTTAATAGCATCACTAAAAGATTGAAATAATCTTATAAATCCCACCTTATTAGGTTCTTTACGAATTTGTACATATCTTAAAATTTTTCGTTCCAATAAAGTTAAAAAAGCTACCCCAACTAATATAATTAATAACAAAATTAACAATCTTAATATATTTAACGCACTATAAAAATATAATCTTAAATTTTGACAAATTATTACTTGTATAATTTTTTTCTATTATACATCATTTAAATTCTAAATTTAATACACTTAAATTCTGCTAAAGTAATTTTATTTATTTACATATATTTAATCAATTAAATTTATTCATTAAAAAAAATATAATTTGAAAAAAAGTCCTTTCGTACAAAATTTTCTTAATTTTATTTAATTAATTAATTTATTTTAAATTTTCATTTACATTACTTATATCTATAATATTTATTTAATTTTTTTTTAATACTTCAACAATTCAAAAACTAACTCTATTTAATTTTTTATTATAATTTTATTTAATTAAAATAATCACACACACAAATCATATTAAATTTTTCATAAATATTTAAATTTAATTTTTTTTTAATTTTAATAAATCATATTAAATCATTAATCTTTTCAATGTAAATAAAATATTTTTAAATAAACTAAAATTTTTTTTATTTTAAATACATTTTCCAATATATTTACTTTGTTACGACTTTTCTTACAAATCATAATTAATAAGAACGGCGGGCAATTTGTACATAATTTAAATATAATTCAACTTATAAATTTTTATAAATTTACATTTAAATCCTTTTTAAATAATAAATTTAAATATAATTTACAAAAAAAATATTTTTCAATATAACTCATCTAAATCTTAATAATTCTACATTTTGATTTGAATTTAATTTATAATATAAATTTATAATTAAAATCTCTTAATTTAATTTTCAACAATATATAAAATATTTATATTAAGTTAATCCATTTGTGGATTATCAAATTAATCAACAAGTTTTTCTAATATAATAAATTACCGCCAAATTTTTTTATTTTTAATGCTTTACATTTAATATTTAATTAATTTTATTTTTATTTAAATAATAGGGTATCTAATCCTAATTTCTTTTTAAACTTAATTAGAAATAAATTTTCCAAAATAAATTTTTTTTATTAACTAAAATTATTACATTTCACTATAAATAAAATTAAAAAAAAAATATTTAAATCTCCTTTTTATATTCTTTAAATTATTAAAATTATTTATTCTTATCATCAGTTTAACCGCAATTGCTGGCACCTAAATTTATTAATAATATAAATAAAATTATCTATTATAATTTTTATTAAAATAATTATTTTAAATATTAATTAATCATTAAAAATTATTTAAATTTTTAAAAATTTTTTATAAAAATTTATTTATATTCAAATTTTATAATTAATTTATAGAAAAAAAATTATTTCCCTACCTTATTCACTAATTTATCATATTTATCTAATTCATTTATTTTTTAATCAATATATAATTTAAATTAATATTAAATTTAATAAACATTTAATTTATATATTGACTAAAAAATAAATATGACATTTCCTACCACATTCACTAATTTATCATATTTATCTAATTCATTAATTTTTTTATTTATTTATAAAATACATTTTATAAATAAGTAAAATATTATACAGACAATTTATTACATAAATTTTTTTATAAATATAATAAATTATTTATTATATATATTTTTATTTAATTATTTATATAATAATTATATTTTAATATAAATTACGCACACGGATAAGAAATATTTTACATTTGCTCATCCCATATAAAAATATAAAAGTAATGGAAATTAAATTTTACATTAATTTATACTAGTATTATGAGGTAGTTAATACATGAAAATCATATAAGATGAATTCTGTACATCGATTAGCATAATATGATCACAAGTCAATAAATGATTTTGCTAATATATTATTTTGAATAAAAATTAAAAAAATATAAAAACAAAAAGAATGAAATTAATAAATTTTCTTCATTCTTTGTTTTCTTCTTCTATTAATTATTTTTTCTATTATTTGAATAAAAGATGTATCATGTGTAATAGATTAAATAGATAGATAATTTATATAAATATATAATTATACGTTTTGAAATTTATATATATATATATATATATATATATATATTAATTTCAATATATACATATATTAAATTATTATTTATCTATTACATACGATACGCCTTTTATTCAAATAATAGAAAAAATAATAGAAAAAAACAAAGAATGAATAAAATTTATTCATTTTATTTTTATTTGTTTTTATAAAATTTTTATTCAAAATAATATATTAGCAAAATCATTTATTGCGACTTGTAATCATAATATTACGCTAATCGATGTACAGCATTTATCTTATAAGATTTCCATATGTGTTACTACCTCACAATACTATTATAAATAAATGTGAAATTTAATTTGCATTACTTTTATATTTTTATATATAATGAGCAGATGTAAAATATTTCTCATTCGTGTGCGTAATATATTGGTTTTTGTATTTATACTGATTTTACACATATCAAATGCAAGAGAGACAAAGATAGAATGATACTCTCTCCTTGTCAAGCTGTCAGTATGTTACCACGAAAATTTCCCCATGAGTATAGATCTAGTGAGATTTGTTCATCCCAAATATTACATAAAAAGAAGTTACGTAGCTTCGTGAAATATTTTTTAATATATTCTTTATATAATAAAGCAGGGAGACAAAGAGTCAAATTTTGCATTATTGCTCTTAAAAATTTATAATAAATTAAATACGATCTCGTGGCTAACCCAACCTTACCCGCTGCTAGCTGCGCATCTCCCCAAGTTATATTATGAATTTTATATTTATCTTTTTTCCAAAAAATCGATCTTTGTCTCCCTGCGGACAATCCTACTGATTAAGAATATCGTAAATTTAATAAGATTCATTAAGTATTTTGGCTAATATATGGGATGAACGAATCCGTAATTCCCGGCCGGCCGATAGGCGTCTCCACCATGTCGCCTGTCGACCCTTAAGCTCATCATCTCGTTCGCTCTCTGTCTTGCTTTCATTCGGCAAGTCACAAACGATATATGATACTCGTATGTTCCTACTTCAACTCTCGAGAATCTGAAACAAACGAAACTCGTGTCCAATATACAGGGTGTCCGGTAACTAACAGACCAATGATTACAAATGGATTCTTTGGTCAATTTGGGAACGATTTTTCCTCAGCGAAAATGTCGAAAAAGGTCATCATTTTTTACAACTTTCCAATCTTTGTCATTATGTATCTTTATAACTAAGCCTTAAATTAAAATTTTATTATAGTAAACTCTACCTGAAATTAACTGAAGAATGTAATTATGTTAGACTTTTAACTCCAAAACGTTTAGTTTTCAAAAAACCTATTTTTTTCAATCGCTTATAACTCGAAAATTATTGACTTCTCAACATTTTTGCTAAGGAAAAATCGTCTCCAAATTGGCCAGAGAATCCGCCCTTAATCATTGGTCCGTTAGTTACCGGACACCTTGTATATATTATATAAAAGTGTATAGCACGTCAGAAGCTTGTGAGCTTACAGCGATAAGTAAAAACAATTGCGTATTTATTTCATTGCGTTTATCTGTTTAAACGCGCGCTTTAATTTTTCCAACGTTTTTGCCTGTTTATATTTTAAAGGTCCTCTCTTCTAAAAATCTTGTTTTAAAGATCCTCTCCGCGAGCAAAATTCGAAAACATAAATTATTTAATATTTTTACTTTATTATTTGTAAATCCTCGGTAATTTCAAAATTTTTCTATTTGAAAATTATTAATTTTCTATTGCCAATTAATTTTATCACAGACTTTACTCTTACTCCCATTACACTTTCGTTTGCGGTTTTCAGTATACGATTTTTTATCGTAGTTACTGAAAATTATTATTGTCAATTATACTTGTGCAGTGATTTGAAGAATTTACAATTTCGTTGAAATTGTTGATTTTTCAAAAAAATTACGAGATTCGCGGAAATTGCGTGCTTTCTTGGCATTTTCCGTTCGCGGCAGGCGGTTTATTTTTGATTGTTGCAAGTGTTTTTGTTTTTTTTTTTATTAAAATAGATAATAATAATGTGAAATAAATCACGATATTTGACAGATGTGCATATATATAGAAATTGTAATAATAATAATATTATATCATAAAATTGTAAATTGTTTCAATTTTTTATAGACTGCGATAAAAGATTTTACATTTGGATAAGAAACTGCGGTAAGTAAAAATATAAAATTCTTGAAAACGTAAAAATATTTGATAACGTAAAAAGGTGAACTTTGAAAAATAAGGAACTTAAAAATTGCACTAATAAATGGGCTATATATATGTGAGCCGTGCGCGGATGTAAGGTGTGTTATATCGAAATTTAATTAATAGAATTGAGAATTAATCCCAATTTTAAGTCTTACAAATGTCCAAGCTAATTTTTTGTACCTCGTGTACATTTTTGAAAGTTATATCGAAAAATTAAATTTCAATATGCGTCTTACATCTCACATTTCGCATACGGCTCACATATAGCCTATTTATCTTTTATACTTTATTTCAACCCTTATAGAAATTTATTACTAGTAACGCCAATTTATCACTTATTTCGAGTAATTAATCACTTTTATTTCGAATACTTAAATTACTGTATATTATAGTATTTTAAATACTCAAAATAAGTGATTAATTGGCGTAGTGATAAATTTCTACAAGAGAATAAGGAGCCTTTAAATTCTTAATGTAAAAAATTTCAAGTAATTTTCTTTAATAAAATTTAATTAAAAATTTTAATTAAAAAATTTTTGAACACTGTGTTATATCACATTTAAAATCGTGATTATTTCAATAAAAAAACATTTTATGTGTAAAAAATATATTTTTTATATTTAATAAATTTTATATATATATATGCATATATGTAAAATATTCTCTCTCTCTCTCTCTCTCTCTCTCTCTCTCTCTCTCTCTCTCACACACACACACACACACACAACGGGGGCCAAATCTCTCAAATTGGTCTCATGATCAATTAGCCTGGATTCGCACCAGGGGCAAAGTCTGTTGGTAATGTCAAACGAATTTAGCCTGGACTTGCACCAGGGGCAAAGTCTTTTGGTTCAAGTCTACGAAATTTAGCACGGACTCGAACCAGGGGCAAAGTGTGTCGGTAAGGGGCAAAGTCTATCGCACGAAGATGGCGGTCTCTTCTTTAGGCAGGCCTTTGGCGATCTGTCTATTAATCTGTGATATTATAATCTAATAGGTTTGTTCTTTATTGCCGCACTTTCTGCACTAGTGTATACTAGTGACACCAAAGCGTTCTTTATTGCAGTGTAACCAAGTTCAGTGCAATAGTTCAGTGTACTCGCTGCCCTAGGTCTGAAGCAGTAACTTGTCCTGCTTGCACTAGTTCCGTTCAGTGCAATGCAGTATGAACTCAGTGTAGCAATAAAGAACCAAACCTTATATCACGAACTATGAATAAAAAAAATTAGTAAATAGAGTTCAAATTATTATCTGTATTTTTGTCTATATATATATTAATAAGATGTATTATTGCCCAATGTGCTCGATACTTCTTCGCGTTACATAAAAACATTAACGAGATCTTGATAGTTTCTTGCTATCTCTTTTTTCTGACGGATACATTTGCTCTTTCGGTACATTTCGAACATCTCTATAAATATCTTTAATTTTCGACAGCGGAATTATATTGTGATTATATGTTAGAGATCCTTTTAACAAAATGTACACGTTTTCGAGGATATCACCAAAACCGTTAATTGTTGCGATTAAAGAAAGGTAATGTTGCGATAATGAGATATTGTGTAGGTTATAGGAAGGTTCCAAAAATTATATTGTATGTTTTTTACTTTTTCAGTTTTATTTCCACAAACTATTCTAACGTCTGGCAGAGATGTAATCTTTCCTCTCAAAGAATACTTAATGATTTGAATGAAAATCAGAAGAAATCTGTCACATCATTTCCACCACTAACGGAACCTATCCCTGATCTACCAAAACCTATCTATTCTACTGCAAAAGAGGAGCATCAGGGAACAAAAATAACAGTTTTGCCAAATGGTTTAAAAGTTGCATCAGAAAATAGATTTGGACAATTTTGTACCATAGGTGGTGAGTTAAAAATTAGGAAATATATTTTAAATTATGTATATATCAATTTATATTGAATTTTATGGGCAAATAAATATATATTATCTTTTAATTTTCAGTTCTTATCGACTCAGGTCCACGATATGAAGCGGCATATCCAAGTGGCATTTCTCATTTCCTTGAAAAATTAGCATTTGGTGTAAGATTTCTTGATTTAGTATTGATTTAGTATGAAATTTTAATAGTGAAATAATAAGCAAATAATGGAGCTTACAGCTATATGTGTTCTAATCAATAATTTAGCTCTAATGACAGGTGTTTTTACCAACACTATATGGTTTTATTTACACTTAGCTTAAAATATGTAATAAAATATCTATATTATTATACTGCTTGTTACAGTCTACAAATACATATGATAGCAAGGATAAAATAATGCTAGCTTTAGAGAAACATGGTGGTATATGTGACTGTCAGGCATCTCGTGACACATTTGTCTATGCAGCATCGGCAGAACGTCGTGGATTGGATATAGTTACTCAAGTTCTAGGTGATATTGTCTTGAGACCTCAAATTACAGAGGAAGAGGTATATAATAATGTATAAAGAAATTTTGTATTTCTTATGTTTCATTCTATTATAAAATATAATTCTCATTAACATCATAAAATTACTATATTGTATATATGTTTTTACAAATTAAAGTTGAATCATTTGCAGGTGCAAATTGCCAGACAAACTGTACAATTCGAATTAGAGTCTTTACATACAAGGCCAGAACAAGAACCCATATTAATGGACATGATTCATGCTGTGAGTTTGAAATACATATTTTATAGATAGATATTTTTAAAATATTTTTTTTTATTAGCATTACAAATATATTTTTTTGTTATAAGGAAAGAAAATATATAATTATAGATATGTTATATCGATAGGCTGCATATAGGAAGAACACATTAGGTTTGCCCAAGATTTGTCCAAAAGAGAATATTGATAAAATTGACAGAAAGATTTTACACACATATCTCAAACATCATTATGTACCGAATAGAATGGTAATTGCTGGAGTTGGTGTTGAACATGATGATTTGGTCCATGCTGTTAACAAGTAAGAGTCAAATGTTCAATAAATAGTGATAAATTATTAATAATTTAATTAAAATTTTTCAAAATATAAGTTGAATACATTATTTTTATAATGTATAATATTAATAACAATAATAACAAATTTTTTTAAATCTTTATCCATATGTGCTAATAATATTATCTTTGATGTAGATACTTTGTAGATCAAAAACCTATCTGGGAGGAACAACCTGATCTTATTCTATTAAATAATGCAGATACTGTCGATAAATCTATCGCACAATACAGTGCAGGATGCATTATGGTACATTCATTTAGATATTATGTGCTTACAAATATTCTTATTGTGAAATTAAGAAAAATAAAAGATTTTTTTATGTGTTTGAAATAGGAGGAATGCAATGTGCCAATTTACGCGGGACCTAGCGGCTTGCCGGAATTATCACATATTGTTATAGGTTTAGAAGGTTGTTCCCATCAAGATTCAGATTTTGTCGCTATGTGTGTATTAAACATGATGATGGGAGGTGGCGGCAGTTTTAGTGCTGGCGGTCCTGGAAAAGGAATGTACACTCGTTTGTACACCAATGTGTTAAATAGGTGAAATAATTTTATATTTTTATTAACTTTTTTTATTTTGTTTGGATACAAGAAAAAAAAGAAGTGTAAAAAATATAACAAATGATAATTATATAGATAATTATTTTCATATCTCTTCTTTAATATCATTTATATTATATTATTTTTATTATAATTAAAGAGTAAATGATATATTTTTAATTTTTTACATTTATTATAACAGCCATTGCATCTTGAGTATTATATACAAGTTACAAACTTATCTCATTCTTACAGCAAATCTCTTAATTAAGACACACCTTCCATATTACACTTATTACTAAATTAACGTTAATTAATGTTTTAGGTATCATTGGTTGTACAGTGCAACTGCATATAATCATGCTTATGCAGACACTGGTCTGTTTTGTATTCACGCTTCATGCACACCATCTAATGTAAAGGATATGGTAGAAGTAATTATACACGAAATGGTTGCCATGGCAAGTGGAGTCTCGGATAATGAATTAGCGGTATGATTTTGCTTTATATATCTTTGAATTAGACTATAATTAAAAACATATATTACACTTTATGATAACGTTGATACATAACTATTATCATAAATTAATATGAGAATGTCAAGACTCACAAATCTCAAATTCCCTCTATTTTCATTAAATCGTTGTCCTATAATCAATAATTATATCTTTTATTTTTTCTTTTATATAGAGGGCAAAGAAGCAATTACAGTCGATGCTACTTATGAATCTGGAACAACGGCCTGTTGTATTTGAAGATATTGGTAGACAAGTTCTAGCAACTGGTTCTAGAAAAAGGCCAGAATATTTTATGCAAGCTATCGGTAAGCTGTAAAATTAACTTTGCAAGTTTGATAAATTACAGTATTTTCTCAATAATACTCACAAAAAATGTATGCTTACAGATGCAATATCTAAGGATGACATTGATAGAGTAGCACGACGTTTATTAAAATCGCCCCCTTGCATAGCGGCACGCGGCGAAATAAAAACCGTACCTTCTATCGCGGACATTCAAAACGCCTTACTCAATCCTCAAGGTCGGTTACCTGGTTTTCGTAACAGATTGTCACTCTTTCGTTAAAAAAATGGATAAAATATTCAAACAGTCTTCTCGTTCTAAATAAATGTCATTTAATTGTATCCAATTATCATATAACAAATGTTATATTTCTTTTTTTTTTATTAGGCAAAAGAAAATAAAGGTCTGGATTTGTCCCTTTTAGTCTGATATGTAATATTCCATTTCATATTGAACTAAAATTCGTATGGTGTGAAAGATCCTGTATCTCTTGGATAAAAATTTGTCAAAATTTAATTACGAATTTTATTAATGCTATATTATTTCAAAGAGTAAATTGTACATACAATATATAATTAAGTGTTGAAAATTAAAATTATTTATATCATTCAACAACATAAAAGAAAGTAAAAATTATCGATTAATTAGAACCATAATAAAAGATAGACTAATGTATTAATCCTGTGTAATTTATGGAAATTTTTATTTGATAATGGATTTGCTATAAAACAATTACACAAGAATTTGGAAATTTTATGTAAAAACTTTTATTGTCAATTTCTATCCTCTGGCAATAATTAAAAAAAAATAAAAACCAAGAATATTTTGTGTGTAAATAATATATTCAATAACAATTTATAAATTTGTCATATGTTTGAGTTTTCTTTATTCTTCATTCATACACACAAATCTGTGCATACATCATAAACATGATTCTGAACGAAGAATAATTACACTTCTGCTTCCTCCAAGGTTTTGAGGAATGCAGCCTTCTTCTGGGCCACACGATTCTTCCTCTCAGACAAAGATAATTTCGCACGGTTCCATCTCTTCTTGATGGGTTCCTTCTCCCTTACGACCTTCTTATGTTCTGGATCTGTACGGATTGCCTCGTGCGCTTTCTTGTATATATTCTCGATCTATTACAAAATGGTTTTTCTTATTAGCTCTATTCTTATTGATCTAAATGTATATTTAGCAATAATGTAACATGGGTTTATTTTGATAAATGCATTAATGCATTCACATTTTTAACCAATGAAGATTGCTGTTGTCCAACTGCGACGCTACATAGATTTAATTAATCTAAGCAGCAATTATAAGTTGGACGTGTGTACTAAAAAATAATATAAATATACATTCAAAATTGCATTATAATTATGCTTACATCATTTGCAGAAATGCCATGCTTAATATATTGTGAAAACTGTCTCTTGAAAGCTTCGTCGTCCTCTTCTTCCAAAGTTTTCATGTAATTTGCAACATGTTGACCAAATATATGCTGTCTGTGCACTTCTGCATTGAATGCCTTCGCATCAGGATCATATCCAGGGAATCTCTTAGTACTATAAAACAATGCAAGTTCATTAAATAACCAAAGTTACACAATGTTTTCTAATTTTTAATATTTTCTAATGTTTTTTAATATTTTTTAATTTGATATTGTCAGAAAAACTTTTTAGTTTTGTATGAAATTTACGATATTGTAAAATGAAAGAAAAAAGTAAACTTCAAGACAATTCAAATGACATATATATGTTATAAAATTATCATAAACTACTATGCATATTTATATGATTTGTATTGATTTGATTAACATTGTAACTTTATTTTTTTAGATGAGAATACATTTATAAAGTAAAAAAGGAAAAATATAAAATTAGACAATAATATAAATGAAATAAATTTCTTTAATTACCTATGAGGAATATTGAGACCGCCATCAACCGCGCCTTTCATGGCACCGAAAACTCGGGCGCCAGTTGTGGTACGCATCAGTCCCGTATCTAGATAACATCTGAAAGCAGCTGGGCCATCGTCCAATCCCTCAACATTATATTCGTCACCAGTCACTTCTGTGGTACCCACATACAAGGAATCCAATCCCAACGTTTTAAGAAGCTACAAAAATGACATAATCGATTTTAACAAATTAAATAATAAGAAGTTTCATTCTTTGACACAACTATCTAATATTTTTGCTAATCAGGATACGTATAGGGAACAACTGTGTTTTCTTCAGTGAAACATCAAAGTGAGCTAGGTGTTTCATCATTTTAGCAATATTGTAAATATTGTAGATAATTAAAAAAAAAAAAAAAAAAAAAAAAATATATATATATATATATATATATACATATATAACTTACTCTTCTGGCTAAGAGCAAACCAGTGCAATAAGCAGATGCATAGTTGGTGAGACCAACTTTAACACCATATCTTGGAAGTTCATGGCTGTAAGCAGCACACACAATTCTATCTCCTTCGATTCTTGAATAAGCAACCTTGAAAAAAATGCATGTGTTAGTTGTCAATTTTTGCATACATTTAATATATATTATATAAAATTTATTATATATTAATATAATTGAAATATATATTCCTCTATATTCTCTATCAATTAAGTTTTTATAAATTAGATTTCTCGCACTATTACTGTTCCACAGTTTAACATTTGCTATTCTATTAAATTGTGTATATGTAAAACAAAGATTACTAGTAAAGTTTTATTCTAAAAAAAAAAATTAAATTTATATATATTATCTTCGTAATTTACCTGGCATGTAATATCCTTATTGGAGAGACGTACAATTAACCTATACTTAGGTGTATTGTACTTGTTCTTGTCTTGAATAGTTAATCTTTTGCGAGCATAATAATCAGTTTTTCCTTCACGACGCCTCTTAAATTTAACTTGATAACGTTTGAAGTACTGCTTGTTTTTGACTACTTTAACGAAACCCTATAAAAATGCAGATATTAGAATAACAGCAAATAAATAAGTTTCAAATTTAATTAGTTTTATGTTTAGAACAAATAAAAAACAAGGAATAAAGTTTAATTACTTCTAAATGGAAACAATTTCGAGTTTTAATAATTAAATAAAAATTATGTGTTACTTTTTAGTAAATAAGTAGACATACATTATTGTACGACGTATTTTGCCAAAAAATTGATCTTCCAATATTATTTTATAAGTGTAATATCTGATATTTTTGCTAATCAGATTGTATTTTGGGAACAATTGTGTTTTCTTCAGTGAAACATCAAAGTGAGCTAGGTGGATCATCATGTTTTAGCAACATATATCAGATATATACACTTCCTCCTTACATTAAGGAAGTCTGAGCTCAGTGAAAACCGAAGTACCCGAGATATTGTATATATATAAGATAATATTTTTATCTAAATACTATTTCCACTGCTAAAAACAGGCAGCATAAATCAACTGGCATATGAGTAAATCCTTGCGGAGCCTCATCAGCCAAAGAACCAATACATATTCATGAGATTAAAAATTAGATTATATTCATAAATAAAGATGAAGATATTAATTATAATCTTTTGTCTAAACAAAATGCACTATTTCAGATAGTGCTACAAATATATAAAGAAAATGTAAAATGCTACATAGAGCATTTTTCCATCATGTGGCAAATAACGAATCTCTCCGAAAATAAGCATCTTGCTTTTTATTGATATTCAATAAATAATATGCATATATTTAAGTTTAATCAGTCAAATACACCATATATTGAAAGAAAATTTGCTCACCATTATGTTAAAATGATCCGAAGATTACACGAAGCACAGCACAGAAAGAACAGCCTCGAACGGACCGTGCAAAGGAGAGAAAGAGGAAGTTGTGGAAGATGGCCGTAGTCAAAGGAAGTTTAGACAACAACGACACTAGTGGTAAGCAGATGAACCAGAGCACGATGCTCAGCGATCCTAGCAGCGAGGAGAAAAAGCTTCTCATAAAAAGAAAGTAAATAAATAAAAAATAAAAATTCGAATTTTTATTAAAGTAAAAAATTCATCTAAATTTTTTAAATTTATATTATTTATTAACATATTAATAATTGGAGAATAAATGTAAAATGTAAAAAATTGTACATTTATTATCATTTTTAAACAGCTAAATAGCAAAGCTGTGAGTAAATAAGATAAAAGAAAAATACGAGCAAATTAAATCGCTCGTAAAAGATTAGACACTTTCGGATTATAAATGTTTGTTTAGATTTATAATTTTCATTTATTATTTGTACAACTTTATTTTATCATTTGTTACAGATGTAAAATTATATAGTAAAGTTGTATTTTTGTCAACTCTAATTTATAAAAATTACATAGTAAATACACAGAATATGTTAACAAAACATCTTATACAATTATTAAATATTACTTACACTCTTAAAAAAAACATATTTTATATTATATTTACATTTTTCTTGTGAACTCGTATATAGAATGCATCACTGACATGTCATCTCGTTCCTTTAACCACTGTTTGATAAGACATTCAATTCTCTTGGCATCCATCTATAACAATGTGACATATAAAATATACTAATAAAAAACTACTTACATGTTTGTACTCATACATTATATAATATCTATATAATTTTTACAAAAAAAGCAAATATTTAATAACATACCTTATCTACATCAATGTCAGAAATTTTCAAGCCTTTTATCAAGCCAACAATATCTATGATCCATACTTGTTCACAAATTGTAGCAATCCATAAATTAGGCGCCAAACGACCTATTATATGTTCACTTTCAAAATTTAATCTGTAAAATAATTATTAAAATATATTGACAAAAGAAAAATATGATAAATAATTGTCAATATCGATTAAAATTCAACCTTGTAGTTATCTTAGCTCTGTCAATAGTCCAAGGTACTATTGTTCTCATATTTAATTTCTCTGTCTTCTCGGTTTTTGTATTCTTCATTTTTTCAAATAGCTGTAAGAGCCTGCTTTTATTTCCCTCTGTAACTACCTTATTCACTTCATCTCTTTTTTCATCTTTTTTACATGCCTGATGTTCCTTTTCTTCTTTATGTGTAACATCTCGGTAATAACCACGTTCATGTGATGATAGTTGTTTCCAGAATTCGGTAATTTTTTTTGCAGTTTGAGCTGCTGTTAATGTAGGATTTTCTTTTGCAACTAAATACAAATACATCATTATTAATCATAATTCTTAACAATTTATGTATGTATTTTGTTATATAATTTTATATAACAAAATACATACAAACTTTGTAAGCAACATAAAAGAATAATAATTGAATTACATGTATATATATTATACATACTTTGCGATCTTACATGTTTTATAAATTTAAGATCTTTATTATCAATATGTGTTCTATCTAATTCTATCTCATTAGTCTGATTGACTAAGTCATCGTTGGATTGTCTTCTAATAGTAATATCAGATTCTATATCTGTACCTCCCTATTTTTGATACAATCAAATGTAAGATAATTCTATAACGAAATTATAAATACATACATACTTGTGTATATTAAAATTGTGAAAAAAATTTTACCTTGAGACCTGTGATATGCCCTTTACTCCATGTCTCTAATGAAATTTGTTTCTTTTCTTGATTCTCGTTTAACTTAGCTTGGTTTTCATTTGCAGATATCGTAGAGCTTCTAATCTCTCCTCCTATAAAGTCAAAATCTTCACCAAGATCTACAACAGGTAATTGACTCAAAGTTTCAGTTTCTTCGGCCCTGTAAAAAATTTACATTGTTAATATTTATATAATTATTCAAAGCTCTTGAATGCTATTAAAACAGGAACTAATACACTAATATTAAAAATAAAAAAATTTCTGAAACTTATATGTAATATATAGATTTATTATATTAAATAAATTAAATTATTATTATTATTTATTATATAGATTTATGCTAACGTTTTATCCGACGAAATTATAATAGGAAAGGTATCATTTGAATCAGAATCACTTAAATTCGGCGGTTGCATATGAGTTGTTAAAGCTAATGCATCTTTATAATGCCGTTGATCTGGAATTGGATCAATATTTTGCTTATGTGGAGATTGTTCATGTCCATTATTTGGCATAAGCATTGACTTTTCTTTGTTAATTTTTTCTTGATTAACTTTCTCTTGAGTATCAATTTTTCGTTTTTTACATACAGGCCATTCAGTATCGATAACATCCTCGCTAGTATTAAGTGTATAATCTTCATAACCAGTGGATGTGTCATTAGATACATTTTGTTCAACAGACTCCACAGATTTAAGTCCATAATATTTTTTTATGCATTTATCTACAGTATCAAAGATTTTATTCTACAAATATCAAATATATTGATGTGTATATTTTAATAAACATCTCTGTAAAATAATACTAATTTGAAAATAAGTACTATTATATATTTATAAATTTTAAAAATTTATATAAATATTGTGTTAATTGTGCTTCATAAAGATATAAACATCTTTATTTAATATAAATTTTAATATTACTTATAATCTTACCTGATCTTTAAAAAGAATGGCATCTTTATTTGGTTCCAGATTAACATCAATATCCATTGGTTTCAAAATAATGTACACAAGAAAAATGATTTTTTTTCTATGTGACTCTTGTTTAAAATATTCTAATATTAAATTATTTATTAGCTATATATAAAAATATAAATTTTCATTATTTAGTTATTATCTTAATAATTAAATTATAATATTAATATAGACAGAACATACTTTTTGAAGACTTTTATGCTTAATAGGTCTATTATTTACAAAAATAAAATTTAAATCAGGATGAGAAACTTCCGATAGATCTTGTATCTTTTTTGAAGGTAACATCAATTGCAGAATAAACTGTAAAATAATCAAGATGTAAATTATGTCAATATTGCTAGATGTAGAGATAGATAAAAAAATAAAATTTTTTAAAAATAATTTTAAAAGCATACTTCTGCATTCTTGGGTTCAACCCATTCCATAATGGACATAATTTTTCTACCAAGTATGTGACTCACAGCTTCTTTAATATTATTTAAACTTGGTTTTGTAAATAAAAGAATGTTGTTCACTCTAAATTGAATTCGTACATTTGGTTTACATATACTAAAGCAATGCATTAGTGTCTCCAATAATTTAATAACTTGATTAGCTTTTCTTGTATTAGTGATTATTTGTCTCCTTACAGGCATTTGTTTAAATAAATCTTTCACTTGTATAGTAGTTCCTAAAATGTATATATAAATGTATCAAAATATGATTATGTGACTAATGTATATTATCATATATATTTAAAAATAATTTAAAAATTAAAGATATTTTTACCAGTACTTCTGTGACATGATTCGTGTTTCACAATTTGCCCAATGTGATTCATTACATACATAGTCCCAACATTATCTTCTTTTATTTTTGTTATAACAATAACTTCTGCTACCACGCATAATGCATTCAGAGCTTCTCCTCTAAATCCAAATGTTTCTAATGTATCTAAGAATAATAATAAAAGTATAAGAATTTATTTCATTGTTATACGACTTATTCCACATGTGATTTGTCTTTTATGGTTTAACGTTTAAAAGCTGAATTTTTTAGAGACATTTAAATGTTACGAATTAAATATAAAAGTATCTTACCTAAATCTTCAAAATTTGATATTTTAGATGTATAGGAAGGTAATCCCATGTACATTGCATCTTCCTTAGATATACCATGACCATTATCCTTTACTTCTATTAAAGATGTACCATTATCAACCTAGGGAAAACAAAGCCATGTGACCGACTTGAAAAATAAATAACTTAAAAATATACATATATGCATACATGTAAATATGTGAGATTAAACCGTTTTACATACAAGATTGATTTCAATATTATCTGCATCAGCATCAAGTGCATTTTCCACCAATTCTTTAACCACAGAATAAACTGAAGTTATTATTTGCGTGGTAGTAATTAGCTTTGCTGTCCTCACATCTAGTGCCGAAATCGGCATTTTTAAATTCTGCTATTAATAATATTTTAATCGTGTAAATATCAAGAAATATCTGATGAAAAAATATGCAAAATTTTAATGTTGCATTTACGACATAACATCACCGGCGAATTTAAAAACCATAACATAGAACATAGCCTCAATTTGTCTTGCACAGAGTTCCGGAAGTCACATGTTCAAGTTTTTTGCGCATGCGTGACAATAATGGCGGTAAATACAGCGGTATATAACAAAAAATATAGATGCAAAATATTTTGACAGATGGTAGAAATAAAGACAAATTAGATAAAAAAAAAGTTTTAGATAAATTAAATTAAATAAAGTCTAGCTAAAAAAACTATTAAAAACGTGAAGTTAGATTATAATTAAAAAAATGTTTTTAAAATTGTTACGATTTTTTCTTCTACTAGACACTCATTGACCCCGCGCATGCGCGAAAAATCTGACATCCTGTTATCAGCTGTCAATAATTTTGAGGTTATATGTAGTTGCACATAACATGTGACTAAATGTAAATTTTACTCTAATATGATATATGAAATGTTCAATCAAATACTTATTTCTTTTTAATCTACTTATCTTTTGTATATAATTATCTTAATATCTCAAAAATTATTAACGTTATTAATTGGAAGATGAAATACTAAATATTAACTAATAACTAAGAGCATATATAATTGTAATGTGTGGATCAATTTATATGATTATAGATTATAAAAATAAGCAATAATATAAATGTAATACATATTCTGAATAATTTTAATATCGTAAAATGGAAAAATTAGACATACACATTTTTCTGGAGCTAAAGTCGTGCTGTGATAAGCTCATAAAAAATCCAAGCAAGGAACATGCAGATAGAATTGCGACAATGGTCAATAACATGTCCAATGAAATCATGCAAAACTTGTCGGAATATTGTTTACTTCCAATTATTACTTCTTTACAAAACAACAGCTTAAGGTAATAAAATTGTAATTTATTCATATGTAATAAAGAAAATGTAGGAGGATTGCATATAAAAAATATATACATATAAATTATTCGATATGCTTTATGTATTTTTTATTATATATTATCTATTATCTTTATAAACTTCTATAAGCATTTATTTTGCACAGTATGAACGTAAAAGAGCAATTGGTGAAGACTATGAGAGTTATAATACAGAAGATTAGAATTACAAAATTGAAACACTTTTATGAGATCTATGCATCTTTATTAATTCAAATTTTTGACAAAAACCAGCCAAATCAATGTATGTATATTATATAAATTATATTTATTTACAAATTGCCGAAATAAGTTTAATTATTTATTTGTATTTTATGCAGTAATTATGTTTCACGAGGAACTTAAAGAGGCAGTAGCTTTATGTATTAAGGATCTCATTCACCAAAGTTATACTGATGTCATTGAGCTACTTTATGCTAAAGAAAATGTATTGAAACTTGGTCAAGGAATATTATTATGCTTAACAATTGCAAGAACTGAAAAGTCATTTACCTTAAGGTAAGCATTTAAAAGAAATATTGTATAGATAATACTACATTTAATTTCAATATATTTAAAAAAATGTATATTTGTATAATTGTAATGTATCTGTTATTAGATTAGCAGGAATAGATGCAGTAATGGCCCTGTGTCATATAGATGACAAAACAGATAAGTCTGATATTGTTATACAAGACCAAATAGCGGATATCATTATGGCATTTTTACCTGGTATTGTTAGTGGGCTACAGGAAATAGCAATGGGAAGTGAAGTCCAAAATCATAAGGTTACAATGGTAATATATATTTTTACTGATATATTTTTATGTTCTTTAATAGGAACAAATTATTTTAACAACAAACTTTGTGCATAATTTATACATTAATATTAATTGAATATTACAGATGGCAGTCAGAGCATGGGGAAGAGTCATATCTCTTGTAATGCATGATAAAGAGGAAGAAGACATTACATTATCTATAGAAACACTTATGAAAAAAGACTGCAGTATGTTTATTAATGGATCGTACACTTTGAAATGTAATGATAAATGTGATATAAAACATAATCTAAAAGGAGGCACAAGAAATAAAGAATGGTTTGAAGCTGCAGCTATTAAGCTTGGCGCTTGTATACAACTTTTGGACAAAATTAGAAGTCATTCACATTATAAAGTGAGAAGAGAACTGGTAGAAAGTATCAATCTTATACTCGAAAATTGTTTCAGGTAAAAACATTTCCCTTCACCTATCTCTTTTTTATAGCTTTAATAATATATAACATAAATTAATTAATTTTAATATTTTTTATAGAAATATGAAACCAAATATTATGGTATTAACAGACTATTTGATTTCCTTGTCTGAAGATGAGTCTATAGAAGTTAGTGAAAGGGCACACACTGTACTGCGCAGTTTAAGTGAAAATTACATGAAAAATCTCAATACGAAACCCTTAATTGATTCATTAGAAGATAAGTTTTATAATTTACTTACAAGATTGCCCACATTAGTCAGACGATCAGGTAAAATTTGCTCTATATTGTGTGAGCATTAAAAAAAATCTTGATCTCTTTATTGTATATGTATAATTATTAAACATAAATAGAAAAATCAAAATATGTACCAATTAAAACCTGTATGTATATTTTTCAGATGATAATGAACAATTAGCGTCTTTGAATCAATATGCTGGTTATTTAAGGCTATTTGGAAAACAAAGATTACCTCATATTATGAGATCAGAACCTCATATACGAAGATTGCTTTTAGCTCTCGTATACATTATGGTGCTAGATTGCAGTGATATATCTCCTTTGCTAACAATAAATATGAAAGACTTAGATAATCCCGCGTATTATTATGGATCTGATTCATGGAAACAATTTAAATTTATCAAGAGCAATTCATGTAAAGAGAAGCTTATTGTAATATGCAAGCTGCTTGGGGAATTTGGAGATTTTAGAATATTAATTGATACTATTCTTGAGCTTATGTCAGATAAACAATACAGAAAAGAACTGAGTTTGCTACTTAACTGGATCTTAGGTGATACAAGCAATACATCCAATTTATTTCAAGGATAAAATGAAATATTACGATCAGCTTTTACATAGTTTTGATTTTTTATTGTTCCAGTTTCTGTTAAAGATCCATCTGCTTCACATTTATATAAGGAAATTGTGAACTTTTATACAACGCAGGAAATATGGTACTTACCTATAGAAGTATCTGAAGATACTACATTAGTGCAGGCACAGAGTAATATAGTACAGTGTTGTCTTTTGATGGAAGGACTAAGCTGTATAGCGCAAAATTTACAATGTGACTATGACAGATATCTTTTGAAAACTTTATACATAATTATCGAAAGAGTAGGTATGTATATTATATGCATGCCAGTGCCTGTACAAGAACTTAAATTTTTTACAAATAAATTTGTGTATGTAAAAATTTATGGATACAATTTTAGGTAGTAAAAACAGTTTGATCAGCTATATTGGAATGCGTACTCTTGAAAATGTCGCAAAAGCACAGCAACATCAAACGATCGGCGATCTGTTACGCGCGAATGTAGATTATTTTTCTTATCACATTCTAATGAAATTACGCCAAGTAACTCGAAACTCTGGCGTACTCGATGTTATCGAAGTTGTAATGAAATACAGCAGATTAGATTTCTTACCACATCTGAAGGGAATTGTGGAGGATGTGCTCAGGCAATTAAGTATGCCTTATCGTCAAAAAGATACTTATTCCTTCTTAAAAATATTTCATACATTTATCACATGCGTAAAAACGTTAATAAATTGGGAGAATACAAAAGGAATAATTAAAGAAGATGCAGCTACAAATAATCCTTCGGAAACTATTATCCTTTCTTTGTTGGAATATTATAACAAAAAAATTGATGAAAGAATCGAAGATAATATCGAAGAGACAGATTCGAATGCAGATATAACAAATGTTGAAGAACTAACAGAAGAAACAAATTATTCTGATCCAAATGCAGAAGGTATAAGAATTTATATTAAATATTGTTATAAGTTTTATAAATATTTTGTAAATATATTTTTTGTTCATTTTACATATTTTAGATGAAAAAGACAAAAAGTTACCAATCCATATAAAGATAATTGTAGAAATTATGAAACGTTGTTTACATTTTCTACCTCTGAAAGATGTACAGAAATCATTAATGGCAATGCAAACGCTTCAAGAAGGTCTGCCGATATTAATCGAATGGGAGAATGAATTATTACCTATTGTACATCAACTGTGGCATCCACTAATCGACAGATTTAACGATAAAAACGTTCTTATGATTAATCATGCGTGGCAACTCTTACATGTACTCGCCGAAATATCAAATGACTTTATCAGAAACAGAACTTTACGGTAAAATATTTTTTTTATATATTTCTTGTAGAATATATAATATACTATAAAAACTATAGTTAATGCGTACAAAGTAATTGATATCATAATTAATCTTTCATATGCAGACAGGTATTTCCATGTGTATTTAAATTCCTGGCCGAATCTTCCACAGAAAGCATCGATAAAAACTCTATTAATATGTACAAATTTACACAAACCTACAAATTACAATATGAATTATTATCTACATTGGGATTGATCGCTCGACTCTTGAAACTTCGTGAGCGAGAATTATGGGAAATATTAAGTAATACACAATCGTACCTTAATGCACGACAACATCCTAAGTTACAGGTAATATTGAGATCAAAAGAAATACATAAACTCTTACGTGCTATAAATGTCTTTGACTATTTTTTTCTTGTTAATAGGCGCGCTGTGTAAAATTATACAAAGATATTGCCGATTATTATGGAGATATTGCATGGTTGAAGTGTCTCAGTATCTGGGATTCAAAAATTACACGAATAACATCTGATGCAACACTTGACATAAATAATCTGCTGGTACAGTAACATTTAATTATTAAAATGCAATTTCTGTAAATTAAAATCTAGCATTATATGTAATGTATAATGTTATTTTCCAGAATTCAGATGTCGCTCGATCAAACGAATATTATAAAAACGTAAACGAAATCATTATATACATTCAAAAGAAGGATATCCATTGTTAAATAAATGTATATATTAAAAATAAGATACATTATTTAAGAAGAACTGTAATATATATAGAATATTGAGATCTTAACAATGATATAAATACTGGACCAAAACTCTTCAAGATAACAGTGCACTGTTCAGTTATAAAACGCCTTTCTATAGAATTGCTAAAATGATATAAAATGTCACTCATATGTAAGAGATATAGATTATTAGAATTGTTAAAATGTTTATGTCTAAATGTGTGAATGAATAATTTATATAGATTCATACACCAAAAAATAGTGAAAAAATTTTGACACAATTTTTTTTATTCATATATAATTCTAACAGATTTTATTATTATATATATTTTTTCACATTTTACAATAATTTGTGTATATTAATTATACTCTTTTTCATTATCTACAAAGCGATATATTACTTTATAAAACAAAGATGTACTGTGGTGATATACAATATATGTATATACGTGTATACGCGTGCATGCACATCGTATACATATATATATATGTAGACACGTTTGATATTTACATATTATTTTTTCTCTTTTTTATATCGATTTTAACATGTATATGACAGTGAATACTGAATATTAATATTCTTAATATATCTCAATATAAATTTTATATTAATCTTAAACACATACATTTTTTTAAAAGTAAATCGTTTTTGTATTATTTCGAGACTACACGAAAATTAGAAATGAATATGTTAGAGATAACAATTCCATAATAATTCAGAGATATTTGAATTATATAATTTTCAAAAACATTATAAAGTTCTTGAGATGTTTATAAACATAATTTAGCAATTGTATAGCTACTATTCTCTAGATAAGAAAATTTATATAAATACAAATAAAAAAAAACAATTATTTTTTTCAAAATCAAAGAAACCTATTATTTTTCCATTCTTTCGATAGAATATTATTTAATGTTTTTAATTTTTAAAGTTGCAGAGAATAATATAATAATATACAATTCAGTGATAAGTAATAAAAATATTCGAAGATACTAAATTTTTCAAATTAAGGAAACATTTCTACAATAAAGAATTCTTTTATACGATCATCACATTTTTTATATGATATTTCTTGCAAGTATTATAAATGATATTCTCTTAAAGAAATTAGTCTGTATCTTGTAAAATGGAGCTTAGAATACTTTGCAAGAAATTTTAAATATACAAGTGTATATAAAGTACATAAATTCCTTACATACATTGTTACAAAGAATTATACATTACAGGTACACAGAAAAATGCAAAATATACTGTTCTTCAACGATTCTAGATTAGATTTCACACAATCGCCAGCTTGAAATCATAACAATATTTATTTGTAAATTAGATTATCATATTATTTAATATAACACAATCACATATTTTTTTTGCATATTAAATATTTTTCTATATATATATTTTTTTGGCGCATTGTTCTCAGTATCATATACATTAATATTTCAATATTCTCACTGTGAAATGCACATTATGATCGTAATTTTGTTTATATTTATAAATTGCCAATTCCTACTTTGATTCATATCAAAGGTGTTACCTCGAAAGAAATCTCGTGCCTTTTACAAAAATTGCTGTACAATTAATAAAACAGCAATTAAACCTTGAGCGCGTTAACAGTTATTTATATGTGTTTAATGATCGATGATCACATGGTCCGCTCTCATCATATATTAATCAGAGTTTGAAGGATTCAAAAAGATTTTATCGTACGATGCGCATTTTCTGTATCATCAAAAGAAGTAATATATACAATTTTTTTTTATTTAAGACATTTTTAGGTAAGAGATAATAAAGTATTAGAGCGTTTATATTAGAGTTCTTTAAAATTAGCTATTTATAAAACAGTATATTTTACAAGTTATTTTTAGCAAAAATTCTTGCCTATAGTGAACATATTCATAAATATTACACGATTCTAGAAAAGCGAGGCATCATTTCCACGCTTGTTTCTGAGCTTTTTGGGATGCTAATTTTTTGGTGATGTACGATGAGATCAACAGCGCTACGAGTACTATCACAATGAGATAATAATCAAAGTCCTCCTTTAGGACGTCGAATGTTTTAGATGGTGCCACTCTTGTGTAAAACAGGTCTGCAAAGAGAAACAACGTTTATATAAGAGAAACTATACTTAATATAAGATTCATCAGTACTTTACAATCGAATGTATCGATGCTCTTTACTCACCAAGACCATGTACAAAAACTAAGCAAGTACTTTCAAGGCCACTGGGACTAGTATGAATACCCATAACTCTAGAAACGCTTTGATTATAATTAATAATTGCATCCATATGGATTGGAATTTCGGGCATATATGGTATTACTCCTTCTTCTCGCATTTCAGGATTAGTAGGCCGTCGTGGATCCACCATCATCCACGGCAACTCTAATATTCCACCATTAGCTAAAGCAACTGATAAACATATATAAACATCATTAAATTTCTTTTAAATTTGAAAATATTTGATTTAGAATTGAATTTTTCCTTCAGTTTTCGCAATTCAAACATACCTATTATATGTTTGCTAGTAATACCCTTTTCAGTGATTGTTTCTTGCATATATTCTATAGATGCCGGAAAAATGAAAGCTTGTCTTTCTACAATTGGCAATTTTGTTGTTGCTAAAGAAGAAAATACTGAAACATTCAATAATAGTTATGAATTATCAAAATAACAAACAAATATATTTGTGCTTTAAAAGAAAAATGTTAATGTCCAAAATTCATAATTTTCTGATAAAAGCTATTTAATTATATTAGAAATCTTGACTGAGATCTATTTTTATATATATATATATATATATATATATATATTTCTCTTTTATGAATAGATATATATATATATATATATTTCTCTTTTATGAATAGATTTTCTAAGATATAAATAATACTAAAAATTTAATGTCTCTTTTGTTATTATTAAAATTAAAATGATTAATACCCGTTATCTCACTGGATATTGCTTTTTTCTTTAGATTACAAATATATGGACTAAAAAGATAAATTTCTTAATTAATTTTTACCTGTAGTGTTACTCTGTATTTTTCCTTCGTAAAGTTCTAACGTAGCAATCTCCGTTCTACGTCCTTTCTCATTAAAATAACTATATACCAACCAATTTTCCGAATGCACAATATGAATTGGACCGCGTACTCTTTTGTGCGTGATGGAGAAAATCATAGCTCCGGATACTACGTCCAATAGATACAAATTAAGTGTATCTACACAAAATAAAAAAAAATATTGAGCATATCTTCTTTTTCTTTTTAAGAAATAGCATTGATTGAATATTTTACAGCAAACAAGATATATTTACTTTTATGGGCATGTCCGATACCTTCTGTCACCACAGCCACTAAATTAGGATTAATGTATTTATACAATACCGATCTGTCACTTAAAACTCTTCCTTGTGAGTGCACGCGTTCTATCGGATTTTTCGCTACGACTTGCGTTATTCTTTGATTTTTCGGCGATAGTAACAACTCCCACACCTTGTGAGCGATTAGTTCCTGCATCACAACCATTAAAATGATCAATTCTTATTGATTTAATGATACATGTGCATATATATATATATATATATATATATATATATATATGTATAACAAACCTGAGTTGTGCTGTATGAAAGAGAGAAGCCGGACAATATTCCTGTCGCTTGATCAGCAGTAAAGAGATATGTACTTTTGCCGAGTGAAGCTGCGACTGTGATAGCACTGTCGGGATAAACGTGAACTTTATCCCGTACATCAAGAATGAGGATACCGCGCAAGAAATCGTCGCTCGTCACATGCAGCAACATAGACTGCTTAATTTTGTATCCAAGTTTCACCAGTCCGTCCAATGGCTGTCCGGTAATCGGATTAAAAGTGTATATAACACCTTCTGCAGTTTCCTATCATAAACAAAAAATAATATGTATAAGATATGAATAAAAATATGTTATATACTTATCTCATCAAAGTTACATATTGTTATCATTAAGTATAATATATGAATATACGCATTGTGTACCTTGTCTTCTGCTAATAATGCACATTGAGGTGGATGGGGAAAGTGTCTGCTACCTCTTTGCACATACAAGATCATTGTATTAGACAATTTTGTAAAACCACGAATGTTAGGTAGTCTGAGTTGCCAGATAATTTCACCTCTCCTAGTTTCAATACCATACAACTGCAAATGATAAACTTAATGTAATGATTTATAATGCTCGAGACACGGCATTTGATCTATATAGATTCATACCTTGCCAGCAGATGTAACAGCTACAATCATTTTATGCAAACCGAATTTATCTCGCACCAAATCGATACGTTGATTGGATTGCTGTGGTCCTAAATCCAGTATCGTTTGAAAGAATGCTCTAGCTTGATTAATCTGTGAAGTAATCCTTCGTAGAAACATACTTAGGACATCCCCTGTTAAAAAGCAATAAAAGATATAATTAGAAAATGTGCATTTCCCAATAATCAATCATTTAAAACCCATGAGTTGGATGATTTAGCTAGTAGGATATAAAAAGTTAGATAAAAAGTTAAATGTCAACAGAAACAATAACAAACAGCCTACAATTTCGAGTTTTTGTATCGAATTATAAAAGCCTAATAATTTTACATATGTTAAAGCTTTGAAAATTCGCTCATTTTAGTATAGCTGGTTATCATACTTAAAATGCCCACAAATCTACTAATGTTCTTTTAATAACATATATACTTTCTACTTATATATACTTCTACATATGTTTTATCCCTGAACTTAATAATAGTATAAATATAAAAAAATATGAATTTCACATATCTTTTGCAATATATCATGCAGATAGTAATAATAATTGTAATATATCTTTAAATATATAAATAAATAAAATAAATAAATAAAATAAATAATTACACATATATAATCACTCTATATCTTTCAATTTTGGAGCATATACATAAATACCATGCAAATATAAGTTTTGTAAGTAGCATAAAACAAAGCACTCTGCATTAAAACCAGCCTTCCTGCTCCACTACTTACATGAACTGTCTACATCAATACCTGCCAGCAGCCATTTACACACAAAAGAGAGTTAATTAATATAACTTAACAG